ACTGGCAGGAGGCAGTGGTGGGTTTCTCCCGGTTCGGCCCGGTTCTCCCGAGCCGGTAGCGGTGGCGATATGACGTCAAAGAACCGGTTCTGCTCCCCCCGTCCCCCCACCTCCCGCGTTATTCTTACCTTTTATTTGACCCCACCCCCAATCTATCGCTGCCTCCTGAGTCCCAGCTGATCGGCTAGAAGGAAAAAAACTGTTTGAACTCTTGCCGCGGGGCTTCAAAGGGTCGCCCTACAGCTGATCAGTGTTAAAAGAAAACAAATGAGTAGACCGGTGCCTGCAAAAATAAATGGGTAGACCAGTGCCTGCAAAAATACATGAGTAGATCAGTGCCTGCAAAAAATAAATGGGTAGATCGGTACAGCTCTGCAAGCAGTTAAAAGCCTGGTAGATCAGGACCTCTGCTAAATCCTAAATAATTGTCACATGACCATCAAGCCATGCCCACAAAATAAGCCACGCCCACAGAACCAGTAGTAAAAAATTTTAGAACCCACCCCTGGCGGGAGGCCCTGCCCACCACCCCAGATGACATCATTGGTGATCCGCGCGCGAGCGATGCAAGCAATCCCGTTGCGATCCTGTTGCGAACTGGTAATAAAGGTAAGTAGAACTCACCCCTGCCCTACACAATTTCTGACAGATGGCAGTCCAGTTTCTTCTTGAAAGCTTCCAGTGATGAAGCTCCTATAACTTCTAAAGGCAACTTCTGTTCCATTCGTTGATTGCTCTCACTGTCAGGCTGAATCTCTCCTTGTTCAGTAGCGGGCTGGAGACTAAAACATATGAAGAATAGTTGCAGGATTTGGTATGTCTGGTCTAGAGAAAAGAAGGACTAGGGGTGACATGATAGCAGTGTTCCAGTATTTGAGGGGTTGCCACAAAGAAGAGGGGGGTCAAATTATTCTTCAAAGCACCTGAGGGCAGGACAAGAAACAATGGTTGGAAACTAATCAAAGAGAGAAGCAACCTGGAACTAAGGAGAAATTTCCTAACAGTGAAGACAATTAACCAGCGGAACAGCTTGCCTCCAGAAATCATGGGCGCTCCGTCATTGGAAGTTTTCAAGAAGAGATTGGACAACCACTTGTCTGGAATTGTGTAATTGTGTCTCCTGTTCAAGCAGAGAGTTGGACTAGAAGACCTCCAAGGTCCCTTCCGACTCTATTGTTCCATGTTCTATTTTCAGAAAGTGGCAGAAGAGGGATAATGCCGATGCATTATCTCCACATAATACCTGGGCTGATCCCAGAGCAGGGTGCCACCCCTGTACCCCTGTGATGATCTGGGCCTCATCATTCTTCTGGTTTTGCAGCATTTTTTTTTTTTTTTTGCAACATTGGTTCTGAAGCCACAGGGGGAATTTTCTCATGAGGAAATCTTTATGGGGGGATACAGTCTCTGACAAGCATGTGGGTGGGTGTGGGAGTATTCAGCCTGCAGGGAGGCTGTGGGTGCATGTGGAAGTTGTAAAGGAGCCAGTGCAGATCTATGTCTTTTAAGGTAATTAGCCCTGCCAGCAAATATGCTTAGAAGCCCTCTGAGCATTGGAGGTTTGGCAAGGGGGCGGAATGGTGGCAAAGAAAGGGCAAGTCTTAAATTCCAGAGAAGGGGTCCCTGGGGTTTTAACAGCAAGCCTATTGAGGTATTGAAATATAAAATGTTGTGGCTTAATGCTCTCAGTTGTGTGCATTATCCAATGACCTAATAGCAACATGCATCACACTAAACCCAGGTTAATCTAACATAATTGCTATGTCTACGTAGCCAGAGAAACCATCTTATGACTTGAGGTGATTTTCACAACAAGCTAAGCTAAGCCCCTTGGCTGGGTTTTAGTGGGCAGGTCTTAGTCAATAGCTAGAGGTGCTGGGGAAGCAGCTTGACTCTTTAAAGCAGAGGTCTTCAAACTTGGCAGCTTTAAGACTTGTGGGCTTCAACTCCCAGAATTCTCCAGCCAGCTCGAGAATTCTGGGAGTTGAAGTCCACAAGTCTTAAAGCTGCCAAGTTTGAAGACCTCTGCTTTAAAGCTTGCAAGGGCATATCTGGGGTGTGTGCAGGGAGAATGGGGTGCTGCAGCCAACTTCTCAGTGCCAAGCCACTGTGGAATAAGAATTACACTAATATCGAAGAAATCGTGGAATAGAATCATGAAAGAAAAGAGGGACAAAACGAAATGTAAATGACGAAAAATAAAACATTTTTAAAGATTATTTTTTTTAATAATTAAATTGAATAGTTGAAATGGCCCGTGGTGAATTGGCCATGATGAGTTCAGGAGTGGTCTGCTGGGGATTCGCAGGGGTTCGGGAGAACCTCTAGCTAAGATTCTGTGCACTTTGGAGACACCCCCCCCCCCAAACCCCATTCCTGGCTGGCCCTGCCCACCCCACCCCTCCCAGGAGTCCCCACATGGCCTGATTTGGATGCAGGTAAGTGCATGGAGGCTCAGGGAGGGCAAAAAATGGGCCTACCAGAAATTCGGAAAGGCCGGAAACTGGCCTGTTTCTGGCCTCCAGAGGGCCTCTGGAGTCTGGGGAGGCTGTTTTTGCCCTCCCAGAGGCTTGAGGAAAGCCTCCAGAGCCTGGGGAGGGCAAAAATGCCCTCTCCACTGTGGTGCAGGAGGCCAAGGAGGCCACGACCACCCAGCAACCAGGCAGAGAACCCCTTGCTAAAATTTTTGAAGCCCACCCCTGGGTGAGTTGACTGTGGCGAGTTGTCCCATTCTGTCATCTCTATGACTTGGGCTCAGTTTCCCTTGAGAGCGTCTCTTGGAGACCAGACATTAAAAGGCTTCGCTCACCTGCCAGGGCTGTGAGTGATGGATGCCCTGAACATCCCCACCCCAACCCTGAAGAAGCAGGAAGAAAGCAGCACCATTTGCTCAGCTGTTCTGCATAGATGGAAGGGCTGGGTTGGGCTTCAACACCCCGTGCAGCAAAATCAACAATGATGCCTTCAGGGATGGGATGGAGGAGGGGCCCTGGAGCTGACTTTGTTGTCAGGCTGTAATGAAACAACCCCCTCCCCAACCATCTGGGAGTTCAGCCACATTCTGCAGCCGTCTTGCAAACTGCAATGTCCCCCACGTGGGCCGACACACAAACTCTCTTTGCTTCCTGTTTGATATTGAAAACAACCCAAGGCTCAAGATTGTTGCCCCATCTCTGTGCCAGCAGCTAGCTCCTCTTACCTCCCTTTGCTAGCCTTGAGGGACACATCCATCCGGTGGTCAGATCAGCATGCAGGCAGTGCTCCTGCAGGCTGGACACTGCTGATGTCCAGGAGAAGAAAGGACATACAGTAGAACATAGAACAATAGAGTTGGAAGGGACCTCAGAGGTCTTCTAATCCAATCTGCTGCTCGAGCAGAAGATCCTATATCAGTGATAGCTAACTTTTTCTGGACTGAATGCCCAAAGTGTGCGCGCGAATGCGCGTGCGCGCCCGAACCCCCAAAATGCAATGCGCGTGCTTCTCATGCATGCCCCCAGCCACCCCACATGTGTGAATCCCCCACATGCACCCTGCCCATGCCCATACACTTGAGGCTCCCCGCATGCACTCTGCTCCTGCATGCATGCGTGCACGCCCCCCCTCTATGCGCTTCACCCCCCATGTATGCACAGCAGAGACCCAAAGACCAGCTGGCGCGTGCATGCACAGTATAGCTGAACTGGGGCGATGACTTGTGCCATCATGGTCCTATATTATTTCAGACAAATAGTTGTCCAGTCTCTTTTTGAAAGCCTCCAGTGATGGAGCACCCAAAACTCCTGAAGGCAAGCCGAGCCGTTCCACTGATTGATTGTTCTCACCATTAGGAAATTTCTTTTTAGTTCCAGGTTGTTTCTCTCCTTGATTAGTTTCCATCCGTTGCTTCTCGTCTTGCCTTTTGGTCCTTTGGAAAATAGTTTGAACCCCCCACCATCTTTGTAGAAGCACCTCAAATGTTGGAATAGTCCCCCCTAGCTCTTCTTTTCATTAAACTAGATTTACCCAATTCCTGTAACCATTCTTCATATGTTCTTCTCAGGCTTCTGAGCTTCTCTGCTTTGGGTTATGTGCCTTTGTGACAGCAGCAGCCAAGATGTTGAGACTCTGGAAAGAGTGCAGAGAAGAGCAACCAAGATGATGAGGGGACTGGAGGCTAAAACATGCGATGAACGGTTGCAGGAACTGGGCATGGCTAGTCTAGTGAAGAGAAGGACCAGGGGAGACAGGAGAGCATCTTCCAATATTTGAGGGACTGCCACAGAGAAGAGGAAGGGGGTCAAGCTGTTTTTCAAAGCATCCGAAGGCCAGACAAGGAAGAATGGATGGAAACAATTGCCTCCCACCGGCCAGTTTGCTCCCACAGAGAGGGTCTCCTCAGGGTGCCGTCGGCCAGACAATGTCGGCTGGCGACCCCCAGGGGGAGAGCCTTCTCTGTGGTGGCATGGAACAATCTACCCCCAGAGATACGAGTGATCCCAGACCCCCGGACTTTTCGTCGGGCCCTTAAAACCTACTTCTTTCAGTTAGCTGGGCTGTCCTGATTTTATGATGGGGTTTTTAAAATTTGAAATTGGTTTTAAATTGAAATGTTTTAAATTATGGGCCAAATTATTTAATTATTTTAAATCTATTTTAACTTTTGTATATAAAGTGTTTTACTTGGCTGTTCACTGACCTGAGTCTGAAAGGAGAAGGGCGGTATAGAAATTTGAAAAATAAATAAACTGATCAAGGAGAGATTCAACTTGGAAATAAGGAGAAAATTTCTGACAGGGAGAACAATCAAGCAATGGGACAGACGTTGCCTTCAGAAACTGTGGGAGCTTCATCACTGGAGGCTTTCAAGAAGAGATTGGAGTGCCATTTGTCAGAGATGGTGTAGGGTCTCCTGCTTGAGTGAGGGGTTGGATTAGATGACCTCCAAGGTCCCTTCCAACTCTGTTAATCTGTTAACCCCCTGCCCCTTCCCTAACCCGGGTCTGCTCTCATGTTCCCAGGATCTTCATCCCCAGGAAACACCGGCAGCGCTTTGATGAGGTGGTATCCCAGAGTCTCATCAGCAAGCTGTGCCGATCCAAGAGGGAACAGCCGGCCAACCGCCTGAGACGGAGCCGCAGTGAAGACCACCACGAGCGCTTGCTGGTCTCCACCCGGGCCAGCTCGGTGCCCCGGAGCCAGGAGGAGAATTGCCTGAGCTTGAGGAAATCCGCCACCCTGATTGGCAGCAATGTGGGAACAGGGGCAGCTTGCAGGTAAGAACCTGCGGAGACCCCCTCCTGAAGATACAGGTTCTAGAATGGAACCTGTCCATTACCAAAAGACCTAAAGATCTTGTGCACAACTTGTTTTTAGATCATTTTGGAAAGGAGAGGAGAAGAAAGTTTATTGATATATTTATGCATAGTCCAATGTTAGTGAACTTTTTCGGCACCGAGTGCTGAAACGGGGGCATGCATGCATATGCGTATGCCAGAAACCGGAAGAGCACAGCAAGGGCTCGCACATATGCACCTGCCACCTGGTCTTCTGGTTTTTGACATGCATGTATTTGCGAAGACCAGCTGGCCGGGGCGCAGTCATGCGTTGGAAACCAGAAGATCATCTTCCCGGTGCATGCATGCTAGCTGCGCATCGGAAACCGGAAGAGCAACGGGCGACGCCTCGCATGCCCGGTGAGATGGCTCTGCGTGCCACTTCTGGCACGCATGCCATAGGCTCCCCATCACGGGCATAGTCTGTGGAGACCTTATATCTCCTTGGGATCTTGTGAGGAGGGGCAGACTAGGAAACCTTAACCTGAAGACTTGAACGAGAAGTGGAAATATGAAGGACAAAATCCTACTGCATAGGAAAAAGATTGCTAGGGGTTGTTTTTTTAATTGACTGGTAGAGAAGTGATCAGTGTAACATGCCAGTCAAAGACAGAATTGCAAAGATTTTCAGTTTGGAAGGATTTTTATATGTGAAGTAGTGTTTCAAGGTTGACTCAGCCTTCTGAGGTGGGTAAAATGACCCAGATTGTTGGGGGCAACATGACTCTCTAAACTGCTTAGAGAGGGCTGTAAAGCACTGTGAAGTGTTATAGAAGGGCTATCCCTTTTCCTTCCTTCCTTCCTTCCTTCCTTCCTTCCTTCCTTCCTTCCTTCCTTCCTTCCTTCCTTCCTCTAAGTGCTATTGCTGTTCTCAACCTTGGCTGGGGAATTCTGGGAGTTGAAGTCCACCCATCTTAAAGTGGCCAAGGTTGAGAAACACTCATGTCAAGAGAGGCAGGGAAGGGGTTCAGAGATCTCTGCAGACAGCTGAACGGGGAGAAAAAGTCCTGCTCTGCTCCTTTTCGGATTCCCTGTCTGATGTAAGGACTACAGTGTGCTCTCCTTCCGCAGAACCGTCCGGGTCTACAAGGGCAGCAGAAGTTTCGGGTTCACGTTACGTGGCCATGCCCCTGTGTGGATCGAGTCCATCTTGCCTGGTAAGAGGAACTCTCATTTGTTGCCGAAGACTTCCATTTCTCAGGCAAACCTGGCAAGGTTGCCCAAACTTCGCTTGGAGCCCAGATATTTTAGAAATACCTTTGGGTTCTTCCTCGATCACGAATTCTTCGCCAAATGGACTATTTGACCAGTGTCTTCTTCAAAAGTATGCAACTATGTTTTAAGGGTGCACTTGTCCTTTGAATGAAATCCAGGGGTCACTCCAGCAAGTGAAAGAACAGAGTAATTTACATGGTGATGGCCACTATTTTGACTTTTCTGGCCTCTCTTCTGGGTACTCCTAATCTACCAGCCTCTGCAAAGGAAATGCAGCCAGGGCAAGGGAATGGGTGCAACCAGAACAAAAATAAAATATGATTTAATTCAATTTCAATGGTATCCAAGTGAAATCTTGTTCATTTTAATTAAGTAATTCGATCATGATCTCCTACGAATTTCATCCTTTTCCTGCTCTATCTACAAATAAAACTACACTACCTACCACGACCACTTTTGTAGCTACAGGTGGCTTCACATTGTGTATATTTGCACTAGGTGGGAACACAGAGTAAAAATTCCTCTCTGGCGACACCGTTTCATCCTTCTGGACTCAGGCCGCCACATGCCTGTGAATGAGGTCAGGGGCCATGAAATTTATGAGCAAAATTGGTGGACTCATCCAGATCTCCCAACATCCTAGGTGTGAGAGTGTATCGCCACTTTGGGGCTGTTTCCCAATCTGAACCAGGGCATGAATATCGGAGAAATCTTCTTCTCTGCGACTGTAAATGTTCTGTTCTCACTACATGTTACCTTGTGTGTAGTTCGGCATGCAGCTAAACCCTCCTATCCTTTAATAAACCAGATTGTGTACGTAGATCTTGATGTCTTATTAAAAACAGGATGAGGTGACACATCAATGCTATTGTAGAAAGTTAGCACCCACCCCTCTCCTAGAAGAATGAAATATTTTGAGAAATATTTTTAAAAAGGCAGAATATTATATTTCCCTGGATGAGAAATGGAGAAACATGCTCTTGGAAAGCAGCCCCCATCTTCCTTAATAACCCACAGCAGTTGTCAGCACTTAAGAGATAAAGAGATAGCTAGCTCTATTCATAAGCAAATTCCCTGCGGCAAGGTCTGAACAAAAGTAAGGTTAGCCCTCAGCCACAATAGGAATTGCCCAACAAGCCCCTTCATTTCATCAGCCCAAACTTCAACCAAGCTTAGCTCATACAAATTCCTAGGATTTTTACATGGCCTCATGGGAGTGTGATAACAGCCAATAGAATACATGTTCTTGTACAGGAACATTAAGCTCAAGTGTAAAGCCCAAGAGAAGATATAAAAGCCACCCTCTCTCAACTCCATGTGATCAGCTGCCCAGAATCACATGTGCTTGGTGGTTCTGTTCATCATTAAACCATCTTTCCAATCAGCCTCCATGTTTTCAGTGTCTTTCTCCTAGCTTGGAACTGGACCTGGATATTTCTTCCAACACTATGTATGGGATACAGATTTTGTCTTCAGAAGAACATATGTCACAGACGAAGCTGGATTCTTCTAGATGTTTCTGTTACCCCAGAATGTTACAAAATGGAGTCTGGCTTCACAGGATGCGCTTTTTTCTTTTCTTTTTCTTTTTTACAGAATATGGAATAATAGGAAGTAGAGATATCCTGTAGGGTCCAACACCATCAAGTCAATTTCCAAACAATGAAAGATTTATGTTTGGTCACCAGATGGAGCTCAGTACAAAATCTGGTTTGATAGCTAGTGAGGGTGCCCTTCCAGGATCTTGTGATTCTACGCAAGAAAAAAAAAATATGGTGCTGGAATTGCCTAAAATCTTGGGAGTGAAGGGATCAGCCAAAAGGAGAGATGTGCCTTCGTGACCCTGGCAGATTCTGCAAATAGAGCAGCATTGGAGTCAGTGGTGGGATTTAAATAATTTAACAACTGGCTCTCTGCCCTAATGACTGGCTGGGTGGGAGTGGCCATGGTGGGTGTGGCCAGGGGGTGTGACAGGCAGCATTAGGTCTTCTGCACCCCCATGGGAGCAAAAAGAAGCCATGGGGGGGGGATGCGCTGCCCTCTTGAGCCCCATTTTGGGCCTAGTAGGTGTTGTGGTCCGCCAGCAGCCTGCGGAGCTGGCAGCGGAGTCGGACAGCGATGAGGCTGAGGAAGAACATGGGCCAGTCCTGGAGGCTGGGGAAGGCCCAGATTAGGGCTCTGCGTCAGAGACAGAGATGGGGCCAGGGCCATCGGGGAGTGATGCACGGACTCCAGAGTCTCCAGAGGCTGACAATAGAGAGGCAGAGGAACAGGAGGAGCCTGTTCCTAGTGCACGTATGAGAAGAGCTGCCAGAAGGCAGGAGCAGCTAAAGCAGAGAGGACAACTCAGGAGTAGGGCCAAAAGATTATTGGCCCCTCCCATAAGGCTTAAAAGACCAGCAACGGCTTTTGGCCTCTTTGCCGGAAAACAACCGTTGAGAGATTTGCTTCGTATTTGGCTGTAGTTATTTCTTCTGTTCCTGAACTGTTGCCAAGAAAAGCCTTTGGCAGTTTGCATAATTATCCCAAGGTCAGAGATAAACTGAAGACTGGTTCAGCCAAATTTATTTAACTTGTTTTATTTCTATTTTAAATTTTGTATTTATATGTTTTATTTCATGGCTGTTCACCACCCTGAGTCCTTCGGGAGTAGGGCGGTATACAAATTTAATAAAATAAATAAATAAAATAAACTGGTGTTTTGAGGACTTTGCTTTCATTTAATTTGGACTATGCTGAGGATGAGTTAATTCTCAGCTGTTTTAATAAAATCTGTTCGTTTTTTGGAACTGTTTTGCATTTAATATCAACTATGTGGACCTGGGTCACAATAGTAGGCCTCCCTGAAGTTTCCCTGAAGCGAACATGGGCCGTGGGGATTCCTGGAAAGGTTGGGGAGGAGACAGCCAGCAATTTAACTACCGGTTTGTTTGAACCGGCCTGAACCGGCTGAATCCCACTACTGGTTCGAGTCCTCCAAGAGTGGTGGGTTTGTTTGATTGATTGTTTTGTCTTTGCAGGGAGTCCAGCTGAGAAAGCATCCCTGAAAGCTGGCGACAGAATCTTGTTCCTGAATGGCCTGGATATGAGGTGAATTAGCAGCTTCTTTGCTTTCCCCCACAATTATCTCTGGGGTTTGATGTCCTTCTGTCCCTGAGCTGGCTTGGACACATCTTTTCAACTCTCGCCAACGACTCCCCTGTCTACGTAGAGCCCACCGATGTTCTTACAGGCCCTCTTGGTGCTTCTTCTGTCCCTGATTGATCCTGTGTTCTGTTCCGCAGGAACTGTTCCCATGAGAAGGTGGTGTCCATGCTACAAGGCAGTGGGGCAATGCCCACCCTTGTGGTTGAAGAAGGCATTGTTAGCTTTTCCAGTGGTAAGCAAAGGCTTGGTCATAATCTTGGAAGGCTAGTCTGCTGTCTTCATCTTTATAAGAGTCGTTGTGGCGCAGTGGTTAGAATGCAGTACTGCAGGCTACTTCTGCTGACTACCGGCTGCCTGCAATTTGGCAATTCGAATCTCACCAGGCTCAAGGTTGACTCAGCCTTCCATCCTTGGTGGGTAAAATGAGGACCTAGATGGTGGGGGGCAATGTGCTGACTCTGTAAACCACTTAGAGAGGGCTGTAAAGTGTAAAGTGGTATATAAGTCTAAGTGCTATTGCTATTGCTATTTCCCCTGGCCCTGTTTCCACAAATGGTTCTTTTCCCCTTCCTTAAGCTTTAAAGTTAATAGGTCTGGAATCTAGTTCCTGGGAGAGTCCAAAACCCGTGTTCAGGATATTCGGGACTTTTGAAAACTCCAGGAACTTTCATCTTTAGCCAGTGGATGAGGCCACACAGCAAGAGATTCCTGCTGAATTTCTGTTCCCGCTTCAAAGTTACAAAATGGGGATGTCTTTACAGGTTCTGTTTTCAAACATGCCAATTACTGTTATTGGCATATAAATGGAACAGCCTACATGTCCTTAGCCCCAATTTTCTTTATATGGGCTCAAGAAAGATGGTTTGATCCCATGGGAAAAATAAAAGGGCTTTTTTACTAATCAGGGGTGTAAAACTGGTAGCCCACGGGCCGGATGCATCATACGCGGGCCATGCCCACCCCAACTCCGCAAAGGGGGAAAACGTCACAAAATGTCACGTGACAGCAATGAGACATGGCGAGTTTGACACCTGTGTACTAGATGAACAAGGAAGGGAGATCATAATAGTGTTAGAACAATCACAAAATTGGACCAAAAATGAAGCTTAAGAAAAGCTGAGAAACATTCTAAGGACGCAGCATAATGGAATATTACCAGCATAATCTGAGGGATATATTGGAGCATCAACGAATGTAAATCAGGTGACCACGGGGATGCTGCAACAGTCATAACTCTGAAAAATGGTCATAAATCACTTTTTTCAGTGCCATTGCAACTTTGAATGGTCACTAAGCAGACTGTCGTAAGTCGAGGACTACCTGAAGTAGTAAGGTTCCCTTTGCAATTTCTTAAGAAACATTCCATATATTTCATACAGAATCAAAGACGCATGTTTATTCTGATTTAAAAATCAGATCCTACCAATAGGCTCCACAGATTTAAGTGCAAACTTGGTTTGTCTTCTGTTTTAAGAGAGATTTGCTTCCTGTGCCTAGATGGCGAGTCCTCCGAAACACCCAGCTCCTCCTCAGCCCTCACCTCTTTGCAGTGGGTCGCTGAGATCCTGCCCTCCAGCATCAAGATCCAGGGAAGGACCTTCCACCAGCAGCTGGAACATCTGCTCACACCAGCAGAACGCTACACAGTCTGCAAAGCACTGGAGAGCTTCTTCCAGCACAGGTAAAGTGGTGGGGACTCCATCCGTCTATCCCAGTGAAAGGTTCACCAGGTTCTGCTCCCTTGTGCTCCTTCTTGCTTGGGCTCTACGTTTGGACTGAGCCCCACACAGCTTTGGGGAGGAATTGTGGGGCTTGAGGAGCTCAGGGCAGGAGCCCAGAGCTGGAGATTGGTCTCCAGTCACAGAAGAATGTCTGAATCAGCTTCAGCAAAGCTTTCCTCTGGCATGGAGATAAAGTGAAAAGCTTGCCTAACCCTTTAGTTTCAAAGATTGAGTCCACAGCCAGGGTGAAGCATCATGTGGGAATGGCCTTGGGAGACAGGAAGAAGAGCCGCGGTTGAGAACTGCCATGCAAAACAGTGGCGGAGTTCGGAGAGCTGCCTTTACACATCTTGCCAGGCCTTTGAGGCAGTCCAGACAAGGACTAGCCCTATTTTTATTGGAATAGAATAGAATGCAATGCAATGCAATGCAATGCAATAGTGGCATGGAATGGAATGGAATAGTGAAATGGAGTGGAGTGGAGTGGAGTGGAATAGAATAGTGGAGTGGAGAGTGGAGAGTGGAGTGGAGTGGAGTGGAGTGGAGTGGAGTGGAGTGGAATGGAATAGAATAGAATAGAATAGAATAGAATAGAATAGAATAGAATAGAATAGAATAGAGCTGGAAGGGGCCTTGGAGGTCTTTTAGTCCAGCTCCCTGCTCATCTCTCTTCCTTTTCCCTCTGGAAAACTAAGGAGGATCCCTTCTGAAATGCTTCCTACACCCTACACTGGTATAGGTTCTCCTGCTTGGGCAGGAGGCTGGTCTAGAAGACCTCCAAGGTCCCTTCCAGGCCTATTCTTTCTTGTATACCTCTTTTCCATCTGTGGGCTGAGCTACGTTTTGCATGATGGTTATTTAGCCTGCAGCTCTTCCTCCCTCTCCCAAGATTATTTCCACATGTATTACACAGACATAATTTTATCAGCTTCCATCTATACGCCTACAGAGACTTCTCCATATTACCCCTGTGTTGTAAGGCATTACCATATTTTTCGGAGTATAAGACGCACCTACCTTTTTTGGTGAGGAAAACAAGAAAAAGAAATCTGCCTCCCAGCAATTTTGCCTCGTTGCAGCAAACAGCAAATAGCAAATAGCAAATAGCCTGCTTTACTTTCATTTTTGTTTTCAGCATAACTTGATTAGCACAAGAAAAAAAAATCTGCTCCAGCAATTTACCTCCTTGCAGCAAGCAGCAGAGGCCCACGCAAAACAGCTGAGAGCAAAACAGCTGAGAGTTGGGAGGCCGATCCAATGAACTTGTGCTAATGAGGTTGTGCTGAAGTTGAAAGGAGCTGTTTCTTCTTGCTGCTTGCTGCTTGCTGCAAGGAGGTAACTGCTGAGAGGCAGAGGCCAAAGTGTGGGGGCCAGTGGGTGCACCTAAATTTTCACCCCCTTTTAGGGGGAAAAACGGTGTGTCTTATACTTCAAAAAATATGGTATGCTGACTGCCAATTCACTTCCGGGCAAAATATGGAAACTTTTTTAAACTTTTACCTTTAAAACCCCGTGCAGTTTAGACTCAGGAGAGAGAGGACATCTCTTTCGTTATGAACATCTGTTCTTCCAGAGATTGAACATAGAACATAGAATAACAGAGTTGGACGGGACCTTGGAGGACATCTAGTCTAATTTCTGCACTACTAGGCAAGTCTGTACCATTATCTGAGAAAGTTTGCCTTCTTTGTTGTCACAAAGAGATCACTGACTTTTTTGTTATCGTTTGAAAAGGCCTACAAAAATCAACTTTTTAAAAGGTTCTGAAGTTTGGATTTCAACTATTGATTTTAACTGTACATCTTAATAATTATGGCATTGTCATATTACCATTTGCTATTTAACCAGCTATGTTGTGTTTTTAATGACTCACGTTTGCCTTGTAAAATAAATTTGCTTTACTATAAATCACTGCCAAGTTTTGTAGTATAACTAAACTTAACTAAACAATAAAGAAGTAAGCAAACAATAAAACACTTGCGTGAAACCCCTGATCCAGCCATCTGCCAACTTTTGCCACCAGCCCTTCTCCATCCCGTTTGAAAAGCATGATTGGTGGATATTGAGTGGCAGATAACATTTGGTGGGAGGGGAGGAAAACTAAAGATGGGGAGCCCCCAATCCTTATTGCAGGGTGTCTCCGATACCCAAAATTATTCCAGCTGTTTTGTTTATTTATGTATTTTTTATTCATTTATTACATTTTTATGCTCTTTCGTTCAGTTTTGCCAGCATTTCATTTTGAACACATCTTAGTTTTCAGGGATCTATCATTAGTTCAGAGAGGGTTTTTTTCCCCCAAAACTGTCATTGTATTGATTGGCCATTTGGCCCCCTGGTGTGAAGAGAATGGAACTCAACACAGATAGCATCTCCACTCTGAGATACGTGCTGGGCATGAGGGTAAGAGATAAGACGGTTAATCAAAAGGCAGGAACATCTGTTTTGACAAATGCCAGATACTTTACAGACCCTAATAACAGCATATTTTCCTTGCAGGAAGTTAGTTGCAGGAATACAAATATAAGGGTCTAATGTGGCATATTTGTGTTATAACTACAAAGACACAATATATATATGTATATATGTACGTGTTACAGGAAACAAATATTTACAGCATGTAAGTCTACCAGGGCATCATCTAGTTTAGTATTCCAGTATATTATATTCTGGTATTATTCAGTATACCCTGATAGAGTAGAGTAGAGTAGAGTAGAGTAGAGTAGAGTAGAGTAGAGTAAGAGTAGAGTAGAGTACAGTACAATACAATACATACAATACAATACAATACAATACAATACAATACAATACAATACAATACAATACAATACAATATAATAGAATTCTTTATTGGCCAAGTGTGATTGGACACACAAGGAATTTGTCTTTGATGCATATGCTCTCAGTGTACATGAAAGAAAAGATATATTCATCAAGAATCATAACAGGGGGCACTGTTCTACAGTGGTTCTCCTCCTTTCTCTCTGACCGGTCGCAGTCTGTGTTGACAGGGGGGCAGAGGTCGACCCCGAGGCCCCTTATATGTGGGGTGCCACAAGGATCGGTCCTCTCGCCTCTTCTATTCAACATTTATGTGAAGCCGCTAGGTGAGATCATCCGTGGTTTTGGGGTGAAGTACCATCAGTACGCTGATGACACCCAGCTGTACATCTCCACCCCAGACCACCCCAATGATGCCCTCGAGGTGATGTCCCGATGCCTGGAGGCCGTACGGATCTGGATGGGGAGGAACAAACTCAGACTCAACCCATCCAAGACCGAGTGGCTGTGGTTTCCGTCGTCCCGATATAGTCAGTTGGCGCTATCTCTGACTATTGAGGGCGAGTCGTTGGCCCCCACAGATGGGGTTCGCAACTTGGGCATCCTCCTGGACTCGCGGCTGTCTTTAGAAGAGCATATGACGGCCGTGGCCAGGAGGACTTTTTATCAGGTACGCCTGATTCGCCAGTTGCGTCCCTTTCTGGATCGGGACTCGTTACGCACGGTCACTCACGCCCTTGTCACCTCACACCTGGATTATTGTAATGCTCTCTACATGGGGCTCCCCTTGAGAAGCACCCGGAGGCTCCAACTGGTCCAGAATGCGGCCGCACGGGTGGTGATGGGAGCAATGTGGCGCTCTCATGTAACCCCCCTCCTGCGCGAGCTGCACTGGCTCCCGGTGGTTTTCCGGGTGCGCTTCAAGGTTTTGGTTACTATCTTTAGAGCGCTCCATGGCTCAGGACCAGGGTACTTACGAAACCGCCTCCTGCCACCAATAGCCTCTCACCGACCAGTTCGCTCCCATAGAGAGGGACTCCTCAGGGTGCCGTTGGCCAAACAATGTCGACTGATGGCCCCCAGGGGGAGAGCCTTCTCTGTGGGGGCACCTACCATCTGGAACGGGCTTCCTCCGGAGTTACGAAACATCCAAGACTTACGCATTTTCCGACGTGCCCTGAAAACATTTCTATTCCAACAAGCTGGTCTGGCCTAACTCTCCCTTTTTAATTGGCTTTTAAACTGGCTTTTAAATCGGGTTTTAGACCTCTTTAGATAAATTTGGATGTTTTAATCTTTGAGCCTAAATTACTTAATCTGTTTTTTAATAGTTTTTAACTTCTATATGTATTTGTATTTATTATGGCTGTTCACCGCCCTGAGTCCTTCGGGAGTAGGGCGGTATACAAATATGAAAAATAAATAAATAAATAAATAAATAAGGTACAACACTTAATGATAGTCATAGGGTACAAATAAGCAATCAGGATCTTATTACCATTTCCCTTCAGTATCTCTCCCCCCAAATTCTTTAAATTGTCCATGATTATTGTAACTGACAAGAAGACAGATTCCTGTGGAACAGTAGAAAAATGTGAAGCTCAATTCCTAACATGAAGTACAATTCAAGAGTGGGTCGAGTGGCTGGAGAAGGGATGTCTCCCCTCCATTCAGCGTGTCCAGGCCGAACAGTGGATATCTGGGGGCTTCTTATTTGTATTCATGTCCTCAGGCCTCTTCCGGCTCTTCTCTAATGGTCATGTGATCTTCTCTTGGATTTGGATTTTCTTCCCAGCCCCCTCTGCCCTAAATAAGTCTTTGCTCCCTTCCTTGTCCTCTCAGGAACATTGACACCTTGATTGTGGATGTCTACCCTGTCCTGGACACCCCCTCCAAGCAGGTGATCTGGCAGTTCATCTACCAGTTGCTAACCTATGAGGAGCAGGCCCACTGCCAGCAGAAGATTGCCAGGTTCCTTGGCTACAAGTCCTTGGCAATTGAGTCATCTGATGCTGGTGAGTTGCACCCACGGGTGCCACTTCTGGACTGTCCAGCAGCTCATAGTATCCTCATAGTGCGTGAAATATGGATTGCAATGTGTGTTTGTGTGTGAAGATTTGTCCTATCCACCATTAAACCATCTTTCCAAACAGCTTCCATGTTTCCAGTGTCTTTCTCCCCACTTGGAACTGAACCAAGATGGTTTAATGGTGGATATATATTTATATATATATAAATGTATTCTGATTGGTTGTCAGACTCCCATGGGGCCATGCAGGGGCAACTTTGTAGGTTGTCTTGAGTCCCAGGCTTCATTGAATCCCGCTGGGTGATGTAATCTTCCCAGGTGCCATGTGATGAGATGGGTAGAGGGCTAATCCTATTATGTCCTGAGGGTGAAGGTTTTTGTGTTGTAGATAAGCTGGCCCAGCCTTTTGTCCTGTAGATAGGATGGCACCAGTCTTTCTGGGGCTATTAACAAAGGTGGAGAACGCTTTCCAAGAGCATGTTTCTCCTTTTCTCATCCGGGGAGGTATAATATTCTGCCTTTTTAATATTTCCTAGTATTTTTCATTCTTCTAGGAGAGGGGTGGGTGCTAACCTCCTACAGTGAAAAAACATGTGTGTGTCTGTCCGTATTCTATGAACTAACAACAAAATATTACACACAGTTAAAAAAGGTAGGTGTGCACAGATGGTTTTTGGAAAGGAAGGTAAGGGAAACTCTCCAAGGAACGGCTCAGGAACCGTTAGCAGTTTGCTAAAAAGAGCTGCTACAAAGGTTCTGGACGGTAGAAGTGGGGCAGGAAGAATGACCTGGAGGTATTTCCAGAAAACCAGGTGCCTTAATTTCCAAAAGTAAGAGACAGAAATATTTCCTAATAGAAATAGGAACATTCTTTATTGGGCAAGTGTGATTGGACACACAAGGAATTTGTCTCCGGTGCAGAAGCTCTCTGTGTACATACAAACAAGAAAATGATCAGTCATAGAACATAAATCATAAGATAGAATAGAATGAGTGGAGGTCTTCTAGTCCAGCCCCCTGCTACATAACAAATTAACAGAGTTGGAAGGGACCTTATAGGTCATCTAGTCCAACCCGCCACCCAAGCAGGAGACCCTACACCATTTCTGACAAATGGCAGTCCAATCTTTTCTTGAAAGTCTCAAGTGATGAAGCTCCCACAGCTTCCGAAGGCAACTTCTGTTCCATTGTTTGATTATGCTCAAGCAGGAGAACCTATACCATTTCAGATAAGTGAAAACCATCTCATAATAACATTTTACACCTGAGGCTAACACCAAAGCTCCATACTTCCAGCATCATAGCAGATGGGAATTGTAGTTCTAACTTATGTGGAGAGTAGGAGGTTGAGGAAGTACCAGTAGAAGACAATCTCTCCAACTCAGGGTTGAATTATGGAGCCCTTGGTGCTCTCTGAGTTGTTTGCTTGTAGACGTTTTGTTACCTGGTTAGATAACATCTTCAGTGAGAGCCTCACTCTCTTCTAGCACTGAAGATGTTACTTAGCAGGGTAACGATATGTCTGCAAGCCAGCATCTAAGCTCAGAAAGCACCAAGGCTCCCCAGCTGAGGAAGTCTGGACTGGTGGGCCTTTTGAAGTTGATCTCATGAGGAGAGGAGGCATAATATTAGCCCACCTACCCCCTGCCTCCTGCTGCAGCCAAAGAGAGCGTGTCCCAGTTTGGGTGCTCAGAGGCTCATGAAGAGCTGCCCCACTAATGGTACAGAAAAGATTCTGACCAGGACTTGAAAGACATTGTTGGGCTAGAAATAGAAATAGAAATAGAATAATGGAACGGTACGGAACAGAATAGAATTTAGTCACTTATCTGAAATAGTATAGGTTCTCCTGCTTCAGCTTCAGTCCAGTCAGGGGGCTGGACTAGAAGACCTCTAAGGTCCCTTCCAGCTTATTCTAACCCTAACCCTAACCCTAACCCTAACCCTAACCCTAACCCTAACCCCTAACCCTAACCCTAACCCTAACCCGTATTGTATTGTATTGTATTGTATTGTATTGTATTGTATTTATTGTATTGTATTGTATTGTATTGTATTGTATTGTATTGTATTGTACTCTGCTCTGCTCTGCTCTGCTCTGCTCTGCTCTGCTCTATCCTTATTGGCCAAGTGTGATTGGACACCCACAAGGAATTTGTCTCCAGTGCAGAAGCTCTCAGTGTACATACAAGCAATGTGATAAATCATGATCATAATCATAATACAGTCATAAATTATAGGATACAACACTGAGTGACAGTCATAGGAGATTAAATAAAAGCAATCAACCTAAATCACAAGAGACAAACAAAGCGATAGCGATAAGATGCTAAAGGAATAGGTAATAGGAAAGATGAGAAGGATAACAGTAACAATACAGCCCTATTACATGTATGTAGTATGTAGGATATATGTATGTATGTAGGCCAGAGGTGGGTTTCAGCAGGTTCTGACCAGTTCTGGAGAACTGGTAGCGGAAATTTTGAGTAGTTCAGAGAACTGGTAAATACCACCTCTGGCTGACCCCGCCCCCATCTATTCTCTGCCTCCCAAATCCCAGCTGATCGGGAGGGAATGGGGATTTTGCAGTATCCTTCCTGTGGAGTGGGGTGGGAATGGAGATTTTACAGTATCCTTCCTGTGGAGTGGGGTGGGAATGGAGATTTTACAGTATCCTTCCCCTGCCATGCCCACCAAGCCACGCCCACCAAGCCATGTCACGTCCACCAAGCCACACCCACAGAACCAATAGTAAAAAAATTTTGAAACCCACCACTGATGTAGGTTGAGGGGGTGTTTTAGGCTTAGAAGAGGCAATGAGGAGCTCCAGAGAAAAGGTTTTAGGGAGCAGCCTGGGAATAAAAGGGGAGAAAGAGGAGCAGAAGGAAAACTCTTGGAGAGAGGAGCAAAGTCACCTCCTCAACAAATGTTCTTCTGCTCAAGGGGTTTAATGCCATTGTTGACCTTTGATGTTGCCCAGTGTTGAGCTGCTCTTTCCTCCCGCTAGGAAAAAAATCATAACAAATTCTTTGCTGGGGGACCCAGCCTGGCTCGTGGGCCTTTTATTTGCCCAATGAGACCCAGATACGGGAAGAACCAAAAGCTGTTGCCAAAAGCCGGCCGCCTATTCTCCTCGAAACATGTTTGGTCGAGTTTCCCAGGTGCAGGTTATAAATCCCAAGAAGCCTTCAGAAGCTGGGCAGACCCTGGGAAAGAGCCGGAGGAGGGAATGGAGGGACCAGGCGCCTTTGCCCACTCAGGAGTTTCAGATCCTCCTCACAGGCCGAGGGCCCCATCCTGGGAGTCAGTGGGAGATGCGCCAGGGCCCCGTCGGCTGCTTCTGCTCTCCTGGGTCTCTGCAGGATCCGTGCAGGCCCTGAAGAGAGCGGCTGCCAAGGCAACCAGGCGGCCTGGCAGGAGGCTATTAGCGCATCACCCGGGCTCTGCCGTGAACAACTCGCACCTACTTCTTCACGCAGGGTATTTCCTTGAGTTGCCGTGGCAACCTCAGGGCCAGCTGCATGTTTTCAGGGATTGTGGGCATTCATCTCATCAGAGTAAAATTAGAATGAAAGGTTTTAATCTTCAGCTTGGGAGTTGTTATTTACAGGCGAACGCCTGTGTTGCTTCCAAGGAGATTATTATTAAGCCAGAGAGCAGCCCAGATGCCCGGGAGGAGGGGAGGGTATGTGGGGAGTGGGTGAGAAGAGGTACGTGTGCATGTATGCATGTACAGTATGTATGTAAGAGGCATGGAGGAAGGAGAGGAGCAGCCAACTTGCTATGGTCAACTCACCACAGCCGACTCGCCACGAGACAAGAGTTACATTAATATCAAAGCAATAGTGGCATCAAACCATAAAAGAAAGGATTTCAAAGGAGGGACAAAAAAAGTTTTTTTTGTTTTTTATTTTTATTTCTCATAAACACATTTACGTGTACAGTCATTTATCCATCATTTTTCATTCTTATCTTTTAACTTTTATTTTTAATTTTTACTTTTTCGGGGCTGCTCTTTTACCCTTTACCTTTGCTCCAACCTTTCTTCTTCTCCTCCCCTTCTCTTCCTTCCTCTTTCTCCTCCTACTTCCTTTGTTCTTTCTCTCCTTCTCTTTCCTATTTCCCTTTCTCTTCCCCCACTCCTCTCTTCTTCTCCCCTTCTAACCTTCTCCTCTACTCCTCTTTCCCCTCCCTTTTCTTCCTCTCCTTTTCCCTTTCTTCTTTCTCCTCTCCTCTCCTCTCTTCTCCCTTCCTCTCTCTCTACTCCTTCCCCTCTCTCTTGTTGTTTCCCTTTTCAGTTCAATCTAAAGTGGTATTCGAGCAGCCCCAGTTTTTTAATTATCTTTATTTCATCATTTGCGTACATTTTTATAATATCTCACTTTTTTCCCCTTTTACACCCCCCCCCGCTTTCTCCTTTTACTTGGCATCATCTGGGTATCTATTTTTCTAATTGTTTTCTCCCATCTATTCTCTGTCTATTTTATCTCTATACCCTTATTCGTATTTCCTTTCTAACCAATTATAAAAAATTTTCCTATGTCTTGAAATACATCGACTCCTCTTTATTTGCCGTCGGAAGTTGTGGGAGCTTCATCACTGGAGGCTTTCAAGAAGAGATTGGAGTGACATTTGTCAGGCATGGTGTAGGGTCTCCTGCTTGGGTGGGGTGTTGGACTAGATGACCTCCAAGGTCCCTTCCAAGTCTGTTAATCTGTAATTTTGATGGGTGTCTAAAGCAAAGATCCTGGCTTATTCTTCCCAGCTGTTGCCGAACCCGAAGTAGAAGAGCAGCCACGGAGTTCCCTACGGACTGGCCCAGGGAGTCGGAAGAGTCTGCGTAGCCATAGCCCCAAGGACATTGAAGCCCGGGGTAGGTTGTGGGGCTGGGGCAGTGGTGGTCCTTGGCTTATTTCCCCTCCTTTGTACAGCAACTCCCTCTCACCTCTGTTTGCTTTGCCCCCCCAGAGGTAGGGAAGGGGGACCATATGCCCTCTCTGTAGATAGAGGTTTTGGGGGAAATGTTGATCAAATGCAATGCCAGCACAACAATGATGTTCAAATGCCTTGCAATGACCGAAGAGCTGGCTGTGTCCCCCTCAGATTGTATCTACAATATCTCGAGTGGGTTAACAGCTGCGTGCCGCTCGTCTTTGTGGAGAACATCTGGAACTTTCACTGGGCCACCTGGACTTTCTCACGCACACTGGTCCCCCCTTTTCCTCCTCTTCCTTAATCCAAGCAATCAACCGATTACTCAGGAGAGGCTCCGGATTTGCCTCAATGAGTAGGGGGTTGGGAAAGAAAAATCACAGAGATTTTGTGCTGACCTAGGCCTCCCAAGACGACTCCTCGTCCCGATAAAACCTCTTTTATTTAGGTTAAAGGGAATTCCTCTCCAGCAAAGTCTTTCCGGCAAACCGTCTTTCATGAGATTTCACAACTACAGACCTTTATCAGGCTTGGAGAGTTGCCAGGCCAATATCTTCCAAACGCCAGGCTGTAGCAGCAGCAATTATTTGGCAAGAAGTCAGGAACAGATCTTCACCCTCATGAATTGAACTAATTGTCTTCTGCAAACTCCCCTCCCCTTCACTCCTCTTTATTCCCTATGGGAGGGGCTATTCACCATCCACCTGTGGCTTTACTCCTGAGTCGGCCCTTGTTCCTTAGCTGTTCCCTTCTCCTGGCAGCTCTGTGCATGCGCACCTTGGGAAGAGGCTTCAGCTGTTCTTCTGCCCCACTGATGTCCGACTCCGAAGGCAGCTGATAACTGTTAGATGGCCCTGGCCCCATTTCTGCCTCCGACGCAGAGCACTCCTCAGAGCCCTCCCCAGACTCCAGAACTGGCCCATGTTCCTCCCCAACCTCCTCACTGTCTGAGTCTGCTGCCAGCTCTGCTCCAGAACAGATTTGTTCCAATTCAGGATTCCGATTTGATGGTTCCTGTGTCCGGCCTTGGCTCTCTCCAGCTCTGACTCATGCTGAGAAAACACCGGCTTCAGACCGAGTCTCTGAGCCAAATGACCAATTGCAAAGAATCCTATCGTGGCCATACTGATCCCTTTGCTTCCTCCTCTGGATCACGGCTTTGTTCCCACCCAGAATGGGCCTTTGCTCTGCTCCACCCCCATGACTGCTTATTACAGGTAGTCCTCGATTTACAACAGTTCATTTAGTGACCGTTCAAAGTTACGACGCTACTGAAAAAAGTGGCTTGTGACCGTTTTCCACACTTACCACCATTGTCTCACTTAGCAACTTAAATTTTGGGCTCAGTTATGGTCATAAGTAAAGGACTACCTGTATTACTTTTCTTCATTATTTACTAAATCTAGAGACGGCTTCCTAGACCCATGGAAGCCCTCAACAATATCAGCTACACCCCCAAATATCCTTTGTCAAGAATTACCTCCCCACCCCCAATAGCAAACATTGCCAATAAAAAACTCCAATAAATTCAGATGAAGGACATCTGAAGCCCTCAATTTACAGCCACAATTTCTGTTTCCAAAATTTCTGTTGTTAAATGAGACATTTGTTAAGTGAGTTTCGCCCCATTTTACGACCTTTCTTGCTACGGCTGTTGAAGTGAATCACTACAGTTGATTCAGATTCACAGTTCAGTGAATCTGGCTTCCCCATTGATTTTGCTTGTGAGACGGTTGCAAAAGGGGAAATCACGTGACACAGCAGGACTTCCGGTGGCACCGCAGGTGCCGAAGACGCTCTTCTCTTGAGCGCCAGCCCCGCGATCTCGTAAAGCCACTAGAACAGCGCAAATCAGCTGTCTAGCGGCTCGGAAACTTTCTCCCCGGGAAAAGGGGAGGAAGAGAGCAGACGGGCGTAGGTAGAGCTCCCAAGGCGCCCCAGGAACAATTCTGGGGCTCGAAGGGTGAGAGCTCCCTGGAAGCCTGACAGAGCTCTGGATCCGGGACGTTTCTGCTTTAAGCAGAAGAAGACGCAAACCATCAATCTTGAAGACCCTCCAGACCAGGGGTCTCCAACCTTGTCAACTTGAAGCTGGCTGGGGAATTCTGGAAGTTGAGGTCCTCCAGGCTTCAAGTTGACAAGGTTGGAGACCCCTGCTCCAGATGGAGCTCTGGGGACCTGTTACCCCTATCCCTGCAAGAATCCCCTGTTTTTTCTACAGGTTCCATTGAAGCCGCTGAGATGCCCAGCCGTTTAGCTCCTGGAGAACGCCAAGCAGGTGATGGAACCTCTCTTCCAGAGACCCCCAACCCCCAAATGGTGAGAGCCACACTCTTGAGGGCCCAGCCTAAGACGTGGGCTGCGGTAGGGTGTGGGGTGGGGGAGAAGAGTCAGCAGCGAAGTGGGTGCGACACATGGCTCCCTTCCTTCCTTCCGCTTGCAGATGTCGGCAGTCTATGCTGAGCTGGAAAGTCGCCTGACAGCTGGTTTTGGAGGGAAGTTGGGCCGCCTGCCTGTGTGCCGGACATCATCTCTGGCTTCAGAACCTGCAGGTAACTCCTCCGGTCTTGTGGGATACAGGAGACAACTTTTGGGGATTTATTTGGGATGGAATTGGATTTGGAATTTGTTAGGCAAAACCGGAGCTTTTCTCCCTGGTTGGTTGAGGTTAAGATCAGAAGTGAAGGAACTTGCAACCAAATTGACTTCATAATGCTGTAAAGTCCAAATAAATGCTATGTCAGGGTTCCGACGGATGCCCTAAATTAAATCATGAGCCTTAAGCCAAGCTTCAAAAGAAATCCAGTTATTTATTAGAAACTTCATGTCGGCACATATCCAAGTAAAGCCAACTCTGACCCCACGTAACTTATGCCCCAATCATGACCCTGTTTCTCCCGCCCCCCCAGGGTGTGTCATCAATCACATTTGCCAATGGAGCAATTTCATGGGTTGTAGAGATCACTCCTCTCCGGCCACTGTGGGTAACCCCAGGAGACAGCCTTGAAAGTGATATGTCTGGAATGTGCTTTCGTTTTTTGGCTGCTGTGCTGCTTTATCGGTTTCCCATTCCCCTTTGCCTATGGCAATGCGAGAGCAGGCCAGGGATGCTTTGCAAGTTGACATGCTATTTTATAGAATGACTCTCTTTAAAATTCAATTAAATGCAAACATGTTCATCATAAATGTGGTGTTGAGGCTCACCTGACAGACAATAAGTACTATCCTTGTATGATAAAATGGGCACAAAACTTTGCAGAACCAGTTATGATGGAAACGTGGGAAAAAATATGGGTTCAGAATGTTAAATTTATGCAGTCACAGAACTTGAGGGAAAATTTTTATAAAATGTTTTATAGGTGGCATTTAGATCCTAAGAAATTGTCGTGCATATATCCTAATGTTCAACCAAAATGTTGGAGATGTGATTGTTTAGATGCTACATATTATCATATATGGTGGACTTGCAAGAAAGTGAAGGCATTCTGGATAAAAATTTGGTAGGTTATGCAAAATGTTCTGAAGAAAAAACTCAAATTTTCTCCTCAATTGTTTTTATTGGGCATAGTTAAGGACTTTTCAAGGGGTGAAACAAAATTGATATTGTATATGGTGACAGCAGCTAGGTTATTGATTGGTCAATATTGGAAAAGGGATGTTATGCCTACTATTGAAGAATGGACTTTGAAGGTGGCCAGTTTTGCAGAAATGGCGAAGATATCAGCATACTTAAAAGACCGGACTCAAGAGACCTATGCATAGGAGTGGAAGAAATGGATAGATTATGTGCAGAATAAATATCAAACTAGGAAGTACCAGATAGCTTTTAGTTGAATGTTGTGTAGAAATGTATAGTATATAGGGGGTAGAATAGTTTAATGTCATGTAGAAATGTATAGTACACAGGGGGTAGAATAGATGGGTGGTAAAGTATGATATAATATGATGTGGATTTGGATTTCACCTTGGGGAAGTCATGGGAGGAGGGGAGGGCTAGGGAGGGTTAGGGAGGGAAAGGGGGGGGAATGGGAAAATTTGTACTTGTAAAACTTTTTCAATTAAAAAAAAAAAGAACTATCCTTCCCCCCCCAAAAAAGGTAACACTGAAAGTCGTAAAGAAATGACATCTCTTTCCGTTATCCCCTTCCCCAACTGTATATCAAATTGTATTTGAAAACAAAGTTGGTCATTTGGAAATCATTTCAAAGGATTTTTCTCTTCCCCCCATTTCCCCAGAAATGCATCGGACACCTCACACTATCTGTGGATTTAATTCTCCAAACTGGCTAATGTCAATTCAATAGCAGCTAATATTCTGATATTTCTTCTTTTCCTCTCTTAAGTGAAAGATGAATATGCCTCATTTTCAGCCCTTGGACTTTTGTTTCAAGCAAATGAAATTCACTTTTGTGTTCCGTGTGGAAGAATTTTAGATTCCTCAAGGTGCCTCAGTGGGATCTGGTGGTGTGAGGAAGATTTGTGTCAGTTTATGATGGTAAATTATGGGACACAGTGGCACAGTGGGTAAGACTTGGTCGGCAGTTCAGCGGTTTGAATCCCTACTGCCCCGTAACGGGGTGAGTTCCCGTTACTTGTCCCAGCTTCTGCCAACCTAGCAGTTCAAAAGCATGTAAAAAATGCAGGTAGAAAAATAGGGACCAGCTTTGGTGTTCCTTGTGCCTTTGGAGTTGAGTCATGCCAACTACATGAGCACGGAGACGTCTTCGGACAGCACTGGTGGGTACCTTTGGTGGGAAGGTAACAGCGTTCCGTGCGCCTTTAGTGTTTAGTCATACCGGCCACATGACCACGGAGACATCTTTGGACAGTGCTGGCTCTTCGGCTTTGAAACGGAGCTGAGCACCGCCCTCTAGAGTTGGGAATGACTAGCACATATATGCAAGGGGAACCTTTACATGGTGGTAAAAAAAAATCAGAAGGAATCTGGTAGCACCTTTTTCCAACCGACACCCTGCAGCAAATTTTAATAAAAGGTGTTATTCCAAAAAGGTGCAACCAGAATCTTTCTGACTGAATAACATCCGTGGTTGGTAGAGACCAAAATGCCCGGGGCAAAAGTTGGCATATGTGCTGCAGATGGCTGCGTGTCTCTTTCTGTATTTTCTGCAGGTACCCGCAAATCAGGATTGACTATTTCCTGGCAGAATGATCCTGCTCTGCAGCCTTGCTATTACCACTCGCCTGGTGGCCTCCCTTCCCCCTGCAGCACAGACTCAAACCCCTACGTCAGCCTGGACAGCAGCCCAGCCTTGTCACCTAAGCTGAGTCCCCTGTCTCGCCGGAGGAAGCTCTTCACCTTCTCGCGGCCGCCACGCAGCCGGGATACAGACCGCTTCCTGGATGCGCTGAGTGAGCAGCTGGGCCATCGCATCACCCTGGTGGACGACTTCCTGGTGCCTGAGAACGATTACGAGGAGGTGGGAGGAAGGCCGAGATTAGATTATTAGATTAATAGACTTGGGAGGGACCTTGTAGATCATCTAGTCTAAGCCCCTTGCCTAAGCAGGAGACCCTACGCCATTTTTGACATTTCTTCATGAAAGCCTCCAGTGATGAAGCTCCCACAACTTCCGAAGGCAAGAGGTTCTTCTCTAGCCAAAGGGGCCCACATGGAAGGGTCTGCAGGGAGGGGGGCTCCTCCCCTGGGGGGCCCTGCTTGAAACCTTCCTTTCCCTGGGATGAAAAGTTGCCCAAGCCAGATGCTCCAAAGTGGTTCTCTCCCCTTGTTTTGTATGTCTAAACAAGGTCAGGTAATCCTTGACTTAACAGTTCATTTAGTGATTGTTCAAAGTTACAACGGCACTGAGAAAAGGGACTTACGACCCTTATTCACTCTTACGTCCATTGCCTTGTGATCCAAATTCAGACGCTTGGCCACTGAGTCATATTTATGACGGTTGCAACAGGGTCCCAAGATCATGTGATCCCCTTTGCTGCCAGATTCGCTTCGCAACGGTGTCAAGAGAGGTCGTAAAATGGGACAAAATTCACTTGATAATGATCTCGTTTAGCAACAAAACGTTTGGGCTTAATTGTGGTCGTAAGTCAAGGGCCACCTGTAATGTGAGCCTTGATATTACTAAAAAGTAATTGAAACTGGCTACCGAATAGCCTAGAATCCTAGAGTTGGAAGGGACCTTGGAGGTCTTCTAGTCCAGGGGTCTGCAACCTTGGCAACTTTACGACATGGGGACTTCAACTCCCAGAATTCCTCAGCCAGCACATGCTAGTCCCCTACAGAAACCCTTAATGCAGGGGTGGTTCGGAACGGTTCGGGGGAACCGGATGTTAATTTTAATCTGGTTCGCTGAACCAGTAGTTGCAAGGACTGGCTGATCCCGCCCACCCTGCCCCTCCCAGGGTGGGTGGGATCAGCTAATCCTTGTAACTACTGTGGCCCGTTTTGGATACCAGGAAAATGCAGGACCTGTGCGGAGGCTCCGGGAGGGTGAAAAACAGGCCTACATGAAGTACCGGAAGTCTGGAAACAGGCCCATGTCCGGCCTCCGGAAGGCCTCTAGAGCCTGGGGGAAGCCGTTTTTGCCCTTCCGGAGGCTTGAGGATAGCCTCCGGAGCCTGGGGAGGGCGAACCCCCCCCCCCCCATGCCATGGTGCAGGAAGCCGACTAGGCCACGCTCCCATGGCCACACCCACCCAGCAACTGGGCAGAGAACTGGTTGCTAAAATTTTTCAATCCCACCCCTGCCTTAATGCCATTCTGGATGAATAAATCTTCCAGACTTTTCTTGAAAACAGCACAAATACAGCCCGATGCCCCCACAGGCTGGAAAGGGAGGCTTGGTCCTGCTTATCTCTTTTATCATTCTTGTTTCTTGTACTTCAGCATTATTGCACTGGGAATTGGCTGATTTCACAGCACCTGTGAACCCCCCACAAGTTCCACACCCATGCACTGCCCTTCGAGCACTCTTGCAAGAAACGAGAACGTTTGCTAAAGCCCCAAAAGACCTCTCCGTAAACACCTGTGTGGCCTTGGCTCCCTCCTGAATGCAAATTCCTGTGCGTGGGCAGGAGGGCGTCACCTCGCAAACCTAGGCTGAGCTAGTTAGTGCTGGGATGGGAGGCCACTGAGTAATCCCAGAGCTGGAAATGAATCTGGGAAGAAGAAAAATAGCATTTATTCTTATATACCATTTTACAGTGCTTTACAGCCCTCTCTAAGCGGTTTACAGAGTCAGAACATTGCCCCTCTCCCGCAACAATTTGGGTCCTCATTTTACCCACCACGGAAGGCTGGAAGGCTGAGTCAACCTTGAGCCTGGTAAGGATTGAACTGCTGGCAGTGGGTAGAGTCAGCCTTCTATACTGCATTCTAACCATTAGGAAGGAAGGAAGGAAGGAAGGAAGGAAGGAAGGAAGGAAGGAAGGGAGATTCGACCTGGCAAATTGCAGGCAGCCGGCAGTCAGCAGAAGTAGCCTGCAGTACTGCAATCTAACCACTGCGCCACCACGAAAATACTGCAGGGGGCCCATCTTTCATAGGCAACCCCAAGATCTGCAGAGTTGTGGCCCTGGAGTCACCCACTCATCTTGGAAGGGACTTATCTTTGGATCTGTTTTAAGATCTTTGGGTTCCAAACGGCCCCAGTTGATGCAGCAGAGTTTGTCAACTCTAGCTAATGCCAAGCTGGGTAAGAGAAGCTGGCTTGAATCCCTCCATCATTCGACAAATGACAAAAGATGAGAGTGTGTGTGTGTGTCAAACTATTTTGCAAAACACCAAAAGGCGAGATGAAAAACAATGGCTGGAAACTAACCAAGGAGAGAAGCAGCCTGGAATTAAGGAGAAACTTCCTTTAGAGTGAGAACAATTAATCCGTGGAACAGACGTTGCCTTCAGAAGTTGTGGGTGCTCCATCACTGGAGGCTTTGAAGAAGAGACTGGACAGCCATCTGTCTGAAATGGTGGAGGGGGGTGGACTAGAAGACTTCCAAAGTCCCTTCCAATTCTATTATTCTATGTTCTGGGTTCTATGTCTGGACAGCTATTTATCCAGAATGGTGTAGTAGAGTCTCCTTCTTGGGTAGATGATTGGATTAAGGTCCCTTCCAACTATGTAATTCTGTATATGTATATGAGAGGCAAATTTTGTATATGAGAAGCAAATCAGTTTTTATGCTGACGTCTTTGTCAGGATTCTTCTTACGGCAACGTATTTATGGGACTGGTTGTAACAGCTTTTCAGTTTGACAGTTTGGAGCCATCTGTGTGCTAGTAAACATCAAAAGGAAGAGAAAAACAACAGGCTTGGGGGGGGGAGCCAAATGGGTCTTTATTTTGTTTACTGAAACATAAAATGCACACTCGAGAGGCTCTGTAATTAACAGATGGAAAGAGAATTAAAATACAAGAAGGATCTGCAGGCCAAAATGTCCTCCTCTAAAACAGGGATCTCCAACCTTAGCAATTTTAAGAAAATTTTAAGACGTGTGGACTTCAACTCCCAGAATTCCCCAGCCAGCCAGCTGGCTGGGGAATTCTGGGAGTTGAAGTCCACACGTCTTAAAGTTGCCAAGGTTGGAGGCCCCTGCTTGAAAGAAGCAGAGTATAAATTTGGCATCTTAGGTGTTGGGTTGTCTATTGGGGGGGCCACACTTTGAATCTGGAAGGGACTGGGACCTAATTCAAAAAAGGAATTTTGCAAACCTGAAGTGGGGGGTCTTAAGCCTCTATGGACTTTTTTTGACACTTTCATCTTCCAATAATGCAAAAAAAATCCCCACCTTGATTTTGGTCCTTCCCGTTCTGAAGGCCAGAAGAAGATGCTGGGTGTTCCACCTGGAAAACAGCAGCTCCTCTCCAGGGTGAATCAGAGTTGTCCACACACAGGATGTCGTCAAAAAGTCAAGATGGTGGCCACAACTATGATTGAAGCACGTAGGACATATAAAAAGCAAATAGAGCTTCAAACACACCATTGTAATCACCATCCTGACTTTCTGACCTCAGGCTGTGGAAACCCCAGGAGGAATTAAGCAAGTATCTCAAAGGACTTCAGAGGACAGGAAAGCCTCTTCCAGGTAGACATCTCCTGGGGTCTAGGACAAGTTGCTGCAGTCATCTTGCCATGGCCAATTCATCATGGCCAACTCGCCATGGCCAAGTCATCATGGCCAACTCGCCATGGCCAAGTCATCATGGCCAACTTGCCACAGCCAACTGATCATGGCCAACTCACCACGGCCAACTCATCATGGCCAACTTGCCATGGCCAACTCATCATGGCCAACTCATCACAGCCAACTCACCATGGCCAACTCATCATGGCCAATTCACCATGGCCAAGCCATCATGGCCACCTCGCCACAGCCAACTGATCATGGCCAACTCGCCACGGCCAACTCATCACAGCCAACTCACCATGGCCAACTTGCTATGGGACAATTCGCCATGTTAGACTAATACTGAAGAAATGGTGAAATATCATCATTAAAGAAAGGATGCCAAAGGAAGGACAAAATGAAATGTGAATGGTAAAAAAACTAAAATAATTTTTAAATAATTTTAAATAATTAAATTGAATTGTTGAATTGTTCCGCAGCGAGTTTCCCACGGTGAGTTGGCCTGGGTGAGTTGTCCTGTGGCAAATTGGCCATGGCGAGTTGGCCATGACAAGTTGTCCCATTCCACCTCCTGGGGCAGGCACATGGAGAGCAAGGGAGGAAGATGCCTTCTCCTGGCCATTTTAATGTGCCCACCAGATGCCAATTTGTCAGGGGTGGCATAAGAGTCACCCTTCCTCTTCCCCTATAGACTCTGTCCAACCAATAAAACCTTTGGTGGCTTAAGATGAACCACATGCTAAGGTCTAACCACATGCTGATCCTGACTGGATCAGCATTGCGATTCCCATTGCAATCGCAACCACAAATCAGCCAAACCCCCCTTTTTTTTGTAAACTAGTTTTATTAGAATTTTTCTTTCATCATACAAATTTTATGAACATGAGTGTTGACCAGGTCCATCTGATACATCTTAGATATATTAATCTTTATAATCTATTCCAATCTTCCCATTTTTTCCATATTAATTTCTTTTATATAATTCTTTATCACAAATTAATCATTTTTCACCATATCTTGTTATTTCAGCTTCTACCATATTGTTCTTTTTTTTTCCAAGTGCATTTTACATGTTTCCAATTTCAGCCATAATATTCTTTTTTCCATACTTCTTTATCTTATCTTAATCTCTTCTTAATACATAATACATAAACAGTATCACTATCTGCCCTTAATTCCTAATCTCTCACAATAACATCAATTCATTATCTTATTTCTCCATTTCAAAATATATTTCTCAAAATCCCCATCCTGCTTTTTAATGTTTCAATTTTGTCTCTTAATTTAAATTGTCTTCAGAATTAAACCAAATTGCCATTTCACATTTCATCTGTTATTCTGTTGTACTATATGCAATATGCATCATCATATTCAAATCTTACATTAAAACCCTTTAACTTAATTGACCATCCACAACAAATCAGCCAACCTTATTTGTGATGTGGGGTGGAAACAGACCAGTGGTGGAATTCTATTTTTTTTACTACCAGTTCTGTGGGCGTGGTGTGGCTTGGTGGGCATGGCAGGGGAAGGATACTGCAAAATCTCCATTCCCACCCCACTCTGGGGCCAGCCAGAGGTGATATTTGCCAGTTCTGTGGGCATGGCTTGGTGGGTGTGGTGTGGCTTGGTGGGCGTGGCAGGTGAAGGATACTGTAAAATCTCCATTCCTCTCCCACTCCAGGGGAAGGATACTGCAAAATCTCCATTCCCACCCCACTCCAGGGGAAGGATATTGCAAAATCCCCATTCCCTCCCCACTCTGGGGCCAGTCTGAGGTGGTATTTGAAGGTTCTTCGAACTACTCAAAATTTCCGCTACTGGTTCTCCAGAACCTGTCAGAACCTGCTGAATAGCACCCCTGCCACAGACCAACAACTCTGAAAAGAATCATATTTTCTGAGGGTGAAGATGGGGGGGGATGGCATTTGTTTATTGTATATGTTTGTCCCCTTTTCCTGGAGACAGATGCTCCCTCCACACCTGTCCAAATGATACAATGTGCTTGTGAAGTTGGGATGCCCTGTGCCTTACCTGCCCATCCCTGCCCTTCTCTCCCCAGATGAGTTTCCACGATGACCAGGGCAGCTACATGGCCAATGACCGCAGCAGTGCCAGCGACGGCTTGAGCAGCAGCGAAGGGAGTTCCCTGACCTACTCCATCTTGTCAGACCACCTCCCCCCACCTCCGATCAGCCCACCCCCCAGACCTCCGCAGTTCCACGACCCCCAGGAAGAGCCCAGGGCCATGGAGGCAGCCCAGAGCGGTCCCTCCGGCCCCCACCCCACAGCTCAGCTCACCCTACCTCCTCCCCCTCCTCCCCCTCCCCTTCCTCCCCCAATGCCCTGTGTGCCCCCTCCGATGCTACAAGGAAGCGTTCACCACAGGAATGAGTCCAACCACATGAGTGTTAAGCGGCTGCGCTGGGAGCAGGTGGAGAACTCGGAAGGCACCATCTGGGGTCAGGTAGGATCAGAGCCCCAATGGAGGTGCATGTGTAGGACAAGGAATGGCAGGACCAGATGGGAGGCGGAGTGAAAAGAGGAATCAGCCTAGAATCCCTACATAGCCAGAAGCAAACTAAGTCAATCCCCCTTGAGTTGCTGTTGACCCTTCTCTAACTCCAACCAAGCGCTAACCATTAGCTGAGAAGATTCTGTGCATAGGCAAATAAATCAGCTTAATTGAACCTTCATGTGTGGACCTGGTCTTTCCTGCCTGACCGCATGATAACCCCGTCTCCTCCCACCCTGGGCCCTGCTTTGTGGAAATCTTGACTAGGTGGCTCAAGTGGCTAAGACACTGAGCTTGTCGATCAGAAAGGTCGGCAGTTCGACGGTTCAAATCCCTAGTACAGGTCTTCTGTGTGAGCAGGGGGTTGGACTAGATGACCTCCAAGGTCCCTTCCAACTCTGGTACTGTTATAGAAATCCTCTGAGCTTTCCACTCTGACTGATTAAAATGCCTGATGTGTGTGTACACCTTGCCACAACCTATGCCAGTTAATGATATGATTTTGAATGCTGTGCTAAGCTTTCCTTATTCTTTCCGTGTATATTTCTACAGTTACAAAAAAGGCATGCAAAGTGCATTTGGGGCACCGTGGGGCACTAGAGGCCTTGATTATAAAGCCATTTGGGCAGGGAGATGCCCCACCCTTTCTGCAGATTGTCCTCTTGTTGCTTTTGAGGGGGGGGGGAGAGATAAATAAGCAATATTTGGTCCCCAAAGAAGAACTGGTCATTTCAGTTGCATGCCTGGCTGTTTGGGGAGAGGCAGGTGGGCTTGTCAGTAACTCCTCCTCCAGGTTCCTTTGTGGCCTTGGTGCCAACCTTTGCTTGGTGGGGGCCAGGCAGGGGATTTAGTGCAAAGTGCTGGGCAGCCGGCAGTTGGGCTGAGTGGGCATCGGCCAGGAGGCCCCAGGGCCCTTAGAAGAGCCAAGGGTCAATTTGGCTCTTGGTGTATGACTGCCTGTTTCTTCCTTCCTGGCCTAGCTCGGGGAGGATTCGGACTATGACAAGCTAAGCGACATGGTCAAGTACCTGGATCTCGAGCTGCATTTTGGAACCCAGAAGCCAGCGAGTGAGTGTGGGGTCTCTGCCCAGCAGGGGCTTCGGGAAAGGGGGCTTGCTTTATAAAGCAAGGGGCAAGAGAAGCAGCTCACCTGGGTATTTGGTGGAGCCGTAGCCCCCTCTTACCCGGCTTGGAGGTAGTGGCTGTGCACATGGTGGATTTGCTTCTCTCTGTGGGGCTTCTCCTGCCTCTGTGCTCCCCTAGACATTTCCCCACAAACCCTTTGCTTGCTGACTCAGGGCAGCATCGCTTTGCTTCCCAGCTGTTCCTGGGGTGCTCTTAGCTTTCTGTTGGAGCTTTTCTGGCTCATTCTTGCTTGCTTCTACCCCATTGCTCCTCAAATCTAGGCCAATGCTGGTATGTGGGTCACAGCTGGGCAGAGAGTGGGCGGGCAGGCGAATTGCCAAGCCTTTTACTCCAATGCTCCCGGGGGGGTGGGGGGGAGTGGGGAGCCATCCACACATTTGCAAAGCAGGTGGATTCTGAAGTCCTTCCTCCCTCCGCTCTTCTGTGGGGCCATCCGGGCTCTCCAGATATGATAAAAAACTTCATCCCCCCATAATGCCCAGCCTTTGCTCTGGCCATTCTGGATGTCACTGGAGTGATAACTCAGAGGCTGATGAAGAGAGGTTTTGAAGAGCCCCTTTCTGTCGTTCAGCGGATGGGATGTCCATCATGGCAGTGACCCTTGCAACGTCTTGGAAGTTACGGGGCTAGTTGAAGATGCAGGCGGCCCAGGTTCAAACCCACCTGTGGCCAGAGAAGCTGATGGGGTCATGTTGGCCAGTTGTGCTCTTCCCTCCACCCCCAACCTACCTGACTGGGTGGTTGTTTGAAGAAAAATGTGGGTAGAATATATAATGCCTCGAGCTCCAGGAATTCACTAACTTCTTATTTGGACCTTCAAATCAATTTTTGACTCCTGATGTCGGCCTGGACTGGTCCCTTCAGTTTCTTTGTGAAGGTTTTTCAGGAGTGGTTTGGGATTTGTAACCACTGCACTAAACTGGTTCTCTAACTAATAAATGAATAAATAAATATATTTGGCTGTAATCATTAATCCCATATGAAGAGGCAACCTGAAGCCGAAAGGGACTTCCTTATGGCTACTGGGAAGTTCATGGCTCACAAATTTAAGGATACCCCTCAGCCAGCAGTGCTTGGGCTCCCCCTTATAGGTCTTTAGAAACCCACAAACATCCTCACCATTGCTCTCCAGAACTGGTTTTCAAAGGTAGACTGCCTCTAAGCTTGGAGGCAGATCATTGTGCCTGTTGTTGAGTTTCCCTTTTGAGCCTTGGACTGGGGTTGGTCATGCCAGAGGGACATGAAGGCAAAGGTGACATTCTGGGTGGGCCAGTTGGGGAAGCCAGGTGAAGAGGTTCAGGCTGTGAAAAGTGAAGATGAGGAGTCTTCCCCCCCCCAAGAAGCAATGGGGAATTAGGGGGTGCTGATGCTGGCTGGGACTGAGATGTTCTGAGCATCTCATGCCTTTGACTTGGAGATTCCAACTTGTCCTGGGATGCTGTGGGTGCCCGCCAGGAACTTCCAGGATGCACAATGCATGTCATGCCAGTCCTACAGCTTCATTTTTTTCTCCTTCCCAAGGCCTCTTGGACCCTCTCCTTATCTCACATTAAACCTTTCAGTTTCTCTTCCAGAGCCGAGCCCCTTGCCGGAGCCCCTTAAAAAAAAGCACCTGGTTGAGATTCTGTCCCACAAAAAGGCCTACAACACAGGTGAGTAACAGCCGGCGGGCCAGGGTGTGTGTGGAGAAGACCTCAGGGCAATGGACAGGTAGACAGAAACTTTGCCCAAGCTGGGGGTATCCATAGGTGTGCACATTTAAAAAAATGGGGTGCTTGGATTGCCCCATTGCTGCCACTGTCTCGATCTTTCTAACTACATCCTGCAGTTACCCACACCATCCCATACTCCTGGAGGAAAGGTAAGATATCATATAACGGTGCTGGGTCTCATAAATGGAGGGGACGAATCAGCATACAGGGAAGAAGTCCAGAAGGTATCCGCATGGCGTTCAAAAAACGACTTACATCTAAATACTAGTAAGACAAAGGAGATGGTGCTAGATTTCCGGAAGCACAGAGAGGAACCTGTCCCACTGTATATCGAGGGGGGGGGGCTGTATGGAGAGGGTTTCCTCTTTTAAATTCTTGGGAGTGCTTATTAGTCAAGATCTCACCTGGAAAAACCACATGTCCCTGGTGATTGGCCAGGCCCAACAGAGACTTCATTTCCTCAGAGTCCTGCGAAAAAATCAGGTGGAACAACAGCTGATGACCTCTTTCCAGTGGTGGGATTCAAGTAATTTAACAATCGGTTCTCTGCCCTAATGATTTCTTCCAAAAACCAGTTTGCCAAACTGTTTAGAAAGTTAACAACCGGTTCTCCCGAAGTGGTGCAAATTGGCTGAATCCCACCACTGCCTCTTTCTATCGGTCCACGATAGAAAGTGTCCTCGCGTACTGCATTGCAGTATGGTACGCTGGTTTAACTGCTCCAGACAGGAAGGCACTACAGCGAGTGATCAATTCAACACAAGAAACCATTGGTTGCCTTCAGGGGTGAAATGATCCCAGTTCGAATCGGATCGCCCAATCCGGTAGCGATGGCGGCGGGTGGTTCGGAGAACTGGTAACAAAAATCTCTCCTCCCCCTCCCGCCGCCCATGCCCAGCTGAGCCGTGCAATCATCAGAGGCTTTTTTTTTTACTTTTAAAAGCATTTTTTCTACAACCTCTTCAGCCAAAAAAAAATGCTTTTAAAAGAAAAAAAAGCCTCTGATGATTGCGCAGCTCAGCTGGGATCATCAGAGGCTTTTAAAAGCATTTTTTTAACAACCTCTTCGGCTGAAGTGGTTGTTTAAAAAATGCTTTTAAAAGGCTCTGACGATGCCAGCTGAGCTGTGCAATCATCAGAGGCTTTTTTTTTTACTTTTAAAAGCATTTTTTTTTTTTCCTGAAGAGGGTGTAGAAAAAATGCTTTTAAAAGTAAAAAAAAAAGGTTGGCCATGCCCACCCAGTCACATTACCCCCCCCCCCCCCAAGCCACGTTGACAGAACCGGTAGTAGCAAATTTTCACCACTGGTTGCCCTCTAAGCCCACTGGATGACATTGCCAGGTCTCTCTGCTTTAGCAGACTAAGGAAGATACTCAGAGATGATTCACAGCCTGGTCAGGGTCTCTTCGCACTTCTACCATCGGGCAGAAGACATCAAAGCATAGCCAGCCGAACAAATAGGTTTAAAAATAGTTTCTATCCTTGGGCTGTCAGACTCTTAAACACAACCACAATCACTCCATCCACACGCAGAAACATATGACTAACTTTTCTTTTTCTTTCTTTTTCTCCCCCCCCCCTAATAACTTGCATAGGGATTATTCTTTATACTATTTATGCTGTTTGTATTTTTTGTCATGGGTTGCACCAGTGAGGCTAAAACCAATTTCGTTGTATACTGATGTGCAATGACAATAAAGGCTATACTACTATATCAGTCAGAGGGTTGGAAGGGCCTTTGGAGGCCTTCTAGACCAACCCAGTACAGGAATCCTCATGCCACTCTGGACCAATGGCCCTCCAGTCGTTTCTGGAAAACATTTGATGATAAACTTAAAGAATAAACAGGTCTGTGGCAGAAAGTGCCACCGTCCTTGCTTGAATGTCACTGGGTGGGGTGGGGTGGGGTGACGACAGGACAGTCGAGACCTTGTGCTGCCCTGCTGGATGGGGGGAGGGCGCATCCGTATGGTCTTGGCCAGTCCTGGCTGAGAAACCAAAGCCGCTTCGGCAAAGTCCACCCAGTGTCCTGGCTGATGCTTTTCTCCTCCTCCGGCCAGCCATCTTGATTGCGCACCTCAAGCTCTCGCACATCGAGCTGCGCCGGATCCTCCTGAGCATGGACAGCGACCGCCTGGAAGCCTCCCACATCAAGCAGCTGCTGCTCTTCGCGCCTGACGCCAAGGAGGTGCAGCACTTCCACAGCTACCAGGGAGACCCCAGCAAGCTGAGCGAGCCGGACCAGTTTGTCCTGCAGGTGAGTCTGAGCGAGGTGCCGGCAAAGTCTGTTTGGGGGGGGGGGAGAGGCGAGAGCGGTCCAGTTGGGGGTCAAGGGGGGTCGGGGATGACATGAAAGCGTTTAGCAGCCCCTGAAAAATCTGAGGATGGGTGCATTTGATGGGCTGTATGCTAAATAAAGCCAGGTCATGACACACACTTGAAAGTAAATCAGGAAGTTAGAGATTATGAATATAAGATACGGGCATTCGCAGATGATTTGGTTATGACCTTAACTCATCCAGTGGAATCAGCAAAGGTTTTGATTGATATAATAAAACAGTATGGTCAAGTATCTGGGTTTAAGATAAACATTGGAAAAACAAAGATGATAGTTAAAAATATGACAGCTAATCAAAAAGAGGAGTTACAAAGGGTAACGGGATGTGAAATAGTTAAAAAAGTCAAGTATTTAGGAGTTTATATTGCATCTTCTAATGGTAAATTGTATAAGTATAATTATGAATTGATATGGCATAAAATACAAGTTGAAATGGATAATTGGAAAAAACTACAATTGTCCTTGTTGGGTAGAATAGCAGTTATAAAAATGAATGTGTTGCCTAGGTTTTTGTTCCTCTTTCAAATGATACCAATACTAAAAAAGGATGCCAACCTGGAAGAGTGGCAGAAAGGTATTAATAAGTTCGTATGGCAAGGTAAGAAACCAAGGATAAAATTGAAAATAATGCAGGACATACGAGAAAGAGGAGGACTGAAAATGCCAAATTTAAAATTGTACTATGAAGCAGCTGTTTTATCAGCAATTAGTGATTGGATTAATTTAACAAATGGAAGGATATTGAATATTGAAGGGTATGATCTGGTCTATGGTTGGCATGCTTATTTAGTGTATGAAAAAAGGGTGGACAGAGCATTTAAGAGTCATATACTGAGAAATGCTTTATTGCGTGTCTGGAAGAAATATCAATATAAGTTAAATGAAAAAATACCTATATGGACAGCACCCAGGCACGCAATAGAGAATACGAGTATAGAATGTAGACAGGATGTAATTACGTATAAAGATATTCTCATTATGGAGGGAGGTATATTAAAATTAAAATCTGTGAATGTGTTGAAAGAGGAGAAAATAATTCAAACATGGTTTCATGTTTGAAAAGACCAGAAAATTGGTGTTATACAAAGTGACGAAAATTTAATTAAACAAATTAGAGATCAAAGCCCAATGCATATAAAAAGATTGTATAATATACTGATAGAGATGGACTCAGAAACAGAGCTAGTTAAGGACTGTATGATAAAATGGGCGCAGAATTTTGAACAGCCAATAATGATGGAAACGTGGGAGAAAATATGGGTAACAAATGTGAAATTTACCAAAGCGCAAAATTTAAGGGAGAACTTTTATAAAATGTTTTATAGATGGCATCTAGATCCAAAAAAGTTATCTCGTATGTATCCGAATGTACAACCAAAATGTTGGAGATGTAATTGTGAGGATGCTACTTATTTTCACATTTGGTGGACATGTAAAAAGGTTAAAGCGTTTTGGATTAAAATCTGGTGGATTTTACAAAATATTCTTAAAAAGAGGTTGAAATTTACACCACAGCTGTTTCTTTTGGGTATAGTTACGGATTGTACAGTTATAAATTGATTTTGAATTTAATAACTGCAGCAAGACTGTTGGTGGCACAATATTGGAAGAAGCAAGGTTTACCTACAATCCAAGAGTGGACAATGAAAGTTATAAATCTAGCGGAAATGGCAAAAATCTCGGCGTACCTGAAGGATCATTCAAATGAAAGATATTTAAGAGACTGGAGAAGGTGGATAGATTATATTCAAAATAAATATCGGAATAAGAAATTGCAGATAGGTTATGAATGATTATATAGATATTTAGTGTGTCTTTAAGTAATAAAGCTAGGCGGGTAATTAGGGAATTGAAGAAACAAGAGATGTGAAATGTCATAATTGTTTAGATTAGGATTGATTATGATTGTTGAAGTTTATACCCTGTAATTTGTTCTGGGAAGGGGAGGGGGGGAGGGGGGAGGTTGAGGTAGGGAAGGGGGGGGAAATATGTAAACTTTTTGTAAAACTTTTCAATAAAAAAAAAAAAGTAAATCAGGAAGACTAATTGTGGAGTGTGTCTGGCAAGAACAAAGAACGCTTATCTACAGGAAATATGCACGTGTAAATCTTGTAACAATTCTGGGTAGTTAGAAAGCTGATAAAAGTAACAAGAGTTAGACAACTTGCAGGCCTCAGATAAAAATTAGGAATTGTGATGGCCTGCAGCCAATAAAATGTGTATTAGATAACTCCTGGGGTGTTTATTAGCCAAGTCTTAGGAATAGGGACAGCTAGAGAACAATAGAACAAATTGTAGAATTATTACTAAAATGTTTATTAGATTATATTTCTCGCCTTGTCCTGCCTTCTCCTTTAATGAAAATGTATAAAGCTTACTTAATCCTTTGTTCTTGGTTCTTGGCATTTTGGCCAAGAACCCTTTTCCTTGGAGTACTCCAATAAAAAGCAAACAGAAAACCTGCACCTCGTGTCTGGCGTCCACCATTGGCTTCGGCACCAGGCTCAGACCCGAATTGGGGACAATACATTATCTGTGGAAAACCTCTTTGGGGCGATTGGTGTTGGAGTAACCCTCTCACCAACCCAAAGGTAAACCAAGACGAATGTGGGGCTCTGGCGACTGTGGCCCAGGTTGTGTTGGACAAGATGCAGGTGTCAGGATTCATAAACCTGGAGGTTTATCTGTGTCCTCAGGGTCACCTGAGTGGTGCTCCTGGTTTCTGTAGTCTGCAATTTTTCCTCTGGAAATCCATTCCTACTCCCACACCACTCCAAGGGTGTTCATCCCAAATTGCATAGCTAAAAGTCTGTAGAGATTCTCAGTCATCCAGGTTATGGTTGACATGGAAAAACTGCAGACTACAGGAACCAGGAGCACCACTCAGGTGACCCTGAGGACACTGATAAATCTCCAAGTGGCCTCAACGACCCTCTAAAAGGATGCAAATGACCAGCTGTCTGCAAGGAATATAAATCCTTCCATTCCCCACCAGTCTGTCAGAGCTGAAGAAGCTTCTTGGATGAGAAGCGAAACGTCTTCAAAAGAAAAACCAAGAAAGTCCAGTTGCCTCCTGAAAAAGCACCTTTGGGACAACCAGGACCTGGATGACTGAGAATCTCCATAGACCTTCTTTTCCTTCTCTTCCAGATGCTTTTGGTGCCTGAGTATAAAACCCGCCTGTGCAGCCTTCACTTCAAGACAACCCTGCAGGAGAAGGTGGAGGAGATTACGGCCAGCTATGAGTGCATCTACAATGCTTCCCTGGAACTGAAGAATAGCAAGAAACTGGCCAAAATCTTGGAGGTCGGTCAAATAATATTCCTGTTGCTAGTAGTGGCCACCAGAGGGCCACCACTCCCTTCTACTCGGCCACCTGTTGGCAATTCCCAGACTTTCAGGGTGTGAAGAGTCCCATCAGCTGCCTCTTCTTTGATCTCTCTCTCTCTCTCTCTCTCTCTCTCTCTCTCTCTCTCTCTCTTCCTCCCACCTACCCACCCACCCCCGACATCGGCATGATGCTGCTTATTCTTTGTGGGTCTTCGTGTTTTCTCAGCGTTCCTTTCACTTCTTTTGATATCTAAAACTTCTGATTTTTTTAGAAGGAAGTGAAGAGCGGGTCGTTCTAACAGAGTTCTCTTCAGGGAGGCCCCTCTCTACTTTTGGTCTTCTACCATCACCAGCAAAGGCCATGCTGTCTGGGAAGGTGCCAGTTCGGGGCCAGGCACCCCCTGACTCAGCCCTGTTGTCTCCTGCAAATATGCTTTGCTTGGCAGTGGAGGGGATATTGAAGGATTGCTTAAGTGGAGAGCTTGGCCCTTCCCCACAAGGAGGGGAGCATGGAAAGCTAGAATTCTGGGGGGGAGGGGGTTTCCTATGGTCTTGGTTTAACCCTGCCCGCACTCACGGGTCCTGTGTTTTAGTCCTGCGTGTCGGACAATCCCTGCAGCGTCCAGAGATGCTTCTTATGAAGTAAAAGGGTAGGTTGGCTGTGTTGCTGCCCTGATTGGTGGGGACTGAGCTCTGCCCACCACTCCCTCTAACATGCAGGATAAACCACACAGCCCCAGAGGGCCAAACAGCTTGCAAAGGCCATTTGGCGCCAAAAGCAGAGAGGGGCTTCTGCTTCTCCCTTCCTGAACTATTGCCTCCCTTTATACAATCCCTGGTTGTATAAACAGAGGCATAGAATCAGGAGTGGGCTTCAAAAATGTTAGCAAGGGGTTCTCTGCCCGGTTGCTGGGTGGGCGTGGCTATGGTGGGCGTGGCCTAGTCAGCCTCCTGCACCACGGCGGGGCGGGGGAGGATGGACATTTTCTGGAGGCTTTCCTCGAGCCTCCAGGAGAGCAAAAATGGCCTCCTCAGGCTCCAGAGGCCCTCTGGTACAGTGGTGGGTTTCAATTTTTTTTACTACTGGTTCTGTGGGTGTGGCTTGGTGGGTGTGGCTTGGTGGGCGTGGCAGGGGAAGGTTACTGCAAAATCCCCATTTCCTCCCGATCAGCTGGGACTCGGGAGGCAGAGAATAGATGGGGGTGGAGCCAGTCAGAATTTTTACTACCGGTTCTCCAAACTACTCAAAATTTCCGCTACCGGTTCTCCAGAACTGGTCAGAACCTGCTGAAACCCACCTCTGCTCTGGTAGGCCTGTTTTTTACCCTCCCCGACCTTCCGAGCATGCCCTGCACTTACCTGCATCCAAACGGGCCGCGTGGGGACTCCTGGTGGGCGGGGCCAGCCAGGAGTGGGATTTGGGGGTTCTCCGAACTGCACAGAATCTTAGCTAGAGGTTCTCCCGAACCCCTGCGAACCCCCAGCAGCCCACCTCTGCATAGAATCAAAATCACATGACGTGTGATTTTAAAGTAAGGCCACACCTGTAATATAGCATCCAGTTTTGGTCACCACATTACAAAAAAGATTTTGAAATTTTGGAAAAAGTGCAGAGAAGAGCAACTAAAATGATTAAAGGCCTGGAGACTAAGACATATGAAGAACGGTTGCAGGAATTGGGTTTGGCCAGTCTAGAGAAAAGAAGGACTAGGGGTGACACGATAGCAATATTCCAGTATTTGAGGGGCTGCCACAAAGAAGGAGGGGGGGGGGGCAATCTATTTTCCAAAGAACCTGAAGGCAAGAAAGAAACAATGGTTGGAAACTAATCAAGGACAGAAGCAACCTGGAATTAAGGAAAAACTTCCTAACAGTGAGGACAAATAACCGGTGGAACAGAAGTTGCCTTCAAATGTTGTTGGTGCTTCATCACTGGAGGTTTTTAAGAAGAGACTAGAAAGTCACTTATCTGGAATGGTATAGGATCTCCCGCTCGAGCAGGGTGTCAGACTAGAACAGGGGTCACCAACCTTTCGGTCCTCAGGGACCACTAAATACATAATTTTAAATCCCTCACATCAAGGGGCGCCTCGCTGACCTCTACTCACCCATCCCAGCCACTCCTCGCCTGCCTGCACGACTCTTTAGGGTCCCAACAGAAAGCAGTTGTTGGAGCTAAGCAGCCACCACAAGAAAGAGTTGGCAAAACAGCTGGCTCAATTCAAATTGGATCTGACTGAGAAGGAGGCTCAGCAGAAGCACCTCACTGAGGACTAGGAGCATAGGCTTTCCAAGCAGAGGGAAGACCTGCAGGAGTGCAAGGCCAGGTACTGGCGCGAGGAGGCTCAGTGGGCTGAGATGGTCAGCCACTTCCAGGCCATGAGGCAGTCCCACTGGAACAAGTCCCTCTGGCTCTTCAACACCAGCGGCGCTTCCCTCCAGCCTTCGCCCAAAGCCCCACACCAGGAGGCTGAAGCAGACCCCGAGTTGAATTTCTGCCCCCCTCCAACCTGCACAAAAAGACCCTGAAGGGGGAGACTCTCTGCAGCAACACAAACATTCATTGCACGTATCCGGCCCAGGGGCCGTAGTTTGAGGACCCCTGACTTAGTGCAATATAAAAAATGCAAATAATTTTTCTGCAGACCACCAAAATTTTCTTGTGGACCACCGGTGGTCCACGGACCACCAGTTGGTGACCACTGGACTAGAGGTCTTCTAGTTTCCAAGGTCCCTTCCAGCTCTATTTTGATTGACTGCAACACCCCCCCCCCAAAGCTGTCTTTCTTTGAAGAGAAGCCACCTTGGAGCTTCAGAACATGCATTCAACAACAACAGGAGTTGGACCCCAGGAGCAAACCAAGCAGCGGCACACGCTCTAAATGGCACCTTGCACCCACTCAAAATGCCATAAAGGACACCTGGTTAACCTCCTTTGCTGGCTATAAATTAACTCAGGGTTAGTGGGGGGAGACGTGCTGCTTGGCCAGCCCTGGAGTCCTCTGTCCTCATCAGTTCATCAGACATGGAGCTCCCTTGACTCCGTTCACGTGCATGGCCTGGAAGCTGACCAGGCTCTCTAGTGGTGGACTCAGCACAGGGATTTCTGATCTGGTCTTTCTTCAGTGCCTCCTGAAGCTGGACCAGATTCTGAAGATTCCCAGAGAGCGATGGGGTTCTTTGGAGGCCTGCTATGGAAGTGAGAACCTACCCTGGGGGCCCTCTGGATGTAGAGGGACATTGTGCCCTGCCCCCTCCTCCCAGAACCTCCTCTATGAATGATCCACCAGGCCTTCCAAGCATCTTCTGATCTGAAGAGCTGAGAGCACTTCACTTGAGCAACTTGCCTGGGTTCACACAACAACATCTTAAAGGGTTGTTCTGCATCACAGCAGCCTAAAATATGCTGCCTTGGCAAAACTAAGAAGGGCTGCCTGCACTGCTTGACCCCTCTTCTGCCTTGGGAACAAAGCAAATGAAGAATCTGCCCACACCAGAAGTGGTGGGAGTGGGGAGAGGAGAGAAACGGTCTCAGCTCTGGGGCCATGCCAGGGCTGGGGCTCCCTCACTGCCAACCTCAATCCAAGAGGGCGACTCAGAGAACCGGTCGCCAGGGACCGTGCTCTCTGCTTCACTCCCAGTGGCCAAGGACAGAGTGGGAGGGGAAGGTTTGGGGAGAAGGGTCTCCCCACCCTGGAAAAACCAGTTTGCTTCCCGAAGTGCCACTCAGTGCACCCCTCCAGTGAAGATGGCAGTGTGGTACTGCAGGGGCGAGAGCAGCAGAAATCTGGGAAAGCTATGCCAGCTTTCCCTTAGTGATGGAGCCTGCATGAGTTTTATACACTTTTTTTGGCCACCGTTGTTAAGTGAATCCAGCTTCCCCATTGCCTGTGTTTGTTGGAAGCTGGCTGGGAAGGTGGCAAGGTCACATGACCCTGGGATGCTGCAACTGTTGAAATACATGCCAATTGCCAGGTGCCCAAATCTTAAATCAAGACTTAAAATGGACACCTAACATCAAAAACATTATCAAAAAAGCACAACAAAGAATGCTCTTTCTGTGCCAACTCAGGAAGCTCAAATTGCCCAAGGAGGTGCTGATCCAGTTCTACAGAGGAATGATTGAGTCTGTCATCTGCACCACCATAACTGTCTGGTTTGGCTCCGCAACCCAACAAGACAGACACAGACTTCAGAGGATAATTAAAACTGCGGAAAAAACAATGGCTACCAACCTGCCTTCCATTGAGGACCTGTATACTGCATGAGTCAAAAAGAGGGCTGTGAAAATATTTACAGATCCCTCGCATCCTGGACATCAACTGTTTCAACTTCTACCCTCAAAATGATGCTATAGGGCACTGCACACCAGAACAACTAGACACAAGGACAGTTTTCCCCCAAACGCCATCACTGTGCTAAACAAATAATTCCCTCAACACTGTCAAACTGTTCACTAAGTCTGCATTACTATTCTTCTTCTCTTCCTTCCTAGTATCTATCTCTTCCCACTTATTACCATAACCATGTTGCTTGTATCTTTCAATTTATATTGTTTTTATTTGTTTCCTAGTACGATTGATAGCCTATTAGTAACCTTGACTATCATTAAGTGTTGTATCTTTTTATTCTTGATGAATGTATTTTATTTTCCTTATGTACACTGAGAGCATATGCACCAAAGACAAATTCCTTGTGCGTCCAATCACACTAGGCCAATAAAGAATTCCATTCTATTCTATTCTATTAATCATATGACTGCAAGGATGTTGTGACTGTCTTAAGTGTAATGGCCAATCTTAAGACACTTTTTTCAGCACTGTCGTAATTTTGAACAGTTGCTAAATGAACGATTATAAGTCGAGGACTAAACTACCTGTACTATCTCTTTTATCTGCTAATGGTCTTCCCTATCCCTGCCTCCTTCTACGGTTGCGGCTGAGGGAGGGCAATGCTGTGCAGTCTTATCCTCACAAAACACAACCTGGGATGATGGGTGGATGTGCTCAGCCTCATATCATACTACAGAGCCTTGGTGGTGCAGTGGACTAAGTACTGTTATGTAGCACTTAGCTGCCAGCTGCCTGCAATTAGTGCGAGTTCAAATCTCACCAGGCTCAAGGTTGACTCAGCCTTCCATCCTTCTGAGGTAGGTAAATTGAGGACCCGGATTGTGGGGGCAATAAGCTGACTTTGTAGAAACACCACTTATGGGGGTCCAAAAGCCCTAATAAGCAGGTATATACAAAAGAATGAAGGCTATTGCTAATAAGTGCATTGTAAGCCACCCTGAGTCTTTGGAGGAGGGCGGCATATAAATTGAACTAATAAATAAATAAATAAAATTAGCCACCTGTATTTCAGCTAGTAGGATTATCTCAGGGTGTGCAGCTGCTTCGTTTCCAAGTGTGTAAAGTTCAGCCTAGACATTGCCTCTTCTGGCTGGGCTTTGGGTAGGCAGGGCTCCTAGATTTATTACACACACATAAATCCTGTGTGTGCAATGTGTACAACATGTCTCTCTACCTGCCACTCTCTGCCTGTTGTGTGAACCAGGACTGAATCCTGTTAATTCGGAACCAACAGACAGGACAGAAATGGGAAGAGAGGTAACAGGTGGATTTTCTCTGATCTGTGATTCACCAAAAACTCTCTTTGCAGTTTGTGCTGGCCATGGGCAACTACCTAAACCATGGGCAACCCCAAACCAACAAAACAACCAGCTTTAAAATCAATTTCCTCACAGAGGTAAGTGGTTTCCAAACCTGGCTAGATCAGTGGTGGGTTTCAAATTTTTTTACTACCGGTTCTGTGGGTGTGGCTTGGTGGGCGCGGTGTGGCTTGGTGGGCGTGGCAGGGGAAGGCTCCTGCAAAATCCCCATTTCCTCCCGATCAGCTGGGACTCAGGAGGCAGAAAATAGATGGGGGCGGGGCCAGACAGAGGTGGTATTTACCAGTTCTCTGAACTACTCAAAATTTCCGCTACCGGTTCTCCAGAACTGGTCAGAACTGTTGAAACCCACCTCCTGGGCTAGATGGATGCTCTGCTTGGGTTAAAGAGGGAACTTTGATTTATATGTCATCATATGCCTTTAGCAACCACATTCTCTTCTCCAGATGAGAAGCGAGACCTTCTCCTTCAGGTCTCTCAATGGTGCACCCATCACTGTTGTCACCCGGACTATCTCTTCTGCTGCTGCTTTTCCCCTTTTTTTCCCTCTTTCCTTCCTCCCCCCCCCCCCCCAAACGTTAGGGCTTTCTCCAGGGAGCAATAAGGATTGCATAAGGATGCAAAAAGGGGTGAACTGAACAGGTTAAATTCCTCCCAAGCCCTCCGCTTCAATTAATATCTATATTCCTCTGATGCCTAGACCAGACACAGATGTCTGTGCAAGATCCAGATACACGTTGCCCCTTATTGGTCTATTGCAGGGGTGTCAAACTCCGGCCCACAGGATGCTTCGATCTGGACTGCGGGGCCGAAAATAACAAAAGACCGGCCAGCGATGCCTCTGCCAGCCAAAATGGGGCATGGGGGGGCTCACGCAGCCCCCACAACCTGTTTTGGCTGGCAGAGTGATACAGGAGGCCGTCCAGGCCAAAAATGGGGTGTGTAGGGGCCACACGAGCCCCCCGGGCCCCATTTTGACTGGCAGAATGCTATAGGAGGCCGTCGAGGCCAAAAATGGGGCAGCGGGGCTCACGGGGGCCCCTTGAGCCCGGTTTTGGCTGGCAAAGTGTTATAGGAGACTGTCCAGGCTGGAAATGGGGGGGGCACATGAGCCCCCCCTGCATCCTGTTTTGGCTGGCAGAGTGCTACAAGAGGCCGTCCAGGCCAAAAATGTGGCGCAGGGAGGTGCGTGAGGCCCCCACACCCCATTTTGGCTGGCAGAGGCACTGTAGGGTGCTCTTTTGTTATTCCCAGGCCAGTCCCATGGGCCAGCTCTAAGCACCCCGCAGGCTGCATCCGGCCCGCAGGCCTTGAGTTTGACACCCCTGTTGTAGAGCTTAAAATGCTACCTGGGCATCTTGCTAACCAACCTGGGAAACTACCACAAATTCAATCATCCTGTCGGATTCAGAGAGGACTCCAGCAGAGGGTGGCCTGTGAAAACCATCAAAATGCTACCTTTGATGAGGGAGTCATGGCTGCTCCCTTGACTTCCTTGAGTTAATCTTGAAGCTTCGCATACCCGCAAATGTGAATGCAGCTCTTAAAGCACCTACATCTTCTTTTCAACCACCTTCAGCCTAAACACAACCAGGCGATTTTAATGAATGATCAAGAGAGCGCTGGGCTCTCTTGAGGCCCAAAGCACGTTTTCCAAATCATTTCCAAATTGCTGAATTACTGCCTGGTGATTTACATTATAGATAGACAATGTTCCTCTAGGGGTTTGCAAAATAGTTTGCGGAAACTGAATGCATATTCTTAGCAGCTTGAAGAAAATCTTGTTTTTTCAACTTGGGGAAAGGGGATTTGTCAATGAGTGAGGAAGGCTTTAATTTTCCAGGTTTCTGCCTCAAAAAGTTCTTCCTCCTTGGGGCAATTAGTGGCAAACTACCTATAGGGAGATTTGCACTCAAAAGGGTCATCTTGGACATGTGTCTGACCCTTTTTGAAAATTGGGTTCGGCTGTCTTGGAAAGCACCACGTTTGCTGCTTCTTGTAGTAGCCATCATGGCAGGAGGAGGGGGGCATCAGGGCTTGGATCCCTGCCAGCCTTCTCAGTCAGCCTGATGGAGAAATCCGTTCTCCCCAATATCAAAGCAATGTATTGTTGGGTCTAGGACTAGAGATAAATTTTTGTTATTTAAAAAGTTGTCCCTAATGCCAAAACTGCAGAGTGGCAATCTCTTCTGTCTGCTAAACTGCTGTTTGGCCTCTGGATCCAGCCAGCTTTAAAACCCTAAAACCTAGAATGAAGGAGCCAAGGAGAGAAGCAACCTAGAAGAGGGAGTCAAGCTATTCTCCAAAGCACCAGAATGCAGGACAAGAAGCAATGGGTGGAAACTAATCAAGGAGAGAAGCAAACCAAGAACCAAAGAGAAATTTCCTGACAGTTAGAGCAATTAATCAGTGGAATGGTTTCCCTCCAGAAGTTGTGGGAGCTCCAACATTGGAGGTTTTTAAGGAGAGACTGGACAGCCAATTGTATAGAGTTTCCTGCTTGAGCGGTGGGGTGGACTGGAAAACTCCCAAGGTCCCTTCCAACTCTGTTACTCTGTATTCAGAGGTACTGCAGGTGAGATGAGCAGCCATATGTAAATCTAATGAATCTAAGGAGCTTAAACCAAATCAATGATATGGAGGCTCCACCAGCTCTCTTGGGACAGCTGTGTCATGGGACTAGTGGTGGGTTGTCCCCGGTTCGTACTGGTTCTATAGAACTGGTAGTAAAACCGGCGGGAGGTTCCGCCCACTGACCCTGACGTCATCAGAATGAAGAGTGTGCGCGCACGCGGCCCCATTGCAAACCGGTAGTAAAGGTAAATAGAACCCACCCCTGCATGGGACCTACCCACCCACCCAAGCAGCTGCTGTGCTTTGCAAAGAGCTTTGGAGGATTTCTGTTACAGAACCCTCTTTACGAGCTCCCCTGGGAGCAGAGAAAGCTGACCAGGATAACAACTGAGTTAGGCGTGCCCTGAAAATAATGTGGCTGGGTTAGTCTTATTGTGAAAATCCAACAATTATGAACAAGCATGTTCATTTTCCGGAGAACTATTTTCACTGCAATGATGGACCGTGTTTTTGTGCTGGCCAACAACAAGCACTTTATAGACTGGAATTACCCTGCCGCCTGATCAGTGTTGTTTTTCTCTTTTGGCATTATTCTAGCTGAACACAACAAAAACTGTCGATGGGAAATCCACGTTTCTGCATATTCTTGCCAAATCGCTTAGCCAACATTTCCCAGAGCTCCTGGGCTTTGCCAGGGATTTGCCCACAGTGCCACATGCTGCCAAAGGTAATTCACAAAGGATGGGCCTTTTTTTTTTCTGACATCACTTGGTTTATAGGAAAACAGGGATGGAAAGAATCGGTGAGTCTCCCAGGTCTTCCCATTTAAAGGTAACGGTAAAGGTTCCCCCACACATGCATGCTAGTCGTTCCCGACTCTAGGGGCCGGTGTTCATCTCTGTTTCAAAGCCGAAGAGCCAGCGCTGTCCGAAGACGTCTCCGTGGTCATGTGGCCGGCATGGCTCAACACCAAAGGTGCACTGTTACCTTCCTACCAAAGGTGGTCCCTATTTTTCTACTTGAATTTTTTATGTGCTTTCAAACTGCTAGGTTGGCAGAAGCTGCTAGGGACAAGTAACGGGAGCTCACCCCGTTACATGGCACTAGGGATTCAAACCGCTGAACTGCCGACCTTTCGATCGACAAGCTCAGCATCTTAGCCACTGAGCCACCGCATCCCTTCTGCCCATTTACATACTTACTAAAACTCTTGTTCCCATAATCCTTAACTGGGAGAAATGATGCATCATAGAGCAATGACTTTTGAACCAAGGTACCTCAAATAGACTAAGTTTCAGAATAAGTCCAAAATCTGAGACCCATAACCCTTCTGGAATTGGAATTTGGCAAAATTTATGCAACATTTTATGACAAAAACTATCCCTAAAACAGTTTATAAAAAAGTACAAAATGTTATAAGAAAATTTCCAGTGCTGACGTTTGACTGTGGTATGTACTTCAAGATGGACTTTCTTCAAGGAAAATCCATCTCTGAATAACAATAACAATAGCAATAGTACTTCTACTTTATTTACTGCCCCATAGTGCTTTTCATCAGGAATCTTGGCAGCTTGAAGACTTGTGGACTTCCAGAATTCCCTAGCAAGCATAGCTTCTTTGAGATACATTGGTCTGATGTCAGGCCTGCCTCTGCTTAGGTCCTTAGGAAAGAAAGACCCTCAACTCCCTTTGGTTGAACTGATAGGTTCTTTTACTAAGGTCAAGTGGTTGCAGTGAAAGAAAGGTTAGATCTGAATATTTCCGTGCAAAGATTACAATTTTCCCCTTTCCATGGCCCTCCCCCCTTGACCAGTTCGTCATTGTCCAAGAGGCCTCTAACCTTGGCAACTTTAACTCTTAGGGACTTTCTTCTCCAGCCAGCATATTCTCCCCAAACAACCTGGATCCTCATTTTATCGAGGTTGGAAGGCTGAATCAGATGGGCTAAATCCAAAATCTGGGACTCATTACCCCTGTGGAATTGGAATTTGGCAAACTCCATACAATATTTTATGACATAAACATTATTGTAAACACTTTATGGCATAATATAGAATGTCATAAAACATTTCCCGTGGTGTTGTTTGACCATGATATACAGTTCAACACGGGTTAATTTCAAGGCAGTTCCATCTCTGTGTGTATCACAACTTTTCCAGTCAAGACAGGACATTAGAAGCCTCGTCATTGTTGAAGGCAATTTAAAAATATCTCCAGAAGGATGACTCAACAGGTCACATGTGGCCCAGTTCATTTTCAGCCTTCTAACCCAGTTGGAGAAACAGGATGAAAATCAGCTAAAGAGAAGTTGCCTGAAATCGAAGAAGCTTCACAGGCTTAATCATAAAAGCTATTTTCACAGGATAGACAGGGGCTGCCTGAAGTGTCTTGTGAAAAAAGAAAAACCAACAATCCATTCATAGTTTCACCAAAAAAAGTTTGGGAATGTTACCCATTGCATAGACAGATCATGCAATGGGGGCACTGTTTTCTCAACCTCGGCCACTTTAAGACACGTGGACTTCAACTCATAGCTGGCTGGGGAATTGTGGGAGTTGAAGTCAACGTATCTTAAAGTGGCTGAGGTTGAGAAAACAGTGCCATAGGGCAACCATTACACCATCCAATTTGCATAAGCAAAATAGGGCCTTTCCATAGTGAGTCTCTGCCAAGGGCAAAATGGATCCAGGTAGTCCTCGACGTATGACCACAATTGAGCCCAACATTTATTGTTAAGTGAGTTTTGCCCCATTTTACAACTTTTCTCACCACACTGAGCCATGGTGGTGCAGTAGTTAGAGTGCGGTACTGCAGGCTCCTTCTGCTGCCTGCTGGCTGCCTGCAATTTGGCAGTTCAAATCTCACCAGGCTCAAGGTTGACTCAGCCTTCCGTCCTTCCGAGGTGGGTAAAATGAGGACCCAGATTGTTTACAGAGGCTGACTCTGTAAACCGCTTAGAGAGGGCTGTAAAGCACTGTGAAGCGGTATAGAAGTCTAAGTGCTATTGCTATTTGTTAATTGAATTACCGCAGTTGTTAAATTAGTAAGATGGTTGTTAAGTGAATCTGGCTTCCCCATTGACTTTGCTTGATAGAAGGTCGCAAAAGGGGATCACGTGCCCCCAAGACACTCATGTCTCCCCTGGTCCTTCTCTTCACTAGACTAGCCATGCCCAGTTCCTGCAACCGTTCATCGTATGTTTTAGCCTCCAGTCCCCTAATCATCCTGGTTACTCTTCTCTGCACTCTTTCTAGAGTCTCCATATCTTTTTTATAATGTGGTGACCAAAACTGGATGCAGTACCCTAGGTGTGGCCTTACTAAGGCTTTATAGAGTGGCATTAGTACATCCCTTGATCTTGATTGTATCCCTCTGTTAATGCAATTTAGGATTGCATTGGCTTTTTTGGCTGCTGCTGCACACTGCTAGCTCATATTTAACTGGTTCTCCGCTAAGACTCTGAGATCCCTCTCACAATTACTGCTATTAAGCCAGTCTATATGTGTACTTTTGGTTTTTCTTGCCTAAGTTAGGACTTTACTTTTCTTCACAAAGAAGGTGATGCGGATGAAGCTGTAGACATTTCGGACCGTTTTTTCCTCTCCTTAGTGAATCAGAGAACATTAACAGCTGACCTCAGCGACCTTCATCGCACTGTCCACGAGATTGAAATCGCCTGCCAGAATATGGTGCCTTCATCACCTGAGGACAGATTTGTGCCTGTGATGGATGTATCCTTTGGTTGAAAAGGAGAGCCTTCCTAGGATTGGTTCCACAAATGAAGCCACCATCCCACCACCAGCCCCAGAAAAAGGAAAAAAGCAAGTTTGATTGAGAGATGGGGGTGGAAGGAAGGGAAGGGAATATCTGGGAGGTTTAGATCATTTCTGGATCTTCTGGAGAACCAGAGGAAGTTGACTGGTGATGTCCCTGGAATGGATGGGTCCAGATTTAGAGGACTGAATAGGGGAGATGGTGGTGGGAGCCTTCTGAGGGGCAAACCCTTCTCATTCCTATTATAAAACGGCTGTTTTTCCAGCAATTTTGAGCCTGGAAACAGAAACGTTAATCTCCTAGAATCCTTCTGCTCCCCTTGCCACTTTTTATTATCCCCCAAAGCATGGGTGCTATTCAGCAGGTTCTGACAGATTCTGGAGAACCGGTAGTGGAAAATTTGAGTAGTTCGGAGAACCGGCAAATACCACCTCTGGCTGGTCCCAGAGTGCAGAGGGAATGGGGATTTTGCAGTATCCTTCCCCTGAAGTGGGCTGGGAATGGAGATTTTGCAATATCCTTCCCCTGCCACGCCCACCAAGCCACGCCCACCAAGCCATGCCCACAGAACCAGTAGTAAAAAAAATTGAATTTCACCACTGCCCCAAACACCACTAAATCAGGGGTCTCCAACCTTGACAACTTTACAACTTGTGGACTTCAACTTCCTTCTGGGAGTTGAGGTCCACAAGTTGTAAAGTTGTCAAAGTTGGAGACCCCTCCACTAAATGACTCCTAAATCATATCTGGGATGTAATTTCTTTTTCTTTCAGGCTGGCGTTGAAAATATCTATCCTTCATTGGAGTTTGAGTGTGTGTGTGTAGGTGAATATTGCCCAAATTCAGCGATTTTTGTAAGCAAATTATGGTGGTGTGAATAGTGGGAGGTGTCACGAATTGGGAGCTGGAGGATAGTTTCATGTTGCCCCCTCTTAAGTTAGAATCTCTGCTTTTCCCCCCTTCCTATCTCCCCTGGGAGATACTGCTGCATTTGCTTGTCCTTCTCTCACCCCAAGAGCTGCCCCCACCCCAGACAATGGACTGACCCATGGCTTGGAGCTGTAGGAAGGAGCTAAATGAGTTGCCATTGACACATGGGCAGTGTGAGTGTTGGTATCAGAAGTCCCTCTAGAAATGTCTGCCTTCGGAGCTGCGTGATTGGCTAAACTTTGTGTTGTGTGTCTTCAAGACAGTTTGGAACTGCCTGGATTTATCCCTACAGTTTTCTTGGCAAGGTGGTTTTCAGAAGTGGTTTGCCATTGCCTCCTTCCCAGGGCTGTGAAAGAGTGACCGGCCCAAAAATCACCCAGTTGCCTTCATGCCCAAGGTGGGACTGATGCTCAGAGTTTCCCAATTTCCAGCCAGGTGCCTTACAACCAGGGGTGGGCTTCAAAAATTTTTAGCAAGGGTTTCTCTGCCCAGTTGCTAAGTGGGCGTGGCCATGGTGGGCATGCTAGTGTTGCCCTAGTTGAGCTCCAGCGGCATCTGCATGCCGGCCAGCTGATTTTCAGGCCCACCGGAAGTCAGGAAATGGGCCATTTCCAGCCTCCAGAGGGCCTCTGGGGGGTGGGGAAGGACCCTTTCGCCCTCCCCAGGCTCCTAGAAAGCCTCTGTTGCCTGGGGATGGTGAAAAACAGGCCTACCGGGCCCACCATGCCATCACATGCCAAAGGGGGGGGGGAGAGCAGGTGGGTCATGTGTGCATGCACGGGAGGGGGGCAGGGCGCATTGAATTATGGGTGTGGGCACACGTGCGCATGATCCCCCCCCCGTATTCCCCCTGCTTTTGGCACGTGACAGCAAAAAGGTTAGCCATCACTGGCCTAGTCGGCCTCCCGCACCACAGCAGGGCTCCGGAGGCTTTTCTTGAGCCTCCAGGAGGGCGAAAACAGCCTCCCCAGGCTCCGGAGGCCCTCTGGAGGCCTTCCTGAACTTCTGGTAGGCTTGTTTTTCGCCCTCCCTGAGCCTCCGCACACGCCCTGCACTTACCTGCATCCAAAACGCGCCGTGTGGGGACTCGTGGGAGGGGAGGGGTGGGCAGGGTCAGCCAGGAGTGGGATTTGGGGGTTCTCTGAACTGCACAGAATCTTAGCTAGAGGTTCTCCCAAACCCCTGTGAATCCCCAGCAGCCCATCCCTGCTTACAACCACCGTACCAAACTGGCTCTCTCTCTTTTTTTTAACCTGGATAATTGAGAATGTCAGAAGGTGTGAGCTGCCAGGCGTTTAGAGCCCGTTTTTCTTCTTGATGGAAAATGCAAGCAGGCGTTGTTTGTCCATCCTTAGCCATCCGCTGCAGGCCTTCCTGGAGAGTGCAGATCCCACCATCCAGTCCCTCGATGATCTCCAGCATAAAGCCATGGAAGAATTCAGGAAAGTTTTGTCCTTCTTTGGGGAAGACTCCAAAGTCACAACCTCTGAGGACTTTTTTGGCATATTTGCTGAGTTCATGAGCAAATTTGAGGTGAGTATCGGGCTTTTATTGTACTTTGGTTACAACCATGGTTTGTTTGTTTTTTTTTTTCTTTAATTTATATGCCGCCCTTCTCCGGAGACTCAGGGCGGCTTACAATGCGTTAAGCAATAGCCTTCATACTTTTGTATATTTATACAAAGTCAGCTTATTGCCCCCGCAAACTGGGTCCTCAATTTACCTACCTTTGAAAGGATGGAAGGCTGAGTCAACCTTGAGCCTGGTGGGATTTGAACTTGCAGTAATTGCAAGCAGCAGATGTTAATAACAGTGCTTTAGTCCACTGTACTATCAGGCTCTTTCCCTGGGGGCGGGGGGAGGGGGTTGGTCAACCAGCTGGATTTTGTTCTACTGTTTGCATTGCTCCTGGAGGATAAGGAGAGGGCAGGGGTGTCAAACTCCATTTCATTGAGGGTCACATCAGGGTTGTGTTTGACCTTGGGGGAGGGGGCATGGCCAGGGTCGACGGGGCTGGGTGGGTGTGGCCCTCAGACCCTCCCTCCCTCTCATTACAATCGCCTTCCTTCCTTTTCTTCTTTTTCCTTCCCTCTTCTTTCTCCTTTCTTCCTTTCTCTTTCCTTCCTTCCTTCTCTTCTTTTTCCTTCCCTCTTCATTCTCCTTCCTTCCTTCCTTCCTTTTCTTCTTTTTCCTTCCCTCTTCTTTCTCCTTTCTCCTTTCTCTTTCCTTCCTTCCTTCTCTTCTTTTTCCTTCCCTCTTCATTCTCCTTCCTTCCTTCCTTCCTTCCTTCCTTTTCTTCTTTTTCCTTCCCTCTTCTTTCTCCTTTCTCCTTCTCTTCTCTTTCCTTCCTTCTTCTCTTCTTTTCCTTCCCTCTTCATTCTTCCTTCCTTCCTTCCTTCCTTTTCTTCTTTTTCCTTCCCTCTTCTTTCTCCTTTCTCCTTTCTCTTTCCTTCCTTCCTCTTCTCTTCTTTTTCCTTCCCTCTTCATTCTCCTTCCTTCCTTCCTTTCTTCTCTTTTTTTTCCTTCCCACTTCATTCTCCTTTCTCCTTCCTTCCTTCCTTCTCTTCTTTTTCCTTCCCTCTTCCTTCTCCTTTATCCTTCCTTCCTTCCTTCCTCCTTCCTTCTCTTCTTTTTCTTCCCTCTTCATTCTTTTTTCTTCTTCCTTCCCCTCTTTCCTTATTTTTTCTTCCTTACTCTCTTCCCATCTTCCCATCTTTTTCTTTGTCTTTCGTCTTTCCCTTTCTCCTTTCCTTTCCCTTCTTGCATGCTCAAATGCAAAAGGGGAAACATTTCTCCTTTTGTTTTCTTTTTAGTTTGCCTTGCTAGCCCTCTGCCAGTGAAAACGGAGCCAGGGAGGAGCTCCACTTTTGCTGGCTGTTTCCAGGGGGCCAGATCCTAGCACCCCATGAGCCAGATGCGGCCTGCAGGCCTTGAGTTTGACACCCCTGGGATACAGGGTAGACCAATCCCCCTGTGGCCTAGAACAGGGGCCTCCAACCCCCGGTCCATGGACTGGCACTGGGCCACAGCATGCCAGAAACAGGGCCCCACAAACAAGTAAAGCCCCATCCGAGGGATGCAGGCAACATGCGAAACCACGCCTTCTGTGACCCACGAAAAAAACTCTCTCCACGGAACCGGTCCCTGGTGCCCAAATGGTTGGAGGCTGCTCACCTAGAACACAGCTCTGTTCTTTTCCTTTGAGAAAACCCAAACAGATTTGACTCAGCCAGTTTGAACTCGTGGCCTTCTTAAAACACCGTGTCCACTTGAAACTCCTTGGTCGGTAATTGACACATAGATGGCAGCCCGAGGGAAGAGAAACTGGCAGCAAATGTTTTGTGCTTTTCCATCTCTTGTGCTAAGCAGTTACACATTCGGGCTTGTTTCATAGCCCCCCAAAAAAGGATCCATCAGGGAAAACTGGGGGAAGGTTGAGGGAGAAGAGCCTAAGCTTTTGGGGAGGACTTTGCACCAGAGGTGGTATTTAGCCGGTTCCAATCGGTTCAGCTGAACCGGTAGTAGCGACCGGCGGGTGGGTGGGCCCAGGCGCAATCCCATCCTATATCGCTGTGTTTTTGATGCTGCACACATGTGTGGATGGCACGTTTGAGTGAATTGTCGTGTTTTGTGATGCCACACGCATGTGCTGATGGCGCATGCGTGCTCACATTTCTGGTGCTGGGCAAATCGGTGGTAACAATATGCAAAGTTCACCACTTCTTTGCACCTGCTTGTCCTGCCATTTCTCTCTCTCTCTCTCTCTCTCTCTCACACACACACACACACACACACACACACACGTTCTCTTGCAAAGAATGTTCTGTGGATCACGTGGCCGATCTTTGAGAGAAAGGTCTGGAGAAAGGAACACCCCACACTGATGCCACCGGATCTAGCAATCCTAGACCAGGGGTGGGATTGATGGAGTTGAGCATGCATAGCCTAAGAAAGAGATCATTGGTACCTCAGCAGCTTCCAAAAGGAGCCCCCCCAGTTCCCGAAGTCCTTCCTAACTTCAAGAAGATTTGCCTTCAGTGTTTGTAATTTGACCCCCCACCTTGGCTTGGATCCTAGATAATTTAGCTGCCCCTGCAGGTTAGACACATTCTTCTTTCTGCCACTCCCTGGTTCGAGTTTGTTTGCAAAATTCTTTTGCTCCTCAGGAAAGAAACAGGGAGAAGCCACACTCCCCTTTTGCAGGGAATAAGAACTCCGAAGACCATCGGGGGTGGCGGGGGATTGAATGATAAGAGTAGGTCTTCTGGAATTGAGGGTGGGATGCGGTGGCTCAGTGGCTAAGACTTTGAACTTGTCAATCAAAAGGTCGGCAGTTCAGAGGTTTGAATCCCTAGTGCCGCGTAACGAGGTGAGCTCCCGTTCCTTGTCCCAGCTTCTGCCAACCTAGCAGTTCGAAAGCAGGTAAAAAATGCAAGTAGAAAAATAGGGACCACCTTTGGTGGGACAGAACAGAACAGTGTTCTGTGCGCCTCTAGTGTTTAGTCATGCCAGCCACATGACCACGGAGACGTCTTCGGACAGCGCTGGCTCTTCAGCTTTGAAACAGAGATGAGCACCGCCCCCTAGAGTCGGGAACGACTAGCACACATGTGCAAGAGGAACCTTTACCTTTACCTTCCCTGGTGCAGATAGGCCTCCCCTGACTCATTCATCACCAGCTTGAGCCATCGTTGACTTGATGATAGTTGGATATAGCAGATTACACTAGAGCAGGGGTCTCCAAACTCGGCAAGTTGAAGACTGCAACTCCCAGAATTCCTCAGCCAGCCAGACTTTAAGCCTGCAAATCTTAAAGTGGCCACGTTTGGAGACCCCTGTACCAGAGGATTGGGGGGAAATGCCCCTCCCCCCAAGAGAAGATGCCTAAAAGCCCAGACTGTGGACAGGCTAAGTGCATCAAATCTCTAAGCCAGCAACACATCAAACTTCTTTGAACTTAAAACCACCAAGTCCCCTAATGTTTGCAGTGTCCTTGTATGTGGACGTTGCAATGGGGAAGGGAGCATGTTGTATGCAAAAGAACAAATGGGCCGGTTGACCCAGTCAAGCAAGCAAGGAGACTTGACCTGGTATGAAGCCATTCCGCTCCTCCTCCTCATGTCCTCCAGACTGTTGTGTTTGCCACTGCAGCTTCCACACTATTTTTTGTGCAAATTGTGGCAGGTGGCAGAAGGCAGCAAGAACCTGGCATGGCCACCTCCGCAAACTTCAGGCTGGAGAACCCAGAAGCGGAGGGCTCTCTGTGGCTCAAACTACTCATCAAACTTGCCTTTGTCATCTCCATACACACCTACTATGCAGTGAACTGGGCTGTGTTGAGTTGTCTCCTTCTGGGCCTTTCAGTCCTTACAGATGTGAAAATGCAGTGTTGGGATTTTAAATCTCCTTAATGGCCTAGAACAGGGATCTCCAACCTTGGCAACTTTAACACTTGTGGACTTCAACTCCCAGGATTCACAAGTCTTAAAGTTGCGAAGGTTGGAGATCCCTGGCCTAGAATGCCCTTGTGTTTAATGGCTGCCTATCTTGGGCAGGGGTTGGGCTAGAAGACCTCCAAGGTCCCTTCCAGCTCTACGATTCTATGACTCTCTTCTCTCTACAGCGGGCCTTCAACGATGTGCAGGCCAATGAGCCCTTGTGCAGCCCGAAGATGATCCCCCCTCTTGCCTGGTGACCGGAGGGTTGAAGAAAGACTGCAGCACGGTGCTTTCTTGCCCACAGTTTGGCTGCTTTGAGTCCAGCCTGGCGGTCAGTGCAAAGCAAGTTTCTTCTCAGCGTGGAAGCAGCGTTGCTGGAGGCCGGCAGAGGACGTGTCTGTGTCCATTTCTATGGAAACTGCCTTCAAAAAAAGAGAAGGGGGCTAGCTGCAGAATTCCACACACTTCTCCCCACCAGAGACATATTTTCCCCCCCCACAGAGATATTCCGTGGTTGCTAAACTTGAGTGCTAGAATCCAAGGTGTAAGGAAGGAGGCATGGACAAAGCTGCCCTGGCTTCCCTCTTACTTTTCATGGCCTTTCTGGGAACTCCTTTATGTCAGGGAGCTGCCACCTTGCCTGCAGGTGGCATTTGGGAACAGTCAACCTGTACAGGGCTTGCCTGGTGCCCCTTTGCTCCAAAAGGAACCAATTTGCTCCCTTCTCCTGCCTCCTGGTCTTGCCAGTGGTTGCAAACGTAGCCAGCCAGTCTTTCGTTCCAGTCAATTCTCTCGGGAAAATAGATCTCTAAAGGAAGTGACCCACACAGGCAGGATGGGGGCTGAAGCCCTCTCTCTAGAGCTGAATGGGGAAGTGCCCTCACCCTACCCAGCATCTGGTGCCTGTTCCACACACCAGGTTCTGCTCTGCTGTCTCTTGGCCAAATGTCTGGGAGCAGAAGGTTACTTGATTTGTTGGGTTGCCAACTCAGAATTCCTTGAGGAGTTCGAGGCAGCTCGTGTGAGGAATACGATTCCTTTTAAGCGCAAGCAGTGACCCTGTTACGGCCCAGGGTGCCTAGGCAGAAGCTGGCATCTCTAGAGACCTTTATTGGTCTGATTAAAGGCCACGTCAGACGGCCCTACAACAGCCTGGTAAGGCTCCACCCAGGGGTGAAATCCAGCAGGTTCTGACAGGTTCTGGAGAACCGGTAGCGGAAATATTGAGTAGTTCAGAGAACCGGCAAATGCCACCTCTGGCTGGCCCCAAAGTGGGGTGGGAATGGAGATTTTTGCAATATCCTTCCCCCATGAGTGAGGAGGGAATGGGGATTTTGCAGTATCCTTCCCCTGGAGTGGGGAGGGAATGGGGATTTTGCAGTATCCTTCCCCTGCCATACCCACCAAGCCATGCCCACCAAGCCACACCACACCCACCAAGCCAATTGGATTTCACCACTGGCTCCACCCCACACTCCCCTAAAGGCAGCCCCCCTCAGTCCCCAAAAGCCAGTAAACAACAAAAGAAGTCCAAAGAGAGGGGGCAAGGTCCAGAGTCCAGGTGCAAAGGCCAAAGGGAAGTCCACAAGGCAAGAGCATGAGACAAAGCCGGGGTGGGTGGGGGGTGGGGGGATGGAGACCTTAATCCAAAACAATGGTTCCTGGCAAAGACTAACTCCCCATGGCTTCTCCTGAAGTCACTCCACTCCAGGTGTTCCTTGTGAGGAGGGATGGGGCCACCTTCACCCGAGTAGCCTGGCAGCTCTTCTCTGGGCTTCCCTATACTCCCCACTCCGTGCCCTTGGATCAAATGGGGGAGGCAGCTGCTGCTCATCAGAGGGGATCCGCTGCCTCTCAGCACCACTGCCTGTCTGCAGCCGATCCTCCCCTGTGTCTGTGAAGGCAGGCAGCTCTCTGTCTGGTCGACCACCTCCCCCAATGCCTGAGGGGCCTGGGACAGCATCATCCTCAGGTCCTGGCCTCTCCAAGTATGCCAAGGGAGACGTGCCATCCCTGTCTGACAGTCCCAACTCCTCCTCCTTCTCTTCCTCCTCCTCTTCTCCTCTTCTCCTTCTCCTCCTCCTCCTCCCTCCTCCTCCTTCTTCTTCTCTTCTTCCCCTTCCTCTCCTCCTCCTCCTCCTCCCCTCCTCCTCCTTCTTCTTCTCTTCTTCCCCTTCCTCTCCTCCTCCTCTCCTCCTCCTCCTCCTCCTTCTCTCTTCTCTTCTTCCCCTTCCTCTCCTCCTCCTCCTCCCTCCTCCTTCTCTTCTTCTCTTCTTCCCCTTCCTCTCCTCCTCCTCCTCCTCCTCCTCCTCCTCTTCCTCTTCCACTCTTTCTCCTCCTTCTCCTTCTCCTCTTCCTCCTCCTCTTCTCCTTCTCTTCCTTCTCCTCCTCTTCTTCTTCTCTCCTCCTCCTCCTCCTCCACTTCTCCTCCTCCTTCTCTTCTTCTCTTCTTCCCCTTCCTCTCCTCCTCCTCCTCCCCTCCTCCTTCTCTTCTTCTCTTCTTCCCCTTCCTCTCCTCCTCCTCCTCCTCCTCTCCTCCTCCTCCTCCTCCTCCTCCTCCTCTTCCTCTTCCACTCTTTCTCCTCCTTCTCCTTCTCCTCTTCCTCCTCCTCTTCTCCTTCTCTTCCTTCTCCTCCTCTTCTTCTTCTCTCCTCCTCCTCCTCCTCCTCCACTTCTCCTCTTCTTCCCCTCCTCCTCCTCCTTCTCCTCCTTCTCCTCCTCCTCCTCCTCCTCCTCCAGTGGGGCCATGACAGACCCTGAGAAGGATGTGGAGTAGAAGAATGACAGTTTCCAAGAAGCCCATGAGTTTTCATGGATAAAGAGTGGATTTGACCTGGCATCTCCCCGGTCCTAGCAGGGCCCATTCAGATCTGCATGATGGCAAGCTCCCCTAGCAGAGAGCAATGCCCCAAAGGTGCATTTTCAAGAGGCAACTGGACTTTCTGGGTTTTCTTTGAAGATGTTTCACTTCTCATCCAAGAAGCTTTTTGGATGAGAAGCAAAATGTCTTCAGAGGAAAAACCAGAAAGTCCAGTTGCCTCTTGAAAATGCACCTTTGGGACAACCATGACCTGGAGGACTGAGAATCTCCATAGACATTTAGCAGAGAGCAAGCTCATTGCTCCAGGAAACCATCAGACCTGTGAGATGCCCCAATCCATTTGGTTCCCCCGCCCCCAGTGGGTGTCCAGCCAATCCTTTCCCTTAGTCCCTTATTGGAGATGCTTGGAGCTGGAAATGAACAAGGCCTTCTCAGATATCAGTCCAGCATTTCCCGGCCTGTCCACCATGGCAGAAGCCCCATGCCCAGCCTTCCTTGCCTGCCTTTGTGATCAGTAGCAGCCACCTCAGCCTGGCATGAGCGAAACCAAGACCATCAATAATGGGGGCCTTAGTGGGCTCTGACCCATCACATTTCTTGTTGAAATAAAAATCCCAACCCAGCCATTTCTTGCGGAGGGTTCTCCAGGTAAGCACCTTCCTTACATATTGAACAGGTACACATAAGGGCTTCTCTTCTGCTGTTTATTTTGATGCCCCTCTCACATTGGCCCTCCTTGTTCTTTGAGGAGGGGATCCGTAGGGAGCTCAGTTCCTCTTTTCAAAGAGCTGCAATGAAGTATTTCAAGGTTATTTTACGATAAAGATGATGGCGATGATGATCCCGGTTCTGCTCTCCTTGTAACTTTGCAAGGCCGTGTGGAGGGGCGAAGAGCTCTTCATTTCCAGGCATTATTTTCTCGTGACGTTTTTCCAAGGTTGAAGATTGTTCCCCCTGAGAATTGTGTATAGATGTGAGTCCCGTGTCTCTGTACGAATCTTTTATTATGCTATCATGTAATAAAGAACTTTTCTCTCTGTAGCAAAATGGCATCTGTTTGGCAACTGAGTCTTTTTACACCTGATCTGACCAGCCATCTGTATGAATGAGATGATGGTTTATGGGCTCTTTGCTCCTAGACACCGTTGTGTTTTTCTCCCATCCTTGTGACATACATTGTGTTGCCCTACAGTCATAATCATAATCATAAGTTTATTTGTCAAGCATATATAAGATAACAGGTAAAAGTATAAACGTAATTTGAATACATGAAAAGAGTAAGAGTAAAAAGGAACATTAGGACAGGGATGGAAGGAATGCTGGTGCACTTATGCAGGTCCCTTACAGACCTCTTAGGAATGGGGTGAGGTCAACAGTAGACAGTTTAAGGTTTTGGGGGTTTGGGGAAGAAACTACAGAATCAGGTAATGCATTCCAGGCACTGACCACTCTGTTACTGAAGTCGTATTTTCTGCAATTGAGTTTGGAGCGGTTTACCTTGAGTTTGTATCTATTATTTGCTCGTGTATTGTTGCGGTTGAAGCTGAAGTAGTCATTGACAGGAAGGACATTGTGGCAGATAATTTTATGTACTATGCTTAGGTCAGACTGAAGTCGGTGTAGTTCTAAGTTGTCTAAGCCCAAAATTTGGAGTCTGGTGGCATAAGGTATTTTATTGCAGCTAGAGGAATGGAGGACTCTTCTCGTAAAATATCTCTAGACTCTCTCTGTTGTATTTATGTCCGATATGCAGTGCGGGTCCCAGACAGATGAGCTGTATTCGAGAATTGGTCTAGCAAATGAGCCAGTTGGCAGTGTGCAAAAGGCAGCTGTTGAAACTTTCAACATCTGGCAAAGCCCATGTTTATCTCTGGGACTGCAAATGCATATCTGAATGATTATATTCAGATATTTGCTGAAATCTTATGACTGAAAAGATGGGAGGATTCTCTCTTGGTCTTTTTCCATCATTTACCAGTTGATACTTAAAATAAGCAAGACAAACAGAACAACATGAAGCTATGCACGTTGCCAAGGAATGCTGCCGTGGGGCCATTTCCTTCACCAGCATGTTCAAGGGCCATTTGTGGCCACCAAGAAGCTGTCGGCATTGCTGCGTGCAGAAAAGGAGACTTTGGCAGGAATGGCATTTTCTGGTTCAAATATTTTATTCATTTACTGAAATATAAAAGACAGAAATTCAAAGAGAAATGAAGATAATGGGAAAATAGGGGAGAAAAAGGAGAAGAGGAGAAAGTGTAGGGTAAAGGAGAAAGGCAAACCACAATTTTTACTTTTATATGATCATATTAATGGATGAACAGATTCACAGGGTTGGAAAGGACCTTGTAGGTCATCTAGTCCAACCCCCGCCGAAGCAGGAGACCCTACACCATTTCTGACAGATGGCAGTCCAGTCTCTTCTTGAAAGCCTCCAGTGATGAAGCTCCCACAACATCTGAAGGCAACTTCTGTTCCATGGGTTGATTGCTCTCACTGTCAGAAAATTTCTCCTTATTTCCAGGTTGAATCTCTCCTTGATCAGCTTCCATCCGTTATTCCTTGTCTGGCCTTCGGGTGCCTTGGAAAATAGCTTGACCCCCTTCCTCCTCTCTGTGGCAGCCCCTCAAGTATTGGAAGACTGCTATCATGTCTCCCCTGGTCCTTCTCTTTAGATTAGCCATGCCCAGTTCCTGCAACCGTTCATCGTATGTTTTACCCTCCAGTCCCCTAATCATCCTGGTTGCTCTTCTCTGCACCCTTTCTAGAGTCTCAACATCTTTTTTATAGTGTGGTGACCAAAACTGGATGCAGTATTCTAGGTGTGGTCTTACTAAGGCTTTATAGAGTGGTATTAGTTTCTCCCTTGATCTTGATTGTATCCCTCTGTTAATGCAATTTAAGATTGTGTTGGCTTTTTTGGCTGCCGCCGCACACTGTTAGCTCATATGTAGGTTGTCCACTAAGATTCCAAGATCCCTCTCACACTCACTGCTATTAAGCCTGATTTCACCCATACGTACTATTTCTATAACAACAAACCTATCTATTCAGCAAAACCCCAAATCAAAGTTTCATCTTAAGCAGAAAGTCCAGAAATGGTTTCCAAATAGAAACAAAATTAATTGTATTCTTTTCTTTAATTTTATTCTGCTTCTTCAAAGCAGTCAATTTAGCCATCTCTGCTAATGCCATCCACTTTTGCAGCCGTTCCTCCATTGTGGGAATCAACACATCCTTCCATTTTTGTGCATAAAGTATTTTCGCTACGTTTTTCTCCTCACATTGGGCTGAGTATGGTCAAAATTCATGAGGGCAGACGCAACGGTGTGGCCAAAACACCACGATTTCTATGTCTGCTACTAAAATCAGACCAGGTTTTGATTTTGCTAGCTTGGCTTTTCTGACCATGTTCTGTGGGTGCCCAGAATGGGGCTCGCCCTTGAGACCAAGTTTCATGCTGGAAATTCCTAAAGGAAGAGGTAAATTCTTGCTAACGCCCCCACCATGCTTAAAAGTGGGTCTAGAGTAGTATCATCTTCAAGAAGCCACGCCAAGACACCATTCTTTAGACACTGTGGGAAACACACACACTCCTCCTAGAAGAATGAAATATTTTGGGGACTATTAAGAGGCAGAATATTACATTTTCTCAAAAAAGAAATGGAGAGACATGTTCTTAGAGGCAGAAAACAGCCTCCGGTCTTTCTTAATAGCCCACAGCAGATGCCGGCACTTAAGGAGATAAAGAGCTTCTTGAAAGAGGAAACCAACTATCTAGATGGCTCCATTCATAAGCAAAGCAAACACTGCCGGCAGAAGTCCATTCAAGACAGGATATTTTGAAACTCCTTGCTGCAAAGTTTGACAGCTAACAAAAGCAGACTGATAGCAAGGTCCAACACAGGACGAAAGCCATCAGCCACAATGGGAATCGCCCAACACCCTTTTAGAAACACAAAGCCCATATTTGCACAAATCCAAAACCTCGACGTTACAGAAACTATAAAAATTCAACCATTTGGTTCAGCTGACCCAGAACTGCATGCTGTCTCTCTCTCTGTGTGGTTCTGTGTTCTTCAATAAACTTCCTTTCCAATCAGCCTCCGTGTTTGTTTGCAGTGTTTTTCTCCCAGCTTGGAACTGAACCAGATGGATTTTTCTTTCAGCAACACCAATACGGTTGGTCAGTTGTGCAAGCCATTTGAGTGTGCAATCAAGGACTGAGTCATGTGAATGTGACTTTGCACCAGTGGTGGGATTCAGCCAGTTTGCACCACTTTGGGAGAACCGGTTGTTAACTTTCTGAGCAGTTTGGCAAACTGGTTGTTGGAAGAAATTATTAGGGCAGACAACCGGTTGTTAAATTACTTGAATTCCACCATTGCTTTGCACTAGATGGATGTCTAGAAAAAGATGGAATCTGCTGCCATTCAGTGCAGGAGCAGCTTACATAATACACAGCTACAGTTGCAAGCCTCTCCTCCTGTATCATTGTATAAGCCATGTTTAAACAACCCAAGAAAAAGCTGCCTTTGTATCCTTGCTAGTTTGCTACCAATGACAGAATGGAGATCTGAAACAATTTCCTTTCCCCTCCTTTTTTCTTTGCATGACACAGTGACGTTTGAGGCTGAGTGCCTTGCAAACAGAAATCAAGTTACTGTCTGCTGCTTTAAGCGAGAGATCTGGACAAGCGATCTTCTAGAACTGTACGAGTTCCTCCTTGAGGTCATGCAGACGCTTGTTGGGAGAAAGGTCTCCCTTGTCTTTGGAGTTTCTACAACACTTGTCCATTCTCTCTCTCTTCCTGCTTCCCTCCCTCCCTCTCTCTCTCTCCTGTCATGATTATTTGGAGGGGGGGCATAAGATACTTTGGAGTTTGACCCCCGAAGGCTGATAAGGAAGCAGCTCAGCCCAACTCATGAGCAGCATCAAAGGCAGGGCATCAATGAATCCAAGTGCCCTGCATATAAATTCCCCCCTTTCACGCCTGTGAATTTGTGAAAGAGCCTCATTGAATCCTCTCCGCTGGCATCTGGAAGCCACCCGGTGAACTGGCAGAAGGCTGGTCGCCCCGAACACGAGGCAGGAGCGAGTCCCGGGGAGCATGGTAAGTCTCTGCTCCTGGCTTGGATCTTTGGGAGCACTTGAAACCTTGGGGTGCATCTCAAAAGGCCTGTGAGGGCATCATTGCCAGGTCTGGGGGTACTGTTGGTAGGAAAATAGAAACAGAGTGGCAAGAGCTGCAGCCCTGGCTGGCCAGCCCCATGAATTGCTGGCTCTCTTTGTCCAGGGCAGGGGTGAAATGCTCCCGGTTCGGACCAGATCGCCTGATCTGGTAGCGATGGCGGTGGGTGGTTCAGAGAACCGGTAGCAAAAATCCCTGCCGCTGAAATCCCTCTTCCGCTGAAGAGGTTGTAGAAAAAATGCTTTTAAAAGAAAAAAAAAGCCTCTGACGATCAGGCAACTCAACTGGGATCGTCAGACGCTTTTAAAAGCATTTTTTTAACAACCTCAAGAGGTTGCAGAAAAAATGCTTTTAAAAGGTAAAACAAATCCCAGCTGAGCAGCGCGATCGTCAGAGGCATTTTTTTTACTTTTCAAAGCAATGCTGTGCGCTACAGCTGATCACCCCCCCTCGTGCGCTGTTCTACTTACCACATGCCTCGTTTTGGCATGCACTGCGCACGTGCACCTTGCATATGGTGCGTGGTGCGCACTGCGCATGCTCAGCCAGCAAACCGGTAGTAAACCGGTTAAGATTTCACCACTGGTCCAGGGGATTCCTTTCCATGCATGGTTGCCTCTAGCACAGAGTTGGCCTCCTGCAACTCATTCTGGGCAGCAGCTCCTCAACTTCCTCTTTGCCAAAGGATAAGGAGGATGCCCAGATGCTCTCCAAGGGGGCAGGTGTGATGCCAGGCAGACAGCTGTTGCCATCCACCCTTCGACTCGCCTAGGCATTTCATCTGGGCTCTGGGGCTTGGAGTGCAACACTAACATTCCCATCCAGCTGCAGAAAGCCCCCCCCCCACTCCCTGCAACTGACTGCCTCTGGTGCTGACAAGCAGGGCTGCATCTTCACAAATTGTAAGGCTGAGTTAAATCTGTTTTTCCTGCTAGCAGAATCCCAGGCAGGAGTGGCTCCACTTTGCCCCATTCCCTTCCTCTTCGTCATTGCCAAACACAAAATAACTGTTAAAATGGCCGCAGGCAAGATATATATTTTTTAAAAAAAACAACCATCCCTGTTGGATGGAGATGAAAAATGAGTGAAATAGTATTTGATAGAAAGGAACTTCATTCTCCAAAGTAGCTTCAAATGGACAAATGCTTTCTATTATTCTTGAAGTTACATGGCATAAACTTTTGGGGATACCAGATGATCTTACAGAGGAGGAGAGTTTGCATTATTCAACCAAAACCTCTTGAAGGATCTGGCTAGATCAGCTCCAAAGTCCGTCCTTTCCCCCCAACAGCTGGGGCACCCCTTGCCGGTCCCAGGCTCTGGCCCCAGGAAAGCTCCCTTCTGCAAGGTTGTGCCAGTAATTTTCCTCAGTGAGACCCAAGTCAAAGGGGCCTATTTTTCTGTCCTCTGCCATAGCAGCCAGCAATGTGCCTGAAGCTCTGATGTTCCTTGGCCCCCTTCCTGAACATTTCCAGATCAGCCCTAGGGTGCAAAGATTCCAGAATCTTCCAGAGTAACGGAGCTGGCCCTCCTTCCAGTTCCAGGCAGGCCACAGAGAGAGATAAAAGAAAATTGTGCTAACGTGCAAGGTGATGAGTTGGCTTCCAGCCTCGCCCTCCAAGTACCTCCTCCAGCCAGAGAGAAACTTGTTTGTCTGCTCTCAGAAAACTCCCACACGACACAACACAACACAAGGTGATGGGAACAGAAGTTTAGCCTCCCAAAACTTATTTTTCTGGGACGTCTGTTCCCAGCCTTGGACTCAGCAGATAAGACAACTGCTTGTGGTGGGACCGCTCTTCCTGCAATTTCGCCAGCCTGATTCCGGCACGAAGAAGGAACAGTATCTCGGCAGCTAAAGCTTCTCACTGGATCCCAAAATCTTTGCAAAATATTTACTTTAGAGAAAGGCTCCCTGTTTTCCTCTACCTAACTGAAGGTAAGTCAGTGAAGGAAGAAGTTTGCTAAATGTTTGGATTAAGTTTTTGTTACGTTTGGGGGCTGGTTCTCCACCTTAGCCCTGGGATTCCTTTGCATGATGTCATTCCTGAGAAACAGACCTGGCTTTGTTAATCCAGTATTGTCTACTTTCTCATTAGTTACAGTGGGGACCATTGTATTAGTTCACAAGTGGGACCAATGGCCTGGGGGGTGGGTGGGCAGGTGGATGAAGTCCCTTGCATTGGAGGGATTCAGCTGGCGGTTGGGGTTTTTTTAATTCCTGCCCTGAAAAGCGGTCATACCTGATCAGTTCTAGATCCCCGTCCACCGTGAGGGTTCTAGGTTCCAGCTGGTCACTCCATCTAAAAAGCCAACCCCTTAGACTTGACTAACTCAGGAGAGGAGCTGTTCTTGGATGTCGGTCGGGATAGAGCAGAGAAATTTCTGTGGCTTCCTACAGATATGGTTGCCTCGGCTTCTTGCTGCATAGCTCGATCTACAGATTGCATGTGGTTTAGTGCAACGGAGCTCCAGGGGTGTGAAGGGTAGAACCGAGGCATTCTGTCTCAACATGCCAACAATGGGCCCATTCTCCCAGCTCTGTTATTATTATTATTTTTTCTCTTGCGGGATTAGAAAGCAAATAAAGCTGGCCAAAAGCAAATAAAGTGACCTTTGCATCACTTTAGCCAGTCGGTCTAATTTAGAATCTGTCACAATCGCTTCCCCCCCCCCTTTTCTTGCCATAGTGAATAAACAGAACTCCTGCTTGGACTCAAACCCAGTGCTGGATAGAGCTGGCACTCCACGAAGAAGGGGATCTGACTCGCTCGTTGTCTTTTTCATCCCGCGGACCCACGCGCTGGGCAGACGAGGCAGCTGGCAGCCAGGGCAAGCAGCAGCGATGGAGCCGAGCGGTACCAGCCCTCCGTCTCCACCTCCCAGCAGCCGGACTGCCTTCCCCCAGCGGACCTTGGAGGCTGTTGATATTGTTGTCCTGGTTTTGTACTTCGTCTTTGTGTTGGCTGTGGGCCTGTGGGTAAGGAGGGCTGCCTCTCGTGCGTCGGCTGGGCACACCAAGAGGAAGGCTCCACTGAGCTCTGCAGTTAGGGAAAGCCCCCAAATGCAATTGTTAGTTCTCCTCAGGAGCCACAGTGCAGGGAGTGGGGTAGGGTGGAGTGAGGGTCTTTCTGGGGACACATAGCCTCCCATATTTTGGTCTATTTTTATTAGCTTCGTAAATTCAGCCGATATCTGAAAGCAAACTCTGCCGTGGAAGAACCAGCTGTGTTTTCCAGTGACAGTCAGGGCAACCTTCTCACAGGGAGGGCTGGCACTCTCCTGGCCCTTCCTCAGCTGTGCAGCCCTGCGGTGGGTGGGAGGCTGTGGCATCATAACCTCACTTAAGCCGGGGATTTTCCAGTGGATGATTTGTGTTTGTGGAGGCGGTTGTGTTAAAGGTTATTGAGGGGCCGTAGGCTGAACTAATCCAAGGTGCATTGCCTTCAATTGCTTTTTGCTGCTAAATCTTTGCTAGCAAATTCCCCAGCGACACGAAGCAGTTAGAAACCACTCATCCTTAAGAGGCGTGTGTGTGTGTGTGTGTGGTTTAGAGTTAGTGTTAACTCCTGATGACCACCTGGACTTGAAATTGAGCTACAAATCCATCCTTTTTCTAAAGGCCAATTCTTTAGAGGTCTTTCTTTCTTTCTCTTTCTTTCGTTCTTTCCCTTTCTTTCTTTCTTTCTTTCTTTCTCTCTCTCTCTCTCTCTCTCTCTCTCTCTCTCTCTCTCTCCCCCCCTCCCTCCCTCTCTCTCTCTCTCTCTCTCTCTCTCTCTCCCTCCCTCCCAATTCAGGGCAATTGTGGATGGTGGCTGCAACTGCACATCCGTGGCTGCCAGTGCCAGCGTGACTTTTTTGACCTCCCTAGAGGTCAGCTCCTGCTCCTCAATTGGGGGGAACACATCTAGTTTTGCTCTAGAGCTTTCTTGACCTAGAACAGAGGCAACGTTCCAGAAGCAGAGATGGGCCAAGACAGGACAAAAATTGAAGGGTGAATTAATTGATCTGAATTCTCAGTCAAATAAACTTGAGTGTAATTCATTGGATTGCTCTCAATGTACTTAGCGGCCTTCCTCTTCTGTCCCTTTTTGTGCCAGCTCTGGGGCTAAAGTCCTCTGGGACCATCTCTCTGTGCAGGAGAGCAGCATGTCCTGGGGTGACCCTCCCTCTCCTAGAGGCCCACCTGAGATTGCTCTTTTATATGAGCGAATGACGGTGGACAAACTTCCCATAGAAGCTGGACAGCAGCTCAGGGATCATTAGACCTGTGGTTTGTTCCTGTTTTGGAGGGCACATCACAGCAACTGCTGTTCTTCTGGATCAGGCCAAGAATAAAGAGCAGCTTAACCTGTGACTAAAATTACCCACATTCCACAAAATCTATCCTGGCTAGTCTAAACAAAACAAGAGTTAGAGGCAACATGATAGCAGTATCCCAGTATTTGAGGGGCTGCCACAAAGAAAAGGGGGTCAACCTATTCTCCAAAGCACCAGAGGGCAGGGCAAGAAGCAATGGATGGAAACTAATCAAGGAGAGAAGCAATCTAGAACTAAGAAGAAACTTTCTAACGGTGAGGACAATAAACCAGTGGAACAGCTTGCCTCCAGAAATCGTGGGTGCTCCATCACTGGAGGTTTTTAAGACGGGACTTACCTGTTTTTAAGAAGTTTTTAAGAAGTCACATCTGAAATGGTATAGGCTGGACTAGAAGACCTCCAAGGTCCCTTCCAGATTCTATTCTATTCTATTCTATTCTATTCTATTCTATTCTACTCTACTCTACTCTACTCTACTCTGCAAAATATCTTCTGTAAATGCATTAGCGTCCCACTTCACAATTTTGTGGCCAGATCCTGGGTCAAGCAAAGTCTTTTCCCACGCCACACAGTTTGCAGAGACTAAACATCTCACAATTCCTTCCATGAAAGGCAGGCTTTGTCACTTTTGTGGCATTGTTGAACATCTGACCGCCCTTGTAGTTCAACTTTAGATATTGCAGAATATGAGATAGGATCCTTGCCCATGATCAGTGGAATCCAGGAAGTCTCTCTTTTTTCCTGGCACCCTCTGCCAGGTCAGAGTGCCACCCCCTTGGCCTGGAGCCTGTGCAAAGCCAACAATTGCATTATCACATAGTTTCATGGCTCCCGGCTCACTTGTTTGCACAACAGGCTGGATCAAGGCTACGCTCTTCAGGCTCTGCGAGGCTGCCAACTTCAGAGCACTTTGGTACACAACCAGCCTACCAAGAGGGGTGGATCCTGCTTCAATTATATTCTAAGGGATTCCCTTCCAGATATTAGATTACAGATTAACGAAAGGGACTTTGTAGGTCATCTAGTCCAACCCCCCGCCCAAGCAGGAGACCCTGCACCATTTCTGACAGATGGCAGCCCAGTCTCTTCTTGAAAGTCTCAAGTGATGAAGCTCCCACAACTTCTGAAGGCAACTTCTGTTCCACGGGTTGATTGTTCTCACTGTCAGAAAATTCCTCCTTATTTCCAGGTTGAATCTCTCCTTGATCAGTTTCCATCCATTATTCCTTCTCTGGCCTTCAGGTGCCTTGGAAAATAGGTTGACCCCCTGGCCATTGTAGGAGCCCCTCAAATATTGGAAGACTGCTATCATGTCACTGCTAGTCCCTCTTTTCATTAAACTAGACCTACCCAATTCCCGCAACTATTCTTCAAATGTTTTATGTTAAAACATATGTTTTATATGTTTTCCCCTAATGATCCTTGTTGCTCTTCTCTGCTCTTTTTCCAGAGTCTCAACATCTTTTTTTGTATTGTGGTGACCAGAACTGGATGCAGTATTCCAAGGGTGGTCTTACTAAGGCTTTGTAAAGTATGTCCATGTGACATGGCTGAATTGGGGTTAACAGATTAACAGAGTTGGAAGGGACCTTGTAGGTCATCTAGTCCAACCCCCTGCCCAAGCAGAAGGAGACCCTACATCATTTCTGATAGATGAGACAGTCCAGTCTCTTCTTGAAAGCTTCCAGTAATGAAGCTCCCACAACTTCCGAAGGCAACTTCTGTTCCATGGGTTGATTGCTCTCACTGTCAGAAAGTTCCTCCTCATTTCTAGGTTGAATTTCTTTGATCAGTTTCCATCCATTATTCCTTGTCTGGCCTTCGGGTGCTTTGGAGAAGAGGTTGACCCCCCTCCTCTCTGTGGCAGCCCCTCAAATATTGGAAGATTGCTATCATGTCTCCCCTGGTCCTTCTCTTCACTAGGAGCCTTGGCAGTACAGTAGTTTAATGCACCCTGTTATTAACACAGCTGCCTGCAATTTCTGCAGGTTCGAATCTTACCAGGCTCAAGGTTGACTCAGCCTTCCATCCTTTCTAAGGTAGGTAAAATGAGGACCCAGTTTGTGGGGGCAATAAGCTGACTTTGTATAAAATATACAAAAGTATGAAGGCTTTTGCTTAACGCACTGTAAGCCGCCCTGAGTCTCCGGAGAAGGGCGGCATATAAATCAAATTAAAAAAAAAAAAAAAACTAGACTAGCTATGCTCACTTCCTGCAACCGTTCATCATATGTTTTAGCCTCCATCTCTGCCCCATCTCTCTTCAAGGAAACCAGCAAAATGGCAGGTGCCCCTCCCTCTATCCAAAGCATGTTCTCAGCTGTGGTTCCACCGCCCATCTTAGCCCAGCATCTAAGGGAAACTGGTTCTTTGATGGGCACTTTTCCATGAACTAACAATCACCTGTCTCAACACTGGATACTGTACTTGACAGTAGGAAATGCTCAACCAGCAAACTAAAGATGTAAAACAGGTTCCTCCTTTGATTCGGGAACGGCCTTCTTCCTCCTCCTGTCTCTCTTTCAACATCTCCAAAAACAGGAATTGTCCCAGAGTGAAATGGGACCCTTCCCACATTCACTCCTACTTGCCTGTTTATTATGGGGGAGGGGGGATTGTTGTTCATGGAATCCTTCGTATTCTCAGCAAATAAACTTGTTGTCTTTTAATATTTCAGTCCATGTGGAAGACAAAACGAAGCACCGTCAAGGGTTACTTCCTAGCTGGAGGCGAGATGGTCTGGTGGCCGGTAGGTTGTCTCCAATTTCAGCTTGTCCAAAATCAGGGGTGAAATCCAGCAGGTTCTGACAGGTTCTGGAGAACTGGTAGCGGAAATTTTGAGTAGTTTGGAGAACCGGCAAATACTACCTCTGGCTGGCCCGAGTGTGGGGAGGGAATGCAGATTTTGCAGTATCCTTCCCCTGCCAAGCCCACCAAGCCATGCCCACAGAACCGGTAGTAAAAAGATTTGGATTTCACCACTGTCTAAAATGTTTTGTTTCCTGAGAGATTTGGGTAGGGGAAATCACACAAAACAATTTGTGTCTTGCGATCGGTCTTTTGTTGAGGCCCCTGGCTGGACTAGTCGCTGAGGTTTTCTTGGCATCATTTTCAGAAATTGTTGCCTATCATGGTCTTCTTCTCCCTAGGGCCAACAGAGAGCTAGGTGGCCCAAGGTCACCCAGCTGAGGCAGGACTAGAACTCACCATCTCCCAGTTTCTAGCCTGGTGCCTTCACCACTACATCCAAATGACTCCTGATACAAAAGATAGATTTGTCCTTCCGTTCTCGGTTGTCTCTACTTTGAAAGGGCCAACTGGTTTGGGTTTCCAGCCGCTGAGAATCTTCTTCCACATCCAGCCCTAAGTCACCTAGATCAGAGGTCTCCACAGGGGTGGGCTTCAAAAATTTTAGCAAGGGGTTCTCTGCCCGGTTGCTGGGTAGGTGCTGCCATAGTAGGCGTGGCCTAGTCGGCCTCCTGCACCATGATGGGGAACCGGTTTTTTCCCTCCCCAGGTTCTGGAGGCTTTCCTTGAGCCTCCAGGAAGGCAAAAATGGCCTCCCCAGGCTCCGGAGGCCCTCCTGTGGCCGGAAACAGGCTGTTTCCAGCCTCCCCGAACTTCCGGTAGGCCCATTTTTTCACCCTCCCATAGCCTCCGCACGCGCCCTGCACTTACCTGCATCCAAAACGGGCCACGTAGGGACTCCTGGGAGGAGAGGGGTGAGCGGGGCAGGGCCAGCCAGGAGTGGGATTTGGGGGTTCTCTGAACTGCACAGAATCTTAGCTAGGGTTCTCCCAAACCTCTAGCATCCCAAATGAGAAATTGGGTCTCTGGTCAGGACAGGTGATCCAGAAACCCTTCAACCACCACCTCCCATGCCATGACAGGTTTTGCACTCAAGGCAGGTTTAGAAGACACTCGAGAATCCCACCAAGCTGATCCCCCGGCTTCCTTTCCACAGGTGGGGGCCTCCCTGTTTGCCAGTAATGTTGGCAGTGGGCATTTCATCGGCTTGGCTGGCTCCGGTGCGGCCTCTGGAATTGCCGCCACAGCCTACGAGTGGAATGTGAGTATCGCTTTTATGGTCCCTTTTATGCTGGCTGGCACAGGGCAGGGGGCAAAGTTTTCCTTTAGTCTGAAGGTTCACATCTCTCTATCTCCCGGGCCTGATTCGGCTGATTAAAGAATAGCAGACTTTCCCAGCAGCTGTTTAAAGAGGTCAGCAAAAGAGTTGTGTCTTTTGTGTGAAGAGCTGAGCCTCTTTCTTCCCAGCTCTGGTGCCTGGCTGGATGCATCTTGGATTGAATCAGCCTTTGTACACCCAGAGTATAAAGACAAGTAAATGGAACACTGAAACAGAACAACAGTGTTGGAAGGGACCTTAGAGGTCTTCTAGTCCAACCCCCTGCTAAGCAGGAGATCTATACCATTGCAGACAAATGACTGTCCAGCCTCTTCTTAAAAACCTCCAGTGATGGAGCACCCATGATTTCCGGAGGCCAGCTGTTCCATTGGTTAATTGTTCTCCCTATTAGGAAATTTCTCCTTAATTCCAGGTTGCTTCCCTCCTTGCTCAGTTTCCATCCATTGTTTCTTGTCCTGCCTTCAGGTGCTTTAGAGAATAGATTTGACCCCCTTTTCTTTGTGGCAGCCCCTTAGATATTGGAAGACTGCTCTCATGTCACCCCAGTCCCTCTTTTCATTAAACTAGACACACCCAGACTTTGACCCCTCTCTTCGTTTGTGAGATATATACACACCTTGTGACATCCGTATTTCCAGACAGCTGAATCAAGATCCCAATAAAATGGGGCAGGGTTTAAAATAGTCTTTTTGAACCTAGAAGCTTTAGGAGAACACAATTTAAGGTGAGGGGGAGGGAAGTTGGATAGCAAAGCTTCTTTAGTTAGAATCAGAAGCACCTGGTTTTCCTTCCCCTCCACCTGCCTACACCTTGGGAGAGTGATCTACAAATCACTGCAGCGGCCCAAGGAAGATTAGAGAGGTAAGGAGGATCCTCCCTAAATATCCAGGTCTCTGCAGAAACTTGCATTAAAACCCGACTTTACTCACTCTGAGAAAGAGGTGAGCAGGAGGATGTTGCTAGACCAGGAATCAGTATTTGCTAATCCATTCTGGCTCTGGGTGCAAATCCTTGAAGCTGATACAGAGTCAGATTGGGCACATCCCTTTCTGAAAATGGCAGGGATTTTTTTGGGTGGTCTGGTCAGCTATCTCCACAGAGAACCACACCCACATCGGTTCATCTGCTGGGCAGTAGTGGGTTCCTCCTGGTTTGGCCTGGTTCCGCCGAGCCGGTAGCGGTGACGATATGACTGGTGCCTGCAAAAATAAATGGGTAGACCAGTACAGCTCTGCAAGCAGTTAAAAGCCTGGTAGACCAGTACCTCTGCTAAATCCTAAATAATTGTCACATGATCATCAAGCCACGCCCACAAAATAAGCCACGCCCACAGAACCGGTAGTAAAAAAATTTAGAATCCACCCCTACTAATGCCAGGCTGCCCAACTTCCTCCTGGCATCTGCTTTGCTTGCCAGCAATGAGTGATAAGTAGCAGCAGGTCCAGGGAGGGTCAGGGAAAGCCTCTTCCTGTGACCAGTTGCTTTGCATTGCCCCACTCCAGTGGTATTATTCTCCAGTTTTATTTTGGGGTCCCAGTGCAGGATTAGAACTGTACTGCTCCTTGAGGTTGAAGGGACAGATGGTGTGAATGTTGTATCTTCATCAGGGACTTGTGCTCCATCACTGGAGGTTTTCAAGAAGAGACTGCACAACCACTTATCTGAAATGGTATAGGCCAGTGATGGCTAAACTTTTTGTTGTTGTGTGCCAAAAGTGGGGGGAGTAATGGGGGTCGTGCACACCCGTGCCCACACCCATAATTCAATGCACCCCACTCCCCTGTGCATGCGCACATGACCCCCACACACACGCTCCCCACACTTTTGGCACGTGATGGCACAGTGGACCCGGTAGGCCCGTTTTTCTGCCCTCCCCAGGCTCCAGAGGCTTTCTAGGAGCCAGGGGAGAGCAAAAACGGCCTTCTCCACCTATCCAGAGGCCCTTCGGAGGCCAGAAAAATGGCCCATTTCCCGACTTCTGGTGGGTCCAGAAGACCCGAAAATCAGCTGGCCGGTGTGCACATGCGCGCTGGAGCTGAGGTAGGGCAAAGCTTGTGTGCCCACAGATATGGCTCCGTGTGCCACCTGTGGCATATGTGCCATAGGTTCGCCATCACAGATATAGGGATTCCTGCTTGAGCAGGGGGTGGACTAGAAGACCTCCAAGGTCCCTTCCAGTTCTCTTATTCTATTACTATGACTTAATCACACCCAGGGAGCTTGCAAGCCTATCTCAGCAGGGCTTGGTTTGGTAGGTCAGTTGCATCCTGTTGAACTTTTGGGACTGTGTGTGCCACATGAGTTTTGGCTCCCCTTTTCAAATCCTCCTAAAATGAGCCAGATCGATTGTTGTGGGCTGCCAGAGGTCCACAGCTGGAGACGTAACATGAAGCTGAATTTGCTTGTGGAAATCCTCGTCCACCATCTGTTGGCTTGCCCTGCCAAAAGGATGTTGGACGAGGAGGTGCCCCCTGTAGATCTGCAGGTTTTCAGAGGGAGGGGTCTTCCGCATTCCTAATGGCTCTGTGGTCTCTCTTTAGGGGATGTTTTGTGTCCTGGTGCTGGCGTGGCTGTTTGTTCCCATCTACCTTGCAAGTGGGGTAAGTAAGTCGGCGCCCAAAAAGCCTCCTTTGCCTTCCTGGAGAGTCAAGCCCTTCTCGATCGCACCTGCTCTTTCCTCTGCCTTTGCTTTCACCGGAGAAGGGCCATGTGCAGCCAGGCAATACGGCAGAGCCTCTGAGATTTTGCTGCCTGTCCAAGAGGGTTAGAAACACCTTCCTTCTTTTCTTAAAAGCGCTTTGAGCAAGCCCATCTCTCAGCCTCTTTGCCCTGCTGCCAGGACGGTCACTATCAGTTCCTGAGCGCACAAATTCATGCATCCCTGGGTCCAGTGGTGGGATTTAGCCGGTTCGGGCCAGTTCAGGTGAACCAGTAGTTAAATTACTGGCTGGCCCCTCCCTTCCCTTCCCCTCCCCACCCCTTCCAGGAGTCCCCACACATCCCATTTTAGCTCCCAGGTAAGTGCAGGGAGGCTACTAGGCCCAAAATGGGGCACGGGGGCGGGGCAGGGCGTTCCCCTCCCATGGGCCATTTTTGCTCCCAGGGGTGTGCAGGAGGCCAAGTGCTGCTTGTCACAGCCTCTGGCCACGCCCACCCAGCCGCTCATTAGGGCAGAGAACCGGTTGTTAAATTATTTGAATCCCACCACTGCCTGGGTGTTAGCATCTTTAGTGGCCCCCAAGGTGGTTTATATCCCATAATATCCTGCTCCAAGATGCTCATGCAGGCAACAGAGGGCATGTAGAGCTGGTCCATGCCAGAGGTCTGGATTTGCTGGTGTCCATCATTCCCCTCTTCTCCCACTCCTCAGTCCTCAGTGCCTGAAATTCTGTGGCCTGCGTGGCAGGGACCCTCCTGCCCAGTGGCTGCTACCTGCCTGCCTTCCTCTCCTCCTGCAGGTTCCAATGAAGCCACAGCTAAACCTTGCCAGCCAACTGGCTGGATCAGGGCATCGATGTCCTGCCTGCATTTTGGCTGCAGAGAGATAGTGCCAAGACAGTTGCTAGATGACAGCCAAGAAATATTCAATTCCTGACTGCTTTTTTTTTTTTTTTTTGTGGTCATTAGGTCAAATGGTCAAGTGGTTGACTCACCGTTTTGATTTTTTTTTTAAAAAAAAAAGTACAATGGGAAAGGAAAAGAAAGGAACTGCAGGCATGGAGTCCCCCAAAGCTGGGCACTTGGGGACAGCTGGCGTTTCAGTTGAGGGAATCCCCAAACTCAGCTGGTGGAAAGTCGTGCCGTAAAGCCCTGTAGACAGTGGTGGGATTCAGCCAGTTCGCACCACTTTGGGAGAACCGGTTGTTAACTTTCTGAGCAGTTTGGCAAACTGGTTGTTGGAAGAAATCATTAGGGCAGACAACCGGTTGTTAAATTACTTGAATCCCACCACTGCCTATAGATCAGTGTTTCTCAACCTTGGTAGCTTGAAGATGGGTGGACTTCAACTCCCAGAATCCCCCAGCCAGCGCTGCTGGCTGGGGGATTCTGGGAGTTGAAGTCCACCCATCTTCAAGCTACCAAGGTTGAGAAACACTGCTATAGATGGTGGTGCTGCTCAGACCCCTTCCAAGTAGTGGCATATGGGGGGTGGGCATCTTACAATTTTCTGCTGGCTTGGGGTGGGGAGGGGAACTTGGCAAAGGAGCTGTGTGGATGTAGGCTTTGTGTGGTTAGAATTGTTTCATGGTGGCCCAGAGCAGCATCTCTTGATGTTGGCAACTTTAAGCGGTATGGAGTTCAACTCCTAGAATTCCCCCAGCTGGGGAATTCTGGGAGTTGAATTTCATACCGCTTAAAGTTGCCAACGTTGAGATGCCCTAGCCCAGAGGGAAGGGGGAGGGGGCTTCCACACTACTGTCCTTCATACCTGGACTGTAAACCAGAGGTGGGTTTCAGCAGATTCTGACCAGTTCTGGAGAACCAGTAGCAGAAATTTTGAGTAGTTCGGGGAACCGGTAGTAAAAATTCTGACTGGCCCCACCCCCATCTATTCTCTGCCTCCCGAGTCCCAGTTGATCGGGAGGGAATGGAGATTTTACAGTATCCTTCCCCTGCCATGCCCACCAAGCCGCGCCCACCAAGCCATGTCACGCCCACCAAGCCACACCCACAGAACCCGTAGTAAAAAAATTTGAAACCCACCACTGCTGTAAACCCTTCAGATGACCAGTCCTTAATCTAAGTTTTAAGTGAATCATTGAGGTTGTTAAGTTAGTAACACAGTTACGTTTCACAGTTAAGTGAAACTGGCTTCCCCATTGATTTTGCTTGTCAGAAAGTCGCAAAAGGGGATCACGTGACCCCCAGGAGGCTGCATAAATCATCAATATGAACCAGTTGCCATGCATCCGAATTTTGATCCCGTCACCTGGGATGCTGCAATGGTCCTAAATGTGAACAACCATCCAAAGTCACTTTTTTCAGTGCTGTTGTAACTTTGAACGGTCCCCAAACAAACCGTTGCAAGTCGAGGATTTCTCGTAATTATTTTAATCAATTTATTTGGCCACCAACTTACCAGAGGTTCTGACCGGTTCTGGAGAACCGGTAGCGGAAATTTTGAGTAGTTCAGAGAACCGGCAAAAGCCACCTCTGGCTGGCCCCGTCCCTATCTGTTCTCTGCCTCCTGAGTCCCAACTGATCGGGAGGAAATGGGGATTTTGCAATATTTTGAGTAGCTAGCAAGACATTAAAAGCCAGCCCAAATAGGGGCTAAATGGGGGCTTCTGTTGCTGGGGAGGCTGAAGACTTGAAGTGGTGAAGGGTGAAGGCTGTGAAATAATTCACCCCCCAGACTGTTTTGCAAAGAAAACCCCAACAAATCAAAGCTACTGCTTGGTAAAGATTTCCTCCTTTTCGTCCTTCCCAGGTTACAACCATGCCAGAATATTTGCAGAGACGGTTTGGTGGCAAACGGATTCAGATCTTCCTTGCAATTCTCTACTTGTTTATCTATATATTCACCAAAATTTCAGTAAGTAAGGAGACGAGAGGAGACAGAACAGAAGTGGCTTGGAAAGAGTAGGTCAACATAGGCTTCATAAGCGACTTTTGACGTTTCTCGGGTGTTGTGGCAAACCGACGGGATACAGGAGGGAACCAGGGAGGTGCTGTGTTTGGGATCCCAAGGCTAAAAGATGAGGAGGTGGGCATGGAAGCCGCATCTGTGGGTAGCTTCTTTCCAAAGGCACATGTCTTCCTTGGCTTCATGGCCCTAGGAAATGCGCAAATGAGTTAAGGAAACATCCACGGATGACCTAGGGGCTTCAGAGTGATTGGGGTGATGGTGCCCTGATGTCTTAACCATAAGATGACTCTCCCTGGGACATATGCTGTTGTGACCTGTCAGCTGCCACTCCTCCAGCAGCCAATCAGATGAGGAGGAGATGTGGGAGTCAGAGTCAGCATCAGGGCAACCTGGGAGCTCCATAGGGGAAGAGGGAATGGAACGGGCAGAGAGAGAGAGAGAGACAGAGGCGGAGCCTGGGCCATCCGTCAACCCTCAGATGGAGAGTCAACAGCCACCAGGCCTGGAGGTGGCTGATGAGGAAGAGGAGGAACAGCTGGGTCCAGTGCCTGGTGCGCGGATACGCAGAAGGCAGAGGAGAGGAGAGCAGTGGAAATCTATGGGCTGGTCCTTGGGATGGAAGAGCCACCGCTGCTAGCGAAGCTCCACCCTAGCTCTGGGGATAAAAGGCAGGGGACGGAGATGAATAGGTGTGGCAGACAACTATTCATCTCCCTGCCAGACAGACTTGTTAGCCTACCGTGAGAGAGAAACTTTTTGCCAGGGCTCCTAATAAAGGAATCATTGATTTAACTTCAGAGGGTTTGTCGTGTTTGGGGAACTGGGTCAGAACACATACCACCCCAACTCAGAAGTCCCATTTTGGCCTTAGATCAGGGGTAAAATCCAGCAGGTTCTGACAGGTTCTGGAGAACTGGTAACGGAAATTTCGAGCAGTTCAGAGAACTGGCAAATACCACCTCTGGCTGGCCCTAGAGTGGGGTGGGAATGGAGATTTTGCAATATCCTTCCCCCAGGAGTGGGGAGGGAATGGGGATTTTGCAGTATCCTTCCCCTGCCACGCCCACCAAGCCCCACCCACCAAGCTACACCACGCCCATCACGCCACACCACGCCCACCAAGCCACATCCACAGAACCTGTAGTAAAAAAATTTGCATTCCACCACTGCTTTAGATACAAAATGCAGCGCATCTCTAGAAGGAGTGATTCTGAACACGGCAATCGGCTTGCCTACAACTCTTGGAGCTGCTTGTGTAGCCCCCAGTGCCCCCCCCCCCCAGTGCAAGGACAGCTTCTCGGAGGATATTTTGGGCTGCCTCCCTTGTGGACCTCTCGGCCGAAGAGGTTGTAGGGAAAAAAATGGCTTTAAAAGCCTCTGGTGATCCCAGCTGAGTTGCCTGATCGTCAGAGGCTTTTCAAAGCATTTTTTTCTGCAACCTCTTAAAGTTGTAGAAAAAATGCTTTTAAAAGTAAAAAAAAAAAAGTTGGCCACACCCACCCAGTCACATTACCCCCCCACCAAGCCATGCCCACAAAATAAGCCACGCCCACAGAACCGGTAGTAAAAAAATTTAGAACCCACCCCTGCCCCAAACCCCCAAAACTTTAACCTTAAACTGTCTACTCTTGACCTCACCCCATTCCTAAGAGGTCTGTAAGGGGCATGCATAAGTGCTCCAGCGTGCCTACCATCCCTGTCCTAATGTTCCTTTTTACTTACTCTTTTCATGTATTCAAATTATGTTTACACTTTTACCTGTTATCTTACATATGCTTGACAAATAAACTTACAATTATGATTGTGATCATACAACCCTTCAAGGGAAAAAAAATATGAATTAAAAATGTCGCTTTAAAGTGGAATCACAAAGCATTAGAGTTAAACCTTTTACTATTAAGTGGATGTCCAAAGTTTGTAGGCCTGAGTCCAGAATCTCCCTCCTTATCTGATTTGTTTGCTGTTGATTTTCTAGTGATGGTCTGTTTGTTTCGTTCTCATTTGAAAACTTATTCCCCAGATAGATATGTGAAGGAATTGCCACACCAATGGAACGTGTTCGGTGTGTGGACAGGCGGGCACCCAAGATGGCCTAGTGCTCTCGTTTAGTCATTTACTCTTCTGTTGGACTACTCACATTTAATGAGTAACTGGCTAACCTTTTGCTTCAGTCATTTATTAGCCACAAAAAGGACACTCAATCCCACCAAGAGAAAGATGCCCCTTCACCTGGGTTAGGTAGGAGTCCCAGCATTTGGTTTCTATCCAAAAAGTTACAACTTTTGTCCAGGTTTTATACTCTTGTCAGTTAAGAGGACACAGTCATTTCAAACCGGGCTTTCAATGCAATTCAGAATAGAGCGGGAAGGGACCTTGAAGGTCTTCTAGTCAACCCCCTGCTTAGGCAGGAGACCCTGTACCATTTCAGACAAGTGGCTGTCCAGTCTCTTCTTAAAACTTCCAGTGATGCAGCACCCACAACTTCTGAAGGCAACATCTGTTCCACTGGTTGATTGTTCTCACTGTTAGGAAGTTTCTCCTTAGTTCTGTGTTGCTTCTCTCCTTGATTAGTTTTCATCCATTGTTTCTTGTTCTGCCTTCTGGTGCTTTGGAGAATACGTTGACCCCAAATTTGTGGCAACCCCTTGGATATTGGAAGACTGCTATCATGTCACCCTTAGTCCTTCTTTTCGCTAGACTAGACAGACCCGGTTCCTGCAACAACATTTTTTTTTGTAGTGTGCTGACCAAAACTGGTCACCACATTACAGAAACGAAAAAATAACTACAAACCCACTGAAGGAGGAGAGCTGTGTTACTCTAGGGCGGCAAAAGATTTTTACCCCCCAAATCAGGTTTGTTACTTTCACCCCACATCTGTGCCAGAATTCTGAACTGCTTTTTATCAGTTCTGTTTGACCAAGTTTGTACGTTGTTCAGTGCAGTGGTGAAATCCAAATTTTTTTACTACCAGTTCTGTGGGTGTGGCTTGGTGGGCGTGGCAGGAGAAGGATACTGCAAAACCTCCATTCCCACCCCCACTTTGGGGCTAGTCAGAGGTGGTATTTGTCAGTTCTCCGAACTACTCAAAATTTCTGCTGCCGGTTCTCCGAACTGCTCAAAATTTCCGCTACCGGTTCTCCAGAACCTGTCAAAACCTGCTGGATTTCACCCCTGGTTCAGTGGGTGCAACTGCCATGTCCTTAAATAGTTCTCTTCAGAGGCTTTGCTCCACTTTGACTATATGTTTTCTAGTCACAGAGTTAAGAGTTTAAGACTTTTCCAATCATCTTCAAAGGAAACATCTAAAACCATCTAGTCAAACAATGGCAACATTTTGTGCCAGTTTTGTACCACTGAATTGCACCCACACACATTCTTAGTTCCAGCTTGGAAATAATGGGACACTGAATAAGTGGATGTTTTTTTCTTGTAATTTATTATTTGCAACTCATGTACCAAGGAATCTCAAACATTTTAAAAAAAAAAAAATCTGTGTAAATCTATGTCAGTTGTGATGTAAAAGAAAAGAAAAAACCAGGCTCAAATGCTTAAGCCACTTCTACATGCACCAGTATAGAAATATCGTTTAGATTTGGTAGCGATGGCAATCAATTCAGAAATATTGAAAAGCTTAATAGGAAGTTTGGGTGGTACGGTGGCCCAGGTTTGAGACCCGGGTGCCATGCGACAGAGTGAGCTCCTGTCCTTCCCTCAGCTCCTGCCAAACTAGCAGTTTGAAAGCATTCAAATGCGAGTAGATTAATAGGTGCCACTTTGGTGGGGAGGAAACAGCTGTCCATGACATCATGCTGGCCACATGACCACGGAAATGACCACAGACAGCACTGGCTCAATGGTCTTCAAACGAAGATGAGTACCATCCCGTAGAGTCGGCAACAGCTAGCGGTGTAAAATCCGCAGGGACTCCTTTACCTTCTACCTTTAATAGGAAGTGTATTCCCTTTTCAAATGTAAGATACATTTAGAAATTTAGCTTTATAATTTGCAACAGCCAGATTGAAGCAGAAAAAGAGGAGGAGGACGTCTCAGTCAATAGTTCAAATATTGACCAGCCAATTAATAATTACTGTGCTTGAAACAAAGGTCAGACATAATACCCTTTTAGACAATAATTGAGAAGAGTAATTATTTAGGCTTTAAGCCCTTGGCCTGGGCCAGCTAATTCTTCCTAATCTAGCTCTTAGGACAGGACCAAAGGCAGCAATTTTCCTTTGGAGAAAATGGTCATTAAAGTGCATAACAGCAAACAAGGACATGTCGTTTTCAACAACATTGTGCTCATGGCAGGATAGAGACAGGACAAGAAGCAGCGGATGGAAACTCATGAGAGGGAGATCCAACCTGGAAATAAGAAGGAATTTTCTGACAGTGAGAACAATTAATTAATGGAACAACTTGCCTCGTGGAGCTGTCAGTGTTCCACAACTGGAGGCCTTCAAGGAAAGATCGGACATTCATTTCTTTGGGATGCAATAAGATCTCCTGCCTTGAGTAGGGGGTTTGACTAGAAGACCTCAAAGGTCCCTGCCAGCCCTTGGATTCTAAGAGAGACTACTATCAATCTGTATACCCAAGTGCAACCACTAGTGTAGGAAATACAACACAACATTTGGCCAACTGTCTCAAGGAAAGATGGTTGCTGAGATTTCAGTGTTAGCCATTTCTTCTTTCTCCTGCAGGTTGACATGTATGCTGGAGCTCTCTTCATCCAACAGGCCTTGCACTGGGACCTCTACATAGCAGTCACTGGTTTGCTGGTCATCACTGCAATTTACACTGTGGCAGGTAGATGTTAACCTACCGTAAGAGTGAGTCTTTGGCAGTTATTTCAGGACCATGAGCTCCGGGGAAGGAGTTTAGGAAAATGGCTAGGATTGTGTGGTGTTCTACCATCCAGCTTCAGGCAGTTGAGGGTTTTGACCCATGGGTGTGGAGAGAAAGCATGTTCCCTTAGAACAGGGATGTCAAACTCAAGGCCTAGGGGCCAGATATGGCCTGCGGGGTACTTAGATCTGGCCCACAGGGCCACCCTGGAAACAGCAAAAGACTGGCCTGAGGTACTTCTACCAGTGAAAATGGGCCTCCAAGCTCCGTTTTTGGCTGCCACAGCCTCCTGCCAGTGAAAACAGAGCTTGGGAGCCCATTTTCGCTGGCAGAGCGCCCGGGCCGCCACTGGCGCCCCCAACATGAGTGACGTCGAGCTGGCTATGCCCACCTGGCCACACACACACACGCAAACCCCCCTCCCTTTGAGATCAAACACAACCCTGATGCGGCCCTCAATGAAATCTAGTTTGACACCTCCGCCTTAGAAGATTTAGCCATCTGTGGAAGTTTACCTGATGAATATGTAGCATATTTAACTTCATTGATTAGCCCTTGGGCTGTATGAAAGTGCAGAGTTCCAGACACAAATTATTATTACTAAAATCTGATTAAAAACCATTTAAATTGGAATAAAATACAATTTAGAATGAAATTGGAATAAAATACAGTTTAAAATAAAATTGGAATAAAATACAATAATTTAAGATATAGATAAAGAAAGTATGATAAAATTATATTTCGGTGTCACCCCTACAATCTACCCCAGGGGTCGGCAACCTTAAACACTCAAAGAGCCACAAAGGCCTTAACTGGAAGCCCCCCGTTCAATTCTAGAGCCAACTGGAAGTCTGGTTTCCCCCATCAAAGTGTCTCCTCCTAGTGCGGCATCCTTTTCTCTTCTACCTATCCTAACTGAAAGCCCTATCAATTGTGGAGCTGACTGGTGACAGGGAGCCGCAGCAGAGGGATGAAAGAGCCACATGTGGTTCCAGAGCCAGAGGGTGCTGATCCCTGGTCTACCACAATCATATGCAGATCGCAACCAAACCATTTTGCTCAAATCCTGTGCTGTGTTAAATGTTATTTTCAGATTCTGGCCACAGATAAGGTAAGTTGTTTTCATTTGGGGATCCCAATGGGCCATTCGTTTAGTATATAGACCAAGGTACCTGACTCTTACCCTCTTATACAGGCAACAATGAAATAGGTTGTAGTATGTGATTAGGTGATGAGACTCTAATATACCTGAAATATTGATTGAATTCTGTTTTATGACCATCAGTTTTTCTTGGGGCTTCAGGTGCTGCTTGACTTTTGTTGCTTTTTCGGAGACCTCGTTTTGCCCCACTGCCAATGATAAAATGTACAGAGGGGGTAACATTTGCAAATAGGTAAACTATTACTCACATTGCACGCTTTGTAAAAAAAATAACTTGGGTACACAGACGTGTTTTGCAAGAAAGCAAATATCAACATCTTAGATATGTTGACCTTCAGAGAAGGAACAGCTTGAAATTCCCGAAGCAAAGACGATCGTGTTCTGGCTTTCTTTAGAAAATATCACCCTTTTTCATCTTCCTTTGCTTTGAACTTCAGTTAAGTGATGTCCTCAAAGTTTCCTTTTATTTAACTACTTGAAAAGACTTTTTTTTTAAAGTTAAAAAGACATGGTATTCAGCTGAGTCCTTTTTTGTACTGCCCAGAGAACTACTTGTTGACAAGGAAGAGAAAAACAGGGGAAATTAAACCACATGGGAGAAGGCAATCAAAGAGCAAGTCATGATCTTAGCTAGATCACCAAATTGCTTGATGGGAAGGGCAGAGGCTCCTTCCTTGCCAGGCTGCCAACTGCGTCTGCTCCCCAAGCCCCCAAAAGTCATTTGAAGAGGACAGTGAGAATTAAATCAGGTCCTCTGAAAGCTGATGTGAGTCCCACAAACACACACACACACACACACACACACACACAAAACCCCTCACACCCTGAACATAAACTATTTCAACTCCTACCCTCAAAACGGCGCTATAGAGCACTGCACACCAGAACAACTAGACACAAGGACATTTTTTTCCCGAACGCCATCACTCTGCTAAATAATAATTCCCTCAACACTGTCAAACTATTCACTAAGTCTGCACTACTATTAATCTTCTCATCATTCCCACCACCCATCTCCTTCCACTTATGACTGTAACTTTGTTGCTTGTATCCTTACGATTTATATTGATATTGTTTCCTGATTGCTTATTTGTACTCTATGACTATCATTCAGTGTTGTACCTTATGATTCTTGATGAATGTATCTTTTGTTTCATGTACACCAAGACAAATTCCTTGTGTGTCCAATCACACTTGGCCAATAAAGAATTCTATTCTATTCTATTCTATTCTATTCTATTCTATTCTATTCTATTCTATTCTATTCTATTCTATTCTAAAACCCCTCCACCCTATGCAAAAGGCAATAAAATTGTTTGATAACTTTACTAGATAGTTTAAACTAGAAATATAAAAAAGAACAAAAAACTAATAATTGAGATAGGACATAGAATAAACAGCAAAGCCAAAAGTGTAGAAATAAGAGACAAAGAAAGGCAGAGAAATGGCTTCTGATTTTCTTTTGTGACAGAAGCATAAATTTAAATTGACTGCTTGCTCTAAAGGGTACAACATCAATTTCATTTTTCCTATAATCTACTGATTTTTCTAATCATCAAACAGACGTGCCACTATTTTTTTTCTTTTCCTGTTTCACAGAGAAGGGTCTTCAAATCAGCATTCCTGTTAATCAGTGTCTTTTCTCTAATCAAAATGTCAATTTTGCCATCCCTGCCAGCGCCATAACATTGTTTCTTCTCTTTCCAAAAGGGCTGCTTTCCAACTGCCACATCTTCCCTGTTGAGAAAGTCTTGTTGCATTAAAAATAGCAAAACCAAATGTAGGCTAGGTACTGGGGATGCAAATAATCAGTTGGATGGTATTTTTGGCTTGGATTTTTAGTTAGAAACGCAAATAGCAAGCCTTCCAAGAAATCTCCCATTATTTAGAATTAGAATAGAATGGGCTGGAAGGGACCTTAGAGGTCTTCTAGTCCAGCCCCCTGCTCAAGCAGGAGAACCTATAATATTTCAGATAAGTGACTGTCTAGACTCTTCTTAAAAATATCCAGTGGTGGAGCACCCACTATTTCTGGAGGCAAGCTGTTCTACTGATTAATTGTCCTCACTGTTAAGTTTCTCCTTAATTCCAGGTTGCTTCTCTCTTTGATTTGATTTCCAACCATTGTTTCTTGTCCTGCCTTGTAATGCTTTGGAGAATAATTTGACCCCCTCTTCTTTGTGGCAGCCCCTCAAATACTGGAAAACTGCTATCATGTTGCCCCTAACTCTTCTTTTCTTTAGAGTAGATAATCCCAAATCCTGCAACTGTTCTTCATATGTTTTAGCCTCCAGGCCTTTGATCATCTTAGTTGCTCTTCTCTGAACCTTTTCCAAAGTTTCAAAATCTTTTTTGTTTGGTGACCAAAATTGGTTGCAGTATTCCAGTATCACATTTAAATCACACCTGAATTAAAACATCAATTTTCTGATAGGTATAAAATTAACTTTAGTTTTCGAGAGTCTCTTGATAGTGAGATGGGTGACATGCAAATTTAACAAATAAAATAATAATAAACCTTTCAAAATCAGGGAAGGGCTTTTTTGAGGCTAGTCCAGACTTTTTGGGCAGAAACTGGGCCCTAATCTGGCTCTTGCCTTCCACAGGTGGCCTGGCAGCAGTGATCTACACGGACACCCTGCAGACGGTTATCATGTTGGCTGGTGCACTCACCCTGATGGGCTTCAGTGAGTACTGTGTATGTGTGTGTGTGTGTGTGTGTTTGTGTGTGTGTTTCAGAATTGCTGTTCCTTAGTTTGCTGTCTGTGGGAAGTAACTGAACTGGTCCGTTTCAACTGCTCTTTGTTGTTGTTGTTAGTTGTGAAGTCGTGTCCGACCCATTGCGACCCCATGGATAACTTTCCTCCATCCCTTCCTGTCCTCTACCATCCCCCGGAGTCCATTTAAACTCATGCCGACTGCTTCAGTGACTCCATCCAGCCACCTCGTTCTCTGCTGTCCCCTTCTTCTTTTGCCCTCAATGGTTCCCAGCATTAGGCTCTTCTCCAGGGAGTCCTTCCTCCTCATTAGTGTTGTGGTCCGCCAGCAGCCTGCGGAGTCGGACAGCGATGAGGCTGAGGAAGAACACGGGCCAGTCCTGGAGGCTGGGGAAGGCCCAGATGAGGGCTCTATGTGGAGGCAGAGATGGGGCCAGGACCATCGGGGAGTGATGGGCGGACTTTGGAGCCTCCAGAGGCTGACAGTAGAGAGGCAGAGGAACAGGAGGAGCCTGATCCTAGTGCATGTATGAGAAGAGCTGCCAGAAGGCAGGAGCAGCTAAAGCAGAGAGGACGACTCGGGAGTAGAGCCAAGAGATGATTGGCCCCTCCCATAAGGCTTAAAAGACCAGCAACGGCTCTTGGCCTCTTTGCCAGAAAACCATTGTTGAGAGAATTGCTTCTTGTTTGGCTGTAGTTATTTCTTCTGTTCCTGAACTGTTGCCAAGAAAAACCTTTGGCAGTTTGCCTAATTATGCCAAGGTCAGAGATAAACTGAAGAATGGTGTTTTGAGGAATTTGCTTTCATTTAATTTGGAATACGCTGAGAATGAGTTAATTCTCAGCTGTTTTAATAAAATCTGTTTGTTTTTTGGAACTGTTTTGCATTTAATATTAAGTAAGTGGGCCTGGGTCACAACAATTAGGTGGCCAAAGTATTTGAGTTTCCCCTTCAGGATCTGGCCTTCTAAAGAGCAGTCAGGGTTGATCTCCTCTAGGACTGACCGGTTTGATCGCCTCTCTAGGCTTTGCCAAAGTCGGAGGCCTTGAGGACCTGAAGAACAGATACTTCAAAGCCATCGCAAGCAACCACTATGGAAACACCAGTTGTGGCTTGCCAAGAGAGGATGCCTTCCACATATTTCGGGACCCTGTCACGTCCGACTTTCCCTGGCCAGGTATCCTAGTGGGAATGACCATCCCATCTCTGTGGTACTGGTGCACCGACCAGGTAAATTCATCTCATCAGCTATGTTTGTCTTTTGGCTGACGAAGAGCTTTAAAAAGTAAAGGTATCCTTTGTTTAGTTGTATCTGACTTTAGGGTCTGGTGCTCATCTCCATATTTTAGCTGAGGGAGCCAGCGCTGTCCAAAGACATTTTCTGTGGTCATATAGCCAGCATGGCTATATGCCAAAGGCACACAAAAACTGGTTACTTTCCCACTGAAGTGCTACCTATTGATCTACTTGCATTTACATCAGTGATGGGTTTCTACCGGTAGCAGCGGTGGGAGGCTCCGCCCACCCACCAGGACGTCATCATGGATGCTCTGCACATGGGCAGAATGTTCTGCGTATGCGCAGAAGCACCACACACAAGCGAAGCGAGTGTGCGTGCATGCATCCTCACAGTTCCGAAACGGTAGCGAAGGTAAGTGAAACCCACTACTGATTTGCATGCTTTTGAAAGTGTTAGGTGGATAGGAGCTGAGGCAAGTAATGGGAGCTCATCCCATTGCATGGCGCTTGGGTCTCGAACCTGGGCCGTCAGCTGACAAGCTCAATGTCTTTAACCAGTGAACCATGGCGCTCCCTAAAGAGGGAGAGTTTTAGAAGAAGAGAAATTGCCACCATGTACCAGAAAGTGGTAGCATTGCTTTAAGGGAGAACTTGCAACATGGCTCACACAGAGGAATGGAAAAAGATGTGGCTGCTTTAATTAGAGTCAGGGCTGCCTGCTTGAGAAAGTTTACACAACTTCCTCTGAATCACTTCTTAAGGGTGGAAGCTGAAATGTCTGACATTATGAGAACAGCACTGCAATCCGCCCACATCATCATGTGCTGTCATGGTAATGCAGTAAGTCCCTGGGTTAAGAATGCCCTGATTTCAAGATGACCCATGGTTAAGAATGGAGTCTATTGTTGCAAAATTTGATTCAAATACACAGTGATTCAAGTTAAATACACAGTGGTTCAAGTTCATTACACAATGCTATTTAGACAGTATTATATAACATTTTTCCGTCTTACATACAAATTTGACTTAAGGACAGACCTTGAAAATAGAACTCAGCCTTAAACAGGGGATTACCTGTACTCGTGACACATATTTGTGAGCCTGCAGTGTCACATTTTGTGAGATGGGTGGCTATATAGAACATAGAATAATAGAGTTGGAAGGGACCTTGGAGGTCTTCTAGTCCAACCCTCTGCTCAAGCAGGACAGGGGTCAGCAACCTGTGGCTCTGGAGCTGCATGCGGCTCTTTGGGCCCTCTGCTGTGGCTCCCTGTCAGGTGATTCCAACACTGGCTGTCCCCGCCCCTCACTTTCCCCTTCCAGTCACTCCTCACCTGGCCTGAGAAAGTAAGAGTGATGGCAGGGGATGGGAGAAGCGGCCAGGGCAGAGATAGAGAGATACAGAGAGAGGGGGGAGAGAGAGAGAGACAGAGAGAGGGGGGAGAGAGAGAGAGACAGAGAGAGATACAGAGAGGGAGGGAGAGGGGGCGGGGAAAGAGGGAGGGAGGGAGGGAGAGAGAAAGAGATGTCAAAAGGATTTTGTGGTTCCTGGTGTTTTTTAACAACTGGTTCTCTGCCCTAATGACCGGCTGGGTAGGCGTGGCTAATGAGTCATGTGACTGGTGGGTGATATTGAGTTGGCCACGCCCACCCAGATTTTGTTGCCCTCCTTCTGAGGTTCATAAAATGAGGACCCAGATTGTTGGGGGCCATAGGCTGACTCTGTAAACCGCTTAGAGAGGGCTGTAAAGCAGTGTGAAGCGGCATATAAGTGCTATTGCTACTTGGCCTTTGTTTGTTTGTTTTTAAGTCAGGTCTACTTTGATGGGGGGACATTTGGGTACATCTTCATTTACCTTCCAGGTTCTGGACTCAGAGGCATCTGCGAGTCCAGAACCAAGGAAGCCAAAACACTTTTAAAAATTGGCTGAAACTATGGGCCGTTGTGTCCGCCATCTTGAATTTTTTGACTATACCTTGCAGACTCCCTTGGTGTGATGTGGGAGGTTGTTCTAAGCGAAGAAGGAAAAACTAACATCTTCTTTTCCTTGAAGGTCATTGTCCAAAGATCCCTGGCAGCGAAATCTCTCTCTCATGCCAAGGGCGGTGCCCTGTTGGCCTCCTACTTGAAGATCCTACCCCTCTTCATGATGGTCTTGCCTGGGATGATCAGCCGCATCCTCTTTCCAGGTCAGAGTGAGCGCGGAGGCCATCAAGGAAGAAAAATCATATGGAAAAGAAGAAGCATTTGATTTTTTATTATTTTTTAGAATTACCCTTCCCTTCATATTCTGATATGGTTTGGTTCTAGCAAATTCTAGAAAGACTTTGGGAATTATTAATATATTATTTATTATTTAATAATAATTATATTATTATTTATTACCTAATAATTATTAATGTATTGTTATTTATTATTTAATTATTAATACCCTGTTTTCCCCAAAATAAGACATCCCCTGATAATAAGCCCAACCGGGCTTTTTGAGTGCATGGCAGTAAGGCCAAGCGCTTCTTTCAGGGTTCAAAAAATATAAGACAGGGTCTTATTTTCGGGGCAACGTAGTATATAGTTATTTAATAATTATTAATATATTATATGCTACTTAATAAATTATTAATATACTATTATTTGTTATTTAATAAATTAATATATATATATTATTCATTATTTAATAAATTATCAATATATTTTATTGTTTAATTATTAATGCACTATTATTTTTATTATTTAATAAATTATTAAAATATTCATTTAAATGTTTAACATTTTATTTAATAATACATAATAACGCTGTCTTCTCAGACTGTTTCTTCCTCAGTTCACTGAAACCGGGCTAAAAGCAAACCAAATCAGGATACAAAGGAAAGTGTAATTCTCAGAAAAATTCAAATGCTTCTTCTTTTGTATATGACTTTTTTTTTTTTTTAATATAGAATTATTTGTTCTGGAAAGTGAACCTCTTTCTATTCCTCTCTGCACAGTTGTGATAGTTATCCTGTTTTGTTTTTTTAATTGGCCCTTTTACATTCTTTGCTTATTTATCTATAATAATAATAATGCTCCCTCTCTGTTCACACAACGTATAAAACTAAGATGTGGATTGCTTTTTTGTGTCTAAGGGACCATGTGAACTCAGCATCAGTTTTTTGTCATGATTATTGTGTTGAATAAATTCAGTTATATTTTTAAAAAATAGACTATGGTTAAACCAATTTGACCAAGCATGATATGTAAACTTAGTTACTTGGTTGGGTTCACACATTCAGCTATACTTTGCTCAATCTTAATTCGCTGGGAAAAAAATATATTTGGCTGGGTTGATAGAAAAATCGACCTCAAAAATAAACAATCCATACTTTTGTGTGTGCCTTTCACATTCTGACATGGTTAACCTGGCCACTGTGGTGAACCAGGTAGGGGTGCTCCTGAGGAGAGCTTGAATGATGGATGAAAGCAACTCGCCTGCCAGGTGCCCAGGTAAACTTTCAATACACCTACAGATGCCCTTGACCATATTGAGTGAAATACTACCGTCCCACCCATGGCTAGTTTCACCCTCGGCTGGGTGATTTAAAACAAAAAGTGGAAGGCAGAAGAAGTCCCTCAGAATCTGTGGAGTGAGACTGGGAAAAGTACAGTTTCTTCTCAGATTCTGATTAAAGTTTAGAATCTCAAGATCAAAGATAAGGCCAGGTAACTGGAGTAGAGGAACTGTTTGATTCAGACAACTGATCTTTCTGTAGAAATAAATAAAGCAAGTAGCCAGGAATTGGTTTAATTTATGGTTTTGGTTTTCCTGTAGTGTTTAAAATCTCATTTATTTCATGCTTTTGATTCTCTGTTTAAATTATATAATGGGTCTTTAAACTTTAGCAGCCATCCTTCAAGCCATGTTCTCTCAGTTGTACCTACTGCATCCTGTGACCTGGGGAAGTTTGGTTGAATGTTTTAATATTTGCAGATTTTTTTTTTACAGTTTTAGAAATAAAGTTTTATTTCCTTTATCTCCTTTGAAATTGCTCTAGCTTGTAGATATCCCAGGTAGCCAGGGATTTAGCTAATTTAGAAATTATTTCAGCATTTGCATTTTGATCTTTTGAGGCATTCAGGATTTTCATTCACACCTGAGGTACGAGATTAGAATTCAGGTGAGATTCTTCTGAGAAGCTAGGTCCAGGAGCTACCAGTCTCTATCACAGGATGAGCTGAGCTAGGAAAACCAAGAGGGCTCGGTGACGCAGTGGGTAGGGTGCAGTACTGCAGGCTACTTCTGCTGTCTGCCGGCTGCCTGCAATTTGGCAGTTCAAGTCCCACCAGGCTCAAGGGTGACTCAGCCTTCCATCCTTGAGGTCAATAAAATGAGGAGCCTGATTGTTGGGGACAAGATGCTGACACTTAGAGAGGGCTGTAAAGCACTATGAAGCTGTATATAACTCTAAGTGCTATTGTTATTGCTAAAAACTGTGGTGGCGCAGTGGTTAGAATGCAGTATTACAGGCTGACTCTGCCCACTGCCAGGAGTTCGATCCTGACTGGCTCACAGTTGACTCAGCCTTCCATCCTTCTGAGATTGGTAAAATGAGGACCCAGATTCTTGGTGGAAGAGTCTGACTCTGTAAACTGCTTAGAGGGGTTGTAAAGCACTGTGAAGCAGTATATAAGTGCTATTACTATTGCTATTGCTTCCAGAAGTAGAAATTGGGAGCCCCAGACTTCCATCCTGCAGGGTCCATTCTGATCACAAAATGGCAGTCCTAAATCTGCTTTCTAATCCTTTTTTAAAAAATTTTTCAAATTGTCCAGTTTTCTCTCACCCTTCATAACTTTGGTTCTATTTTGTTGCAGATCTAGTGGCCTGTGCTGATCCTGACTCCTGTAAAGAGATTTGTGGCAATCCATCTGGATGTTCAGATATTGCGTACCCCAAACTTGTCATTGAGCTTCTGCCACTGGGTAAGGGGGCTTCTCATTACTGCATAGAGGGGCACTGTTAACAGGCAGGCCTACAATGGGACCCTTGGGAGCTCAAGGCATTTCTGTCTTCATGCACAGACTACTAACTTACTCTTCTCACAACTGAATTGCCTTTTGTTGTATTGGGCCCAGGGTTCAAGTCTACCTTCTGGATCTTGAGCCTATCTTCTAAAGTGTTGGCTATTCCCCCAGCTTGGTGCCATCTGCAAATTTGATGAGTTCTCCTTCTATTCCCTTATCTAAATTGTTTAATGAAGACGTTGAAGAGAACTGGGCCTAAGACCGAAACTACTTCCCTCCATGTAGATGTAGCTCCATTGAGGACTACACGTTGAGTGTGGGTTGACAGCCAGAGATCCATCTGGGGTTGATGCTGTCTATCCCACATTTTTCTACTTTATGAAAGGAAATCTTATTTCATTTTTCTGATGTGGAAACCTCTTTAGTAGATTGTGGGAATGCTGTGGTCATAATGTATCTTGATTTTAGCAATGCGTTTAGTAATTCACAATTCGACAATCTAATTCGCAAGGTGAACTGTGGATTGGATTACCTGTCTATTAGATGGATCCATAGCTGGCTTGTAATGGGTACCTAAGACTGCTGTCCAAAGCTTCCTTACTAGAGTGAATGAGCTGCTAAAGGAGGATCTGGTATGCTATTTTTTTCATTAATTACTTAGATTAACAGTGGAGAAAATAATTGCAACATTTGCAGATAACATAAAACTGGATGGAATAGCATCTTCTCCTTTTTCTCATCTTTCTCACCTCTCATCTTTCCCCCTACCTACTCCTACATACATATTATGATTTATCAATTGTTGTTTGTATCATGCTTTATGACCAATGACTTATCACTTTGTTGTTTGTATGTACATTGAGAGCATCTGCACCAGAGACAAATTCCTTGTGTCCAATCACACATAGCCAAGAAAGAATATTCTAATTCTAATTCTTCTATTCTGTGATTCTATAGGTCTGTGAAAAATAAACTAGATTTTTTTTCCTTTGTCAATTGAATCAATTCCTGATTTTATTTTTTTCTCTCCTTTTTTTGGAGTTGGAAGCAAGCTATGACTTAGCAAGAACTTTCTGATGAACTGCAAACTTCCTTTGATGTCCTGAAGAGGACACTGGTAAGGAATATTCTCATCCAGTCTCACCAACAGCCCCTCTTTTTGCTTCTAGGTCTAAGAGGGCTTATGATGTCAGTCATGATCGCAGCACTGATGTCCTCTTTGACTTCCATCTTCAACAGCGCAAGCACCATTTTCACCATGGACCTTTGGCGACATCTTCGACCTCTGTCTTCTGAATGGGAGCTCATGATTGTTGGCAGGTAAGACCTCCCAGCCCATGGGACACATCTAGCAAGAGTCCCAGGCATACTCTACTTTTAGGAGTACCAGAGGGCAGGACAAGAAACAATGGATGGAAAATAATCAAGGAGAGAAGCAACCTGGAATTAAGGAGAAACTTCCTAGCAGTGGGGACAATTCAACCATGGAACAGCTTGCCACCAGAAGTTGTGGGTGCTCCATCACTGGAGGTTTTTAAGAAGAGACTGGACAGTCACTTGTCTGAGATGGTATAGGTTCTCCTGCTTGAGCAGAGGGCTGGACTAGAAGACCTCCAAGGTCCCTTCCAGCTCTATTCTATTCTAATTCTAGGAGGCAAACTGTAGCTAAACAAATGAAGAAAGACCTATATGGCCTGAGCTTATTCTGAAAATCATTTGAAAGAAATGCTTTGGACTTTGTGTGTGTGCGCACAACACTTCTCTGATGGTCATTCAAGGAGCCTGACCTTTTTCATGGATTCAACTTGCATCTCAACGTTCATGAGAAGGTTCTGTAAAGCAACTTGTCAGGACTGTCCTGACTTGGTCCTTAGGAAAAAAAGACCCTCGACTCCATGATTGAAGTGAAAGGTTTACTTCTACTAAGTTCAAGTGGTTACAGCAGGGGTCTGCAACCTTAAACACTCAAAGAGCCATTTGGACCCCTTTCCTACCGAAAAGAAAACACTGGGAGCCACAAAACCCTTCAGGTGCCTATTTCCTGAGCGACCACAAAACTAGCATATGTAGTTGAATTAAACATTCTGTTTTCTTCTGAAAACATCGCTGAATAAATCGCGTGCCGGCAGGTGTCACACATTGGCGGTTGTGACGATATTTTGAATGACAGGAAGCCGCAGCAGAGGGGTAAAAGAGCCATATGCAGCTCCGGAGCTACAGGTTGCTGACCCCTGGTTACAGGATAAGCAAAGCTGGATCTGAATATTTCTGTGCAAAGCCTGCATTTTTTCCCTGTCTCTCATTCCCTCCCCCTCAACCAGTCCATCAATGTCCAGTTGTATTTGTTTTAGGTGTTTGGAGAACGGCATTGAGGTTTGTCACCTTTCCAAAGTACTTTCGCATTTCACTCTCACAGTCCATCCTTGATCGGCTGGCTCCTTCCAGATTGACACTTCTGGTTCCTGTCACCCTATTATCCCCTCTCTTTGCCCATTCCCTATTTCCCCATCCTCCTCTGTGGAGTTGGGATCGTAGAAACACCCAGGAGCATAGAAGAGTTCAGAGGCAGATGCATAAATAAATGTCTTAAATGTATTTATGCATATAATAAATCATATTAACTATGTACAACAGAGATCAAGTCTCATGAGGAACAAACATGAAAAGAGAGAGATGGAGAGAGAGCAAGGTGGAAAAGGTTGGAGGGGGTTTTATACTCAGGGTAAGCCCCTCCTTTCCACATAGGGGTGGAGACACTCTCTGCCTCCACTGGTGTCTATATAGACACATGTGCCAATCGCTTGCAAATACTTGACATCCTCTCCCCTTCCCTTGGCGTTTTATGGCAGGATGCCAGGGAAGCAAGGTATGCTGAAGTTGGCAAGCCTGGCACAACTTTTCCTCACCCAGAAGCCTGAAAAAGCTCAGGATCCTTTAATGAATGGCAGAGAAGGGCTGTGCTCTGGGAAGGCCAGGGCACTTTTCCCAACCGTGCTCCGTCCAAATCCACCGTTCCAAAGCTCCTGAAGGGAAGGCCTTCACTTACTACCATGATCTGGTCCTCCCCAGTTTGAAGAGCATGAAATCCAAATGACCAGGCCTACCTTCTCCACACAGGATGTTTGTTCTGCTCCTTGTCGTCATTTCCATTTTGTGGATCCCGCTGGTGCAGGCCAGCCAAGGTGGACAGCTCTTCATCTACATCCAGACCATCAGCTCTTACCTGCAGCCCCCGGTGGCCATTGTGTTTATTCTCGGATGCTTTTGGAAGCGGACAAACGAGAAGGTAATTCTGAACATTTTTGGGTGGCGTCAGACCTGCCACCACTTAAACCTCTAAATTGAAACGATCCTTGGCTCCATTTGTTGAGAAAGGTATAATTTTATTAGAAGTCAATTGTATTGCAGCAATGCATAGCCAGAACTGAGAATCACGTGCCAAAATCACCAAAGTTCAATTTTTCCTTGCCTTAACTGCCTCCTATCACTGACCCCCTCCCATGACCAATCAGGTTCAAGTACGATGTTTTCGGGAAACGTAATTGGTATGCAGCTGCCTTCTTCTTCCAGATGGATGACCTTGAAGCAGCGTCTCAGGGAGACATAGTAGTTACTTTCGCTTTCCCCCAAAGCATTCGCTCTCCCATCCATCCTCCCCAGAGTTCATGGTAGACCGTCACCGCATGGTAACGAAGCATACAAGCAAGCATAAAGTGGCAATGTAAACTCTTGTGGTTCTAAAAAGAGGAGAGTTGGTTGAGGGTCACGGAACTAACCTGGTTTCTTTTCTTGATTTTCCTTCAGGGGGCATTTAGTGGTCTTTTGGTTGGCATGGTGATAGGCCTGATCCGGATGGTTTTGGATTTCGTCTACCTGCAGCCGGGCTGTGGGGAGTCGGATAACCGGCCAGCTGTGGTGAAATACGTGCATTATCTCTACTTCTCCATGATCCTGGGGGTGATCACGCTCATCGTGGTGGTGGCTGTCAGCCTCTTGACGGAGCCCCCTCCGGAGGAAATGGTATGCGCATTGAGAGGGACGTTGGCTGTTTCACTCTCATAGTTTAGTGCCCTGCTTAGACTGATCTGGCTACCTAGAATACAATCAGTGAGAAGGAATTGACCTAAGAGAAAACCAATCAGCCAGATGGATAGAACAAATGCCTTTCTCAATAGAAATACCATTTTTTTCCTGAATTAAGCTGTGCAGACTCAAGTTTCATTAAATACCGGAAATAGTTTGGTTGGAGTTGCCTGTTTTGCAGTGAGGTTTTGTTCCAAAGACAGTAACAGTTGAAGAGTTGGAAGGAACCTCAGAGGTCTTCTAGTCCAACCTCCTGCTCAAGTAGGAGGCCCTATACCAGGGATGGCTAACCTTTTCCAGACCGAGTGCCCAATGCATGCACGCGAACCCCCAAAATGCAATGCAGGCATGCCACATGTGTATGCCCTCCCCCACACATGCCCCTGCCCCCATGCACGCACACCCCCTGCATGCACCCTGCCCCCGCGCATGTACGTGCAGCCTCTCCGCATGCACCCTGGCCCCCGTGCAGGCACGGCAGACCTGAAGACCAGCTGGGCAGTGGGAGGTGTGCGCACATGCACGGCAGACCTGAGCTGCGACGACAGTTCGCGTGCCCACAGAGAGGGCTCTGCGTGCCACCTCTGCCACTTGTGCCATAGGTTCGCCACCACAGCCCTATACCATTCCAGACAAATGGCTGTCCAGTCTCTTCTTGAAAGCCTCCGGTGATGAAGCACCTACACCTTTTAGAGGCCAGGCGTTCCACTGGTTGATGGCTCTTACCGTCAGGAAATTTTTCTGTAGTTCTAGATTGCTTCTTCCCTTGAATAGTTTCCATCCATTGCTTCTGATCTTGTCCTCAGGTGCTTTGGAAAATAAGGTGCCCCCTCTCTTCCTTCAAGTGTTGGAAGACTGCTATCATGTCCGGGATCAGACACTTCGAGGTTTAGAGATTGGGGTTTCTATAGAGAGGCAGAAACTATCGTGGACCAGTGGTGGGTTCATCCCGGTTCGGCCCGGTTCTCCCGAGCTGGTAGCGGTGACGATATGACGTCACCGAACCGGTTCTGCCCCCTTGGCCCCCCCACCCCCTGCATTATTCTTACCTTTTATTTGGCCCCACCCCCAATCTATTGCTGCCTCCTGAGTCCCAGCTGATGGCTAGAGAGAAAAAAACTGTTTAAACTCTTGCCGCGGGGCTTCAAAGGGCTGCCCTACAGCTGATCAGTGGTAAAAGAAAATAAATGAGTAGATCAGTGCCTGCAAAAAATAAATGGGTAGACCGGTACAGCTCTGCAAGCAGTTAAAAGCCTGGTAGACCAGTACCTCTGCTCAATCCTAAAGAATTGTCACATGACCATCAAGCCATGCCCACAAACTAAGCCACGCCCACAGAACCGGTAGTAAAAAAATTTAGAACCCACCCCTGTGGTGGACCCAGGAGAAATTGGCAAACTTGCTACGGTAGTTCTACCGATACCTATGTTAGCAAGAGGCCAGAAAGCACACAGAACGTTTACATTTTCTCTGCTTTAGCTGTGCTGTAAAGACGCTTGGGACTCTTCTCATCATCCGTCTGCAGGCTTACCTCACCATCCAAGCCACACCAGCCGACTGCACTGCCAGGCGAGGGTCCAGGAAGGCTCTGTGCTTGGAATGGCGATGGTGGAGCACCGGCCCCAGTTGCTGGCAATGGGAAGTCACCTTCCCTGGTTGCTCCTCTAAGCCTCTTGGTGGAGCATGTCTTTTGGATGATGATTTCATTCATCCTGGCTAGTTTCATCCCCTGTGCAGCTGCAAAACAGCAAATCTGCTCTCTATAAGATTTAACAGATGAACAGAGTTGGAAGGCACCTTGTAGGTCAGGGGTGCCAGATGCGGTCCATGGGGTGTTTAGATCTGGCCCGCAGGGCCACCCTGGAAACAGCGAAGGACCAGCCTGCGGTGCCTCTGCCAGTGAAAATGGAGCTCAGAGGGGCTGCACTTTTTGGCTGCAACAGCCTCCTGAAGCCCTCTGCCAGTGAAAACAGAGCTCCAGGGGGTGGGGGGGCACACCAGTTTTCACTGGCAGAGTGCTGCAGGCCATCCCAGCCAAAAACGGAGCCGGGGGGAGGGCTGCCCGGGCAACCACAGTTGTCCCAGACACAAGTGACATTGAGCTGGCCATGCTCACGACGACACACCTCCCCCTCCCGGCTCCCCGAAGTCAAACACAACCCTGATGTGGCTGTCAATGAGATCGAGTTTGACACCCCTGTTGTAGGTCATCTAGTCCAACCCCTCCGCCCAAGCAGGAGACTGTTCTGTCCCCCATCCTCACACGGATAAATGCAGTATCAAATACGCCTGCCAATAATTTATTGTATAAACAGACCAGAATTCCTGGCAGACGAGAGTTCTGGCAGCTAACTGTGAAACGCCTGCCAAGTCCAATTAGTACTCCCAAAAAGCAGGAGAGGCCTTATCTGCAGTCCGTTTCCAGAACGACAAATGATCCACAAGAGTTTAGTCCAAAATATATCTGAGCCGAAGTGCAGGATTCACGATGTGACTCTTTAGAGTTTAAACGTTTGTCCGTCACAAAGCATGCCGAGCAATCACGCCCCCTTTTATCCCTTGTGGGGCATGGCTCAGTGACTCAGCTCAATCCCTGGCCCTCCCACAACTCTTCCTTTGCTGCGCACGCTTCTCCCTCCGACGCTGCCTGGGATCAAGCCAGGATTCATCATTATCACTCTCTATCAATGGGTGCTCCGAAATGCCCTCCTCCTGGCCATCCCAGGCTGTTCCTCCTGGCCTTCGGATGGAACCTGAGGCATTGCCAGAGAGGAGGGTCCTGGAGAGGGAGGCCTTGTCAGTTCCTCCCCCTCACCTTCTGAGTCCTCTTCCTCCATGAGGACAGACTCGGGAGTCAGAGTCACAACAGAGACCCTACCTACACCATTTCTGACAGGTGGCAGCCCAGTCTCTTCTTGATGAACTTGTTGAGTTAACCGGCTTACCTAAGTATGCCACCAAACTCCAATTGTGGTGTCCTTTGCGTGTGGAATGCCTTTGGATCTCTGAAAGAAAGAAAGACATTCTGTTGAACCCTGTTTTTTTGTCCAAACAGATCAGCCGCCTCACCTGGTACACCCGCAAGGATGTTCCAAGAAAAAATGATGTTCCAGTTGCATCGTTATCCATTCCGGTCAAAGGAATCCATGAGGCTGGTGGTCCTTCTCCTGCGGGGCAGCTGGAAATTACGGATGACCCAGAACACACTTGCAAAAACGGTTCAGGTAAGAGGCCCGTCTGGGAGAGGAACAGGATCTGTCATCTGATGAAGGCCACGAGTTGGGTCTGCAGAGGGGTTGCGCCTCCTTGACCCCCTTCTCCAAAGAAGGACAGAGCAGAGGGCAAATTGGCTGGAGTCCCATGCCGGACGTGCCCCCCCCCAGTCTAAAGTAGGTCCCAGTCTTTGAACTGATCAGGTGGAGCCACTGCTTTGATTCAGGGCGGAAGAACTGATTGATTTGAAATATCAATCCCAAGTTACTCTATTATCTCTCTCTCTCTCTCTCTCTCTCCCTTCCCTCTATACCTACCTACATACCTATCTTTATGTCTGTCTGTCTGTCTATCTGTCTGTCTGCCCTGTTTTCCCCAAAATAAGACCCCTGATAATAAGCCCAATTGGTCTTTTGAGTGCATGACAATAAGGCCAAGCACTTATTTCAGGGTTCAAAAAAATATAAGACAGGGTCTTATTTGGGGGGAAATACGGTATATAGTTATCTATATCTATGTCCTCTATCATCTACCTATCTATCATCTATCTATCATCTATCTATCTATATCTATCTATCTATCAACTATCTATCATCTATCTATTTATCATCTATCTATATCAATCAACTATATCATTTCTCTCTCTCTCTCTCTCTATGTATCTATCTATCTACCTGTTATCATCCATCTGTTATAATCTGTCTATCTATCTATCTATCTATCTATCTATCTATCTATCTATCATCTATCTATCTATCTATCTATCTATCTATCTATCTCTATGTCTGTCTGTCTGTCTGTCTCTATTTATCTCTATATCATTATTTCCCTCCCTCTCTTTGTATCTCATTCATTCATTCATTCATTCATTCATTCAATTTCTATAGCTGTTCATCTCAACCAATGACTCTAGGTGGCATATCTAAAACTATAAAAACATTTAAAACACCAAAAATATCCAAAATAAATATATGCAGCAGCTAATTAACTAGTTAAAAGTAAACCCAAGTCTTTAAAGCCTTACAAAAATCATCAGGATTGGGACCATTCTAATCTCCAAGGGGGAGTTTAGCACTGCGCCCACCCCCTTATTCTCCAAAATGAAAGGGAAGCAAAAAAAAACAACCCTTGATCCTGACCTACAGTGAAAAGGGGAGGATTCAATCTTATCTCCTCCTTCCCAACCCCAGGTAGCCTTGATCAGGTGAGTTTCTCCCAAACTCTGACAGGTGGGTTACTAAGTGCCAGGAAGCCAGGAGGACTTGTGAAGGAAGGCTGGGCAGGAGCAGAATCCCTCATAGCATCCAGAGATGGATGGCTCAGTTGTCTGGGCAGATTCATTCAGATGATGGTTGTCCCAAAGCAGGGGTGAAATCCAGCAGGTTCTGACAGGTTCTGGAGAACCGGTAGCAGAAATTTTGAGAAGTTTGGAGAACCAGCAAATACCACCTCTGGCTGGCCCCAGAGTGGGGTGGGAATGGAGATTTTGCAGTATCCTTCCCCCAGGAGCGGGATGGGAATGGAGATTTTGCAGTATCCTTCCCCTGCCACGCCCACCAAGCCACGCCCAAAGAACCGGTAGTAAAAAAATTTGGATTTCACCACTGTCCCAAAGGTGCTTTTTCCAAAAGGCAACTGGACTTTCTTGGATTTTTCCTTGAGAACATTTCGCTTCTCATCCAAGAAGCTTCCTCAGTTTACCCAGTGGTGCAACAGGTTTCCAAACCCTCAGATAGGATGGGGGTAGGGGGACATTTCCATTGTTTTAAGGGAGGCTGAGATGCGTTTTTCTGGGGACGAAGCAGTTTCTTGGCTCTAAAGCAATTCTGGGCATTCCACATCCTGGCTACAAAATCATGGGTGCTCCCCTCGCCCCCTCCCCAAGCAGCAAAGAGGTTGGAAAATTGTACTGATATTAGAAGCCCCAATATCTGGGGATTCCCAGAGGGAGAATCCCAGGGCTGCTTTTCTCTCCAAAGGGGGGAAGGGAATTTCATGGTCTTGCAGGGACCCCTAGAGGCGATCCTTGGCAAAGCCCAGCAGATCCGTTGCAAATGCTGAAGGGCCTTGCAAAAAAAAAAAACCCTTGCAAATTTGTAAAAGTCAAATTAGGACATTAAATCTACTAATCTGAGTTTTAAAATGTATAATGATACATTCTGGGATCAGCAGCTGATCTGCTTTTGTTTTTGGTGTCTTTGAGTCAGCGTTGACTCCTAGCGAACATCTGGATTGGTCCCAAAACTTGCCAGCAAATTCCAAAGGTCCAAATGGGGAGATTTTGAATGAACTGTGGGGTTCTTTTTTCAGATTAACAGAGTTGGAAGGGACCTTGTAGGTCATCTAGTCCAACCCCCCACCCAAGCTGGAGACCCTACACCATTTCTGACAGATGGCAGTCCTGTCTCTTCTAGAAAGCTTCCAGTGATGGAAGCTCCCACAACTTCCGAAGGCAACTTCTGTTCCATGGGTTGATTGTTCTCACTGTCAGGAAATTTCTCTTTATTTCTAGATTGAATCTCTCCTTGATCAGTTTCCATCCATTCTTCCTTGTCTGCCCTTCGAGTCTTTGGAAAATAGCTTGACCCCCCTCCTCTCTATGGCAGCCCCTCAAATATTGGCACACTGCTATCATGTCTCCCCTGGTCCTTCTCTTCAGTAGACTAGCCAGGCCAAGTTCCTGCAACCGTCCACTGTATGTTTTAGCCTCCAGTCCCCTAATCATTTTACTGCTGATTGTCTTGCCTGCAGGTCCTTTGGACACAAAGGAGAAGGAGAAGAAGTCTAAATTCATGAGCCTCTTTTTGTGGGTCTGTGGGATGGAGAGCAGAGATAAGGACTCACCCGGGACGCCTGTTGAATCCAAAGCTGGAGTTGGGTCCAAGGCTTCCCTTGATGAACCACCTCTGGTGAAGCACATCCTCAACATCAACCTGGTCTTGTGCATCAGTGCCGGGGTCTTCCTCTGGGCCTACTTTGCATAGCCTCGGACCCTGCCAGCCATTGCAGAGACGCTCTTAGTGCTTGCACACCTGGAGATACCATCAAGAACGAGGAGCACCAAAGAGAAGACGAAGGGACGATCTTGCACATTATACATCGTTTGTATCCCATAGGAAAAATGGTAGAATGATGTGAAGGATTCTGCTTTGGCTGGGTCAGGGTAGCGAAGGGAAGCCTTTGCTATAAACATTGCACGTTCAGTGCGTGTAAAAAAAAAAAAACCAACCAGAAGGACTTTGCACTTTTGATGTTTTATCCCCTCTGGATGCTCTTGGACCAGAATCATAAACAAGCAGCATTCCCGGGATTCATGGAGCTTAAAAAAAAAAAAAGCCAGTGATGACAACAGTGTATTTTTAGTCAATTCACACGTGTCTACTTGGAATATGGAAAAAATATTTGATAAAATCAGATCTGGATGGAATGGCATGCAACATTCTGCTGCAAGTTGGCTTGATGGCAGAACGTTATTTGAAGAAGGTCTTGTGGCTATGTTTTTCCTTAAAGTCACAGGGGGCCTAATGATGGATTTTGCCCCAATTCTGCTTTTTGAAGCTCTGTGTCTTCTGTTTTGCCACGTTGTGGACTTCTGGGGCTGCCTGTGGTGTAAGGAGCAAGGAAAAGCGTCAAGGCACCCCTCACCAGTGGTGGGCTGCTGTTCCCGGTTCGGACCAGTTTGGGAGAACTGGTAGTTGTGACTTGTGGGTGGGGTGGGGTGAGGTGGGGTGGATCCGCCTCCACCCACCTGCTCTGGCACTGTGCCATCCTATTTAGCCACGTTTTTTAAGCCACGCACATGCATTCAAGCACACGCATGAGCAAAGCACATGTGCAAATGCACACACTCACATTTTTGGTGCTGGGGCGAACCAGTTGTTAATTCATGTGCTACCCACCTCTGCCCCTCACCTAATGTGGGGGATAAAGTTGCTGCATTGTTAGGATGGGATCCATTCCTTAGGCCAGTTCTTTTCATGGACATCTTCTCTGAGGATACTTTGAGGAATCTCAAAACCCTCAAAAGAAAAAGGATTTGTAGGTGCAACTATGTCCCAAGGACACTTTGGTGGGCTGATGCAATTGATACGAAGACCCCTTGCTCTGTTAGGCGGAGTGTCCCCCGGACTCAGCTGCCAGCACGCTGTCTTGCAGGAGCCCCTAAGAGCATCTCCCAGAGCCAGCAATCTGAGGGTCCCATCTGGGCAGGAAGTCCATTCCACCCTTATGGCCCTCGTTCCTTTCAGCTGCTGGACTAGACTGCGGTAGACCCACATGGTAATTGCAGCATGGTTGCAATGACATATGGGGCCAAGCCTAATACCGTGTTTCTCCGAAAATACGACCTACTCAAAAGTAAATTCTACCTTAAGAGCGAAAAAAAGATGTGCGCAAGTGAGGTGAGTCTGTGGATGACATCCCAACCCCTGAAAATAAGACCTGGTGCCTTTTTTTGGTGGCAAATATATATATATATAAGGCAGGGCAGTGGTGAAATGTAAAATTTGTTTTTACCGGTTCTGTGGGCATGGCTTGGTGGGGTGGGGTGGGGGTAATGTGACTGGGTGGGCATGGCCAGCTCTTTTTTAAAAAAAAAACTTTTAAAACCATTTTTTCTATAACCTCTTTGGCCGAAGAAGTTGTTAAAAAATGCTTTTAAAAGGCTCTGACGATCTGAAGCTCAGTTGCCTGATAGTCAGAGGCTTTTTTTTCTTTTAAAAACATTTTTTCTACAACCTCTTCGGCTGAAGAGGTTGTAGAAAAAAATACTTTTAAAAGCCTCTGACGATCCCAGCTGAGCCGCACGATCATCAGAGGCTTTTTTTTTACTTTTAAAAGCATATTTTTGGTGGAAGAGGTTGTAGGAAAAAATGCTTTTAAAAGCCTCTGACGATCCCAGCTGAGCCGCGCAATCATCAGAGGCTTTTTTTTTACTTTTAAAAGCATTTTTTCGGCGGAAGACGTTGTAGAAAAAATACTTTTAAAAATAAAAAAAAAGCCTCTGATCATGGCGTGGCTCAGCCGGGCATGGGAGGGAGGGGCAGGATGTTTGCTACCGGTTATCCAAACCATACGCCGCCATCGCTACCGGATTGGGTGATCCGGTCCAACCTGGGAGCATTTCACTCGAGACAGGGTCTTATTTTCAGGGAAACACGGTAGAGTGTGATTAAGTTGGGCTTTCCAACTCCAGACATGTAAACCATGGTTTGTGGCTAAGTGCAGAATATGGTTGAGAATAGCAGCTTTCCTCAGCAGCGGCCCAGGCCTTGAGGGTCTCGGCTACAAGGAGGGCCAAACGCCACTTCCATTTGCTTACAGTTCAGGTGTGTTTGGCGCACAGACATTTTTTTTCCAGGGGAAGGAAGTAATGCCGATGACAAACAGTATCAGGCTCCGATAAAAATGTTCCATAGGAAAGTGCGGGAGAAGCTGGATCTTTAACCGGAAAGGAAGCTATGGAGGCAGGATGAGAAATCCAAAGGGCTTCCCCATCACATTTCTGTGGGCAGCACCAGAAAGGACTGTGGTTCCCTCATGTTCAGCAGAGGATCTGTGGGCAGCGCCCTCTTCCTGGGTGCAAAAATGCAGACTGTATTGTTTACAGAATACTTTGGGTGTAACGACATGTTTTTCATGGTGTTTTAAAAGAAGATCAACGTATGTGTTGCTATTTATTATTCTGAAGAGAGTGAGGGGCCTCTGCAGACAGGCAGCTCTATCCCTGGGCTCTGCTGGATCTCCTTGGACCAGTTTTCTTCTCGAGGCACCCATAAGCCGACTTCAAGTCTATGTTTACCAGACGGGATGTCCTGCACACAGAGACTACATCATGCCATTCTTTTTTTCTTTTGGAGGAGCTCTATAACAATAAATACATACAGCTCAATGGTGCGATTATTATTTTTTTTAAAAAATGAATCTTCTGACGAAAACAAAATGGTTGGAAGAAAAGCTGCAGAAAAGCATGGACCAGAAATTTATGTAAATCTTACATACTTGAAAATGCCTTTATGAGGTACACTTTCTTACTGGAAAAGATTCCAGGTGTCAAGTCATTATAGCCTGATAACTAGGTTATATGCAAGCCAAACTGAATTTTTTAATATCCCAGGAGTTTTAAGGGAAATCTTCTAACTTCTCAAATTTAATTCATACTGAAATCAGTCACCGTATTTTTCGGAGTATAAGATGCACCTTTTTCCCCCTAAAAGGGGGTGAAAATTTAGGGGTGTCTTATACACCTAATGTAGCCCCGCCCACCCACTGGCCCCCACCCTTTGGCCTCTGCCTCGCAGCAGTTACCTCCATGCAAGCAAACAGCAAGAAAAAACAGCTCCTTTCAGCCTAATTAGCACAAGTTGATTGGATCCGCCTCCTGATTCTCAGCTGACTTGCTCTCAGCTATTTTGTGCAGGGCTCTGCTGCTTGCTGCAAGGAAGTAAATTGCCGAGCAGATTTTTTTTCCTTGTGCTAATCAAGCTATGCTGAAAACGAAAATGAAAGTAAAGCAGGCTATTTGCTGCAATGAGGCAAAATTGCTGGGGCAGAGGGAGATTTCTTTTTCTTCTTAGCCTCACCAAAAAAGGTAGGTGCGTCTTATACTCCGGTGCATCTTATGCTCTGAAAAATACGATAGATTGAAAAGAAAAACTCTTCATGTTAATACTGTGTGTGCGCACTGTTATTTGTATACCTGAATAGAGGATACTCCATATCATCAATTATAATATTACATTAAATAGTTGTATATTGAAATATAGGACACAAATATCCTCAATGTACTCATATTATACACACCCCACAAACATTTTAGATACCGTCTCCGGAATGACTTCTGAAAAGTATTTTGTAATAATTTTGCTGTTTATTATCTGGAGCCATCAAGCTACTTTTGGTTCTTAATGTTCAACAGAGTTTAATTCATGACTATTTATCATGAGATCATCAAAGCTTCATCAAACGGAAGCACTCTTTCAAATCTTCGTCTAATCCTAATAAGTTTACACTTTAAACACGACACCACTGATCGTAGCAGTAGAGAACTTATTCCAGCGCAGAAGCGCTATGAAATTCTCCAGCAGAAATAAGGAACAAAACAATAGAAGGCAGAACATGGTGGCAATTGTTTATTTCTCACAACTGAAAACAATTGGAGGGGCATTAATACTAGTTGCAGGCCTAGCAACTGTGGTAAGAGAGGTCATAAAACGAGGCAAAACTCACTTAACAAATGTGTCTCTTAGCAACATAAATTTGGGGCTCCATTGCAGTGGGGAAATCCATTTTTTTTTTACTACCGGTTGCATGGGCATGGCTTGGTGGGCATGGTGTGTGTGGCAGGGGAAGGATACTGCAAAATCTCCATTCCCACCCCACTCCAGGGGAAGGATACTGCAAAACCCCCATTCCCACCCCACTCTGGGGCCAGCCAGAGGTGGTATTTGCCGGTTCTCTGAACTGCTCAAAATTTCCGCTACTGGTTCTCCAGAACCTGTCAGAACCTGCTGGATTTCACCCCTGATCCATTGTGATCGTAAGTTCAGCACTACCTACAGTATATTTTCGCTAACAAGGTTATGAATCCTCAGTGCAAAACATTCTGGGTAGGTGTTAAAATTTCTCTCCCCCCACTCACGCACACTTAGGTATAACACCCAAACACTTTGCCAAAGGCTTCGTGGTCTATAACTTGACCCAAGACAAGTGAAAAATACAGCACTTTTTTCTGGTCACACTGTCTGAACTTCAGGAGGAACCTGCTGCTGTCTTTGCCCTCGTCTCCTAAGGTCACGACAGACTCAACCGGACAGCAGAAATTCATCCTCTTCCCCCAAAATGTCAAGTGTGAGATTTTCAAGAGGGTCCCGCTTTCGTTCACATACATGAAGCCGATGACTCGTTGCAGGAAGAAGCTGATGGCGTACAGAAAGACGAGGGTGAAGGAGAAGATGCCGGTGACCAAAGGAAACTGGCTTAGCCCATGGAAATACCAGAGCGGAGGGAGGATCAGCAGACCGAAGCCCGTCTGCACTATCTTCAGCCTCGAGAAGAGTTTCAACAACCTGATGGCTGGGAATCGGTAAATCACGGCAAATTTCTCTGAATTTTCAGAGCTAGATGGTGGCTTTGGATCGCATTGAGACAAGTCGATGTTACTCAGCCATCGGGGCTGCACCCCGTGAAGGCTGGGCGTCCATGGGCTACCTCCCTGTTGCAGAATGATAGGACTTTGAAAAGAACGGAGCACCTGGTGGCCTCTTTTCCATAACTGTGGAGCAAGGCTGTTCTGAAGACAACGGGGCCTGAGGAGGGCCAAATGCTGACGGGCACAGCCGACGAAGATCTTCATCTGCAACAAAATAGAAAAGGTTTTCATCAGGTTGCAAAGTGGGGATAAAACTTTCACAGCAATTGTGTGTCTTTTCAGAAAGCAGTACATTTGTGAGGAGACTCGTATATTCTTTTTAAAAAAAGATGCTTTCACTTAATTAAAAGGCAGGATATCATGTTTGAGATTATACTTTATTCTGCTTTACCTCCACGTAGCTACAAGGATTCTTTATATTCCACATTCTTAGCTTTTGCCTTTCCTGTTTTAACATTTTATTGAGTTATAAGATGATACAAAATACAAAAGTAAATAGGGAAGCAGTGGGGGGGAGGGGGGGAAGGAAAGTGAGGGAAAGTTGGGAAAAAGAAAATGAAATGTTGAAGAACTAATAGATAAGATCTTAGAATGCGCTGAGATGGACAGATTAACAAAAGAAATTAAGGAAAAAGAAGAGACAGAATATTATAGAGTATGGAATAAATGGTATAATTGGCTTAAGACTAACAATAAAGAACAATAACTATCAGAAGAGAAAAATAGAAGTACAAAATAGAGATGTATCAAATGTGCCGAGTGGAATAAAAATGTATATAATATGAAGGTAGAAATGTATAATAATAAAGAGATAGATAAAATGTATAGTTCTCTAAAGGGAGTAAAAGATTAAGATAAAGGGGAAGAAAAATAAAGTAATAACTGGAAGACCAGTATGAAACAATGCATAAATATGATGTTATTTTTTTAAGTAAACATTTTTTAATATAAACAAGCAAACAAACAACAATGAAACATACAAACACATAAACAAAGATCCATCTTTACATCTTCTTTTCAACATGTCGCATCGGTAGTCTATATTCACATTTATACATTTTCTCTTTCTTATTTTAACATATCCCTTATACATATATTCCTAATATATCATCTATATGTGTTCTCCTAATCTACATATTTAATTTACTATTTACCTAAATTGGTACTTAATTTCCTATCCACAATTTATATCTTCTCATTTATTTCCATATCTTTTTTCCTTTTTCTCCTCCAACCAGTTATACCATTTCTCCCATACTAAGTAGTAATCCGTTTCCTCTTTTTCTTGTATCTCTTTGCATTACTTATTTATTTATTGGTTCGATTTATATGCCGCCCTTTCTCCGGAGACTTAGGGCAGTTTACAATGCGTTAAGCAATAGCCTTCATACTTTTGTATATACCTGCTTAGTAGGGCTTTCGGCCCCCCTAAGCGGTGTTCTATTTTATACAAAGTCAATTTATTGCCCCCACAATCCGGGTCCTTATTTTACCTACCTCGAAAGGATGGAAGGCTGAAGGTCAACCTTGAGCCTGGTGAGATTTGAATTTTGCAGTAATTGCAGGCAGCTGGTGCTACTTAACAGCACTTTAGTCCGCTGCGCAACCAAGGCTCTTTCATTATTATTATTAAATTAAATTATATTATATTATTAAATTATTATTTATTTATATGTTGTGTAAATGTCTAACAGGTGTTCTAATAAAATTACACATTTTAATTAAAAAAATAAAGAAAAAAGAAATGTTGACTTCCGACTCCCTCTGTTGCAGTGAAATAAAGCATTAACATCAATTAACACAATTTTTTGTTTTTTTTTTCATAGTCAAAAGCCATGCCAGAGGTCTATTCTTGGTGGTCTCCTTTCCATACCGGCCTCCAGACCCAACCTCGGCTCAGCCTGTTTGGAGATCAGATGGCATCGCTGGGTGGTCTCCACTCCGCAAGGAGTCCACACCCCCCCCCCACGCCCGATTGCAGGCGTTCCAATGCACCGTGCAAGAAGCAGCCTCGCTTTGCATGCGCGACCCTTCCCCGACCCTCCCGTGGAATGCAAGCAGCCCGACCCCCCCCGCTGGGGATGATGGGCCCTGCAGTCCAAGGCGCCGAGAAGGAAGCGATGGGATTTACCGCGGGGGGGGGGCTCCAAAGGCGCCGGGAGCTCGTGCAGACACCCTGGGAGGCGAGGTGGCGCGGTGGCTGCTGGGAGTTGTGGTGCACCGCGGCGTGGAAAGGGGCTGACGTCACCTGCGGGAGGCGGGCTGGGATCCCCGGGGCTGCCAGTCCTCGCGCGGCCACCAGATGGCAGCAAAGATACGCCAGGGGAAAAAAACTCCTTTGGGTGGTCGGGAGTTTTTGGTTTTTTTAAAGTTTCTTTTATTTTGAGTACATTAAAACAAGACCCAGACACACAACATTTATATACCTATCACTTTTTCCTACAGCTACTTCGAAGTGATCCTTTCTTGCTATGTACATCTATTTACATATACACTGCTCAAAAAAATAAAGGGAACACAAGCAGAAGACATCCGAGATCTGAACGAATGAAATAGCCTTATTAAATCCTTTGTTCGTTACATACAGTAGTTTTGTGTTCCCTTTAGGTGTCTGAGCAGTGTATAAACTACTGTATGTAAAGAACAAAGTATTTAATAAGGCTATTTCATTCATTCAGATCTCGGATGTCTTCTGCTTGTGTTCCCTTTATTTTTTTGAGCAGTGTATTTTAACTTTATCTTATTCAACAATTATTTTCCATCTTTCTTTATTTCGTCTACCCTTTCCCTTCTCTCCTTTCGTCTCTAAAGGAGAGAAGGGAAAGGGGGAAAAAGAGTGCCGAAGATCAAGGTACAGGGTAGACGGGAGTTTTTTTGTTTTTTTTTTACAGATTAACAGAGTTGGAAGGGACCTTGTAGGTCATCTAGTCCAACCCCTCCCCCGCCCAAGCAGGTTGTGCAGAGTCTGGTCCAAGAGGGGGAAAAGGCCAGGTGGGAGCAAAACTCCAAAGGTTCAGGCTTGTGGCTGGGTAGCACAAGGTTTTTCCTCTTTTTTTTTTTTGATAATGGGGAAAATATAAGAGCCTGGTGGCGCGGCAGACTAAAGCACTGTTATTATCAGTTATTAACATCAGCTGCCTGCAATTATTGCAAGTTCAAATCTCACCAGGCTCAAGGTTGACTCAGCCTTCCATCCTTTCAAAGGTAGGTGAAATGAGGACCCAGTTTGTGGGGGCACAAAGGCAATAAGCTGACTTTGTATAAATATACAAAAGGATGAAGGCTATTGCTTAACGCATTGTAAGCCGCCCTGAGTCTCCGGAGAAGGGCGGCATACAAATCAAATTTTTTTAAAAAATGCAAAAGTGGGAGCTCTTCCATTTTTAATGCACGGGAGAATATCTGGAGGAAGAATTCAGGGTCTTTCTGGGCTTTTGCCCTTTCGACTCCAAGGAGCTGAATTTGCAGCCGCTATTATTATTATTATTTTTTTGAATGAAATCCGTGGTAAACCATGGGGGTTGGTGAATTCTAGCGGCTGAAGTCCACCCATCCTGAAGCTGCAAACAAATCCCCGCGGGCCACGTATCTTTCCCCCGCGACTCTTCCGCCCCGCATTGGGGCGGCAAGCCGAATGAAAACCGGAAGCGACGAACGCCGCCCGCTCCTCCCACCTCTACGTGCTTTCCGTAAGCCTCCGATAGGCTGCAGGAGAGAGGTGCGCATGCGTAGACGTCGCCTCGGCCTGGAGGCATGCTGGGGCCTGTAGTTTTTAGTCCGCTCCATCCAGTCCGAAGGAGCCGGCGAGCAGAGCCATGGAGGGCGAGGGCGGCTCGGTTCTCTGCCTCTTCGACGTGGACGGCACCCTGACCGCCCCTCGGCAGGTGGGACTAGGGGGAGGTCGAGCAGGAGGGTGCCTCTGAGCATGGGCAGAGTGCTTTGAGCCCGGGAGCAGCCTCTTAGGGAAGAGGGCGGTGCAGGCAGTTCCTTGCAAGCCAGCAACGCAACTGACTTTGCCCTTTGCACAACCGCCTGGTAATTAGGTGGTGGCAGTTGCAGTAGTGGTCCTCGACCTATGACCACAATTGAGCCCAAAATTTATGTTGCTAAGCGAGACGGTTGTTAAGTGAGTTTTGCCCCAATTTTTTCTTCCCACTGTTGTTAAGTGAATCACTGCCGTGGTTAACACGGTTGTTAAGCGAGTCTGGTTTTATCCATGGACTTTGCTTGTCAGAAGGTGGCAAAAGGGGAATCGCGTGAGCCCAGGGACACTGCAACCGTCGTAAGTGTGAGTCAGTGTGCCAATGGTCTGAATTTTGATCACCTGGCCATGGGGAGGCTGCAACGGTCGTAAGTGTGAAAAAATGATCAAAGGTCACTTTTTTTCCAGTGATGTTGTAACTTTGAATGGTCACTAAACAAACTGTTGTAAATTGAGGACTGCCAGTATTATTATTAATTATTATTCTCTGATTAATCGCTGAAAGCTCTCCGCTGGCCAGGCTTTTAATGCATCACACAGTATTTTGTCATCTCTTGGGTTGCTCTTCTTTCAGGTTTTAATCTTTAATACAGTTTTAATACATTTTTGCAATTAATTTGATACTCTCATAATGAGAAGTATGGGATGGGAATAAATAAACAGCATCATCAGTCGTGGCAGCATTAGAAGGAGCAGCCTCGTTTCTTGTTTAACTCTTGATGGTTTCTTGCTTGGAAGAACTTAAGTGTGAGTTTGTTGAACTTCATAGTTTGGGGCCATTTGATCACTAGCACCTTGGTTTTTGTGGGCAGTTCTAATTTCTTACTTCTTATCTTACTTTCATCACAGATCAAGTTGGTTTTCAAAAGAAATTAACAATAAAGACCATAATTGGAGCGTAATAAAAATGCAGTAGTGATAACAAAACTGTCCCTAATGCAAGACCACTTCCTGATTTGATGAACTAGACATTTTATTTCCTTGTAGCAATGATAGAAAAGGACATTTTTCCATTTTATTTCTTCACCTGCAGTTATGCTGCTATATAGTCTGTAAAGAGAATAGAATAGAATAGAATAGAATAGAATAGAATAGAATAGAATAGAATAGAATAGAATTTTATTGGCCAAGTGTGATTGGACACATAAGGAATTTGTCTTGGTGCATACGCTCTCGGTGTACATAAAAGAAAAGATACATTTGTCAAGAATCATAATCATAAAATTTGATTAATTGATTCACTTTATACACCACCCTACCTTGCAAAGAGTTGCAAAGATTAGTGAAACAAGGTGTGTGAAATAAATTTCTTTGGATTAAGCACTGTTTTTACTGTACTTGGTAAAATGCTTTGCACAGTGAGGGCTTTATAATAATAATGCCTTGCACACTGTCTTCTATTAATAATAATAATTTGACATTCACTGAATAAAAAGAACACAACTTCAAAAATTGTAATTTTTACTACAAAGGGGGGAAAGAATAAGAAATGTATTATTATGCTACTATTTGTATTGAAGCAGTTAACGTTTCATTCATTTCTAAAGTCAATCATTGTTTTACTCTGGCATCCTAACATGCCTCACTAAGATCTATTTAATGTTTCAAAGAAACATTTCTTTCAACCCAGTTAAGCTATGCTGGCTGGAGAATTCTGGGAGTTGAAGTCCACAAATCTTAAAGCTGCCAAGTTTGAAGACCTCTGGTTTAGGGTCTCCTGCTTGAGCATGAGGTTGGACTAGAAGACCTCCAAGGTCTCTTCCAACTCTATTATTCTGTTAAGAGTTTCAACATTGGGCTTAAGGCGCTCATTCAACCCCATTGAATCACTTCATGGCCTCCCCTCCTAACTCACAGGACCATTTTCAGAACAAAGACAGAAAGAAACCAACATTATGAATGAGTAATGTGGAAATAATAACGGGGATCATTGATGTGTTGCTGGAATCCCTGTTTGATCTGATTGACACACCAATTTCTCTTTTCTCATCCGATCCAGAAAATCACTCCCGAGATGGCAGATTTCCTACAGGCTTTGCGGCAGAAGGTAAAAGTCGGCGTGGTGGGAGGCTCAGACTTCGAAAAGATCCAAGAACAACTGGGGGAAGACGGTAAGAAGAAGGTGAAGGCATGGGAAGCTGAGCCAGGAGTGGCAAAGTTGACTGTATCGCCGTTATGGGTTGGGCAGCTGTCCCACCCTCTTTATTGCATTCACCTCCAAGGTTGGCTTGCTCAAATATCATTTATGCCTGTCAGCTGAGCAGACAAGAGAAGGTGCCATGTGGCCATGGGCATGACGGAGCTGCCGTAAATTGAATTAAAAGTCCATTCCTGTTTTCAGGTTGGAAATAATCATGTGACTTGAAATCCAGGAAGGAAACCTCACCACAACTCTTCAATTCTGTGACTAACTGGCGCCTGTGAATTTAGAGAGAATATCTGTTTGAGAAATAAACCTTGGACAAAAACAGGAGAGCTGCTGATTAGATAAACAGCTTTTGTGTTTCACCCAAAATCACAGTTTGGGGGTCATTATTATTTAATGGTAACTTTATTGTAATGGTTTTCAAGCAGCCAGGAGAAGAAACTGGCACTATCAGCACAATACGGAGTCTTAAAACTGGTATTGGAAGAATAAGGAGCGGTTTGAATGTTTCATGCCAAAAATTGTTTTTCAAAAGTGGTTTTCAGCTTTACAAAAAGAAGAGTTAAAAATAACATGCAATTAATAAATATCTTCCAAAGGGTGGGTGGCACCCGCCCTGCCAGCTTCGTTTTCAAAGATGCTGTTTGGTTTTTCGAGGCCCAGAGGCATTTTTGTACAGTAAATAAACACCATGTTAGAAACTGCCACTTCGCTTTGTAACACACCAGCTCTCTATGTAATTTTTTGGCATCTAGAGACACAGAGATTGTCAGTTATTCTTGGGCATATTTACCGCACAACATCATATGCAATTGAATGTCATCAATTTACCCAAAAACAGACTTTTTTCTTTCTTTTTTTAAATCGGGTGCTTTATGAATTCAGAGGAGGGAATAGGAAAGAAGATTTTTTTTCCTGTTAATTTCATGGAAATGTTCTCTGATCTAAATAATACAAATTAAAGCTCCATTTGCTTTTTCTTCCTTTTTTGGAGGGTAGTGATTGGAAAATACGACTATGTTTTCCCAGAAAATGGTCTGGTGTCATACAAAGATGGAAAATTTCTTGAGAAACAGGTAAGCTTGTAAGTTAGGATCAACTGATGTATCTTGTAACGTCTGATATATTGATATTAATGCAGGATTAGATCTTAAGCAGGGCTTCCCAAGCTGTTCTGTCCCCGTCCCACACACGCACCCCCACAGACGGCCCGGAGTTAATAAGCCACACAACAAAATCTTTGAAGATAAAGCTGGCAGCAACCCAGTGGCTAGCTGCCAATTCAGACTTTACTCACACAAAACAAAGATTAGACTGCAAGCATTCCGATAAAGCAGGCAAAGTTTCCGCAATACAAGGATTAATCCAAATGCAGTCCAACAAGGTCGGCAGAAGTCCAGTAACGCAGAGATCATGGATTATTTCTAGTTTTTGCTCGTCACAAACTGAACCGGCCACCACACCCACATTTATACCCTGTGGGGTGTGATCCAGTGACTCAGCTAATCTCTGGCATGCCTTCCCCTCTGCTACGCACGCTTCTCCCTGCCATTCTGCCAAGGGTCCAGCCAGCACTTATCTCCTTCATCGCTGTCCACCTGTGGCTGCGGGGACGTGCTTGGCTCTGGGCCTATCTTTTGGCCTTCGGTGTCCTCCGGAGGCATTGCCAGAGAGGAGGGTCCTGGAGAGGGGGGCCTTGCCAACTCCTCTCCCTCACTCTCAGAGTCTGCATCTGTCGATAGCCCAGGCTCAGGCAACGGAGCCACAACCCAAACTTTTTTCTTCCTTACCCAAAACCACTTATAGGAACTCTTGTAGAACTTTGAAGACTAGTCGTAAAACCCTTCCTTAGCTTCAGTGGCTGAATGAATGGCCGTAACTCGAGGATTATCTGCATTATAAGAACTGTGATGTGGGGTGCAGTTAAAAAGAAAAAAAAGCTCAAATGTACATTTTATTTGTTCCTCCCTCAGTTCTTCCTCTCCAGAAGGCCCACCTTTGGTCTTTTCTGGGCTTGACAGGGGTTCTTCAGGTTGCCCCTTAGGTTGATTTTAACATAATCTAATTTATGATAATTAGGTCAAGGCTTTTTGCCTTTATTTTACACTCTGGGTTCCTGTTTTGGTGTATTGGACACCCCGATTTGTCACTTAATTTGGCAACAATGGTGAATGGTAAAGATATACTATTCTTTAGCAATAGCCCTTAGACTTCTATACCGCTTCACAGTGCTTTACAGCCCTCTCTAAGCGGTTGACAGAGTCAGCCTCTTGCCCACAACAATCTGGGTCCTCATTTTACCAAACCCGGAAGGATGGAAGGCTGAGTCAACCTTGAGCCTGGTGAGATTCAAACTGCCAAATTGCAGGCAGCTGGCAGACAGCAGAAGTAGCCTGCAGTACTGCACTCTAACCACTGAGCCACCGTGGCTCTTGTTGAGAGAACCTTTGGACCTTTGGCCAAATCATGGCTGCTGAACCCTGTGGGGAACCTGTCCAGCTGATCCCAACCTGGTCAGTAAGAATCCCCCAGATTCAGGAAGGATCCATCCTCCAAGCTTTGAGAAGTAGAACCCAGAAAGTATTTTGCTGTGGTCTGATTTCTTGAGAGTTGCTTCTGGAGGTTCTGTTACGATTCTTCTTTGTGTCTCCTGGGCAGAGCATCCAAGACTATATGGGGGAAGACCTGCTTCAGGATTTGATCAACTACTGCCTGAGCTACATTGCAAAAATTAAGCTCCCCAGGAAAAGGTAAGTGTATAAGTGCTTTCCAGGTAGTCCTCAGCTTATGACTGGTCACTTAGTGACAGTTCAGAGTTGCGACTGACCTCCTCAGGGGTACTTACAGACCAATTCCAAAGTTACAACAGCCACATCCTCCCTCCCTCCCCTGGTCATATGACCGCATTTTGAGCACTCGGCAAGCAGCCTGCATTTTAAAAATTAAAATGACTGAGGCAGGTCTTGAGACTGTTATCTGGGGGGAGTTCAATCCTGTGGCTCCCGAGGACATGGACAGGGTCCTGGGACGGCTGAACGCGACCACATGTTTATTGGACCCGTGTCCCTCCTGATTGGTACTGGCTTCCCGGGAGGTGACACGAGGCTGGCTCCAGAAGATTGTTACCGCTTCTTTGAGTGAGGGGGTCCTGCCGGCCGCTTTGAAAGAAGCGGTTGTGAGGCCCCTCCTCAAGAAGCCTTCTCTGGATCCGGCTGTTTTGGCTAACTATCGTCCAGTCTCCAACCTTCGCTTCGTTGTGAAGGTTGTTGAGAGTGTGGTAGCGCAACAGCTTCCCCGGTACCTGGATGAAGCTGTCTATCTAGACCCGCTCCAGTCCAGCTTCTGGCCTGGGCACAGCACGGAAATGGCATTGGTCGCGTTGGTGGATGATCTCTGGAGGGCTCGGGATAGGGGTTGCTCCTCTATCCTGGTCCTCTCAGCGGCTTTTGATACCATCGACCATGGTATCATGTTGCACCGGCTGGCGGGGTTGGGAGTGGGGGGCACCGTTCTGCGGTGGTTCTCCTCCTACCTCTCTGACCGGTCACAATCTGTGTTGACAGGGGGGCAGCGGTCGACCCCGAGGCACCTTGCTTGTGGGGTGCCACAAGGGTCGGTCCTCTGGCCCCTTCTGTTCAACATTTATGTAAAGCCGCTGGGTGAGATCATCTGTGGCTTCGGGGTGGAGTTCCATCAGTACGCTGATGACACCCAGCTGTACATCTCCACCCCAGGCCACCCCAACGATGCCCTTGATGTGATGTCCCAGTGCCTGGAGGCCGTGCGGGCCTGGATGGGGAGAAACAGGCTCCGACTCAACCCCTCCAAGACCGAGTGGCTGTGGCTTCCGGCATCCCGATATAGCCAGCTGATGCCATTGCTGGCTATTGGGGGTGAATCACTCGCCCCCACGGAGAGGGCTCATAACTTGGGCGTCCTCCTGGACGCACGGCTGTCTTTAGAAGATCATTTGACGGCCGTGGCCAGGGGGGCTTTTTATCAGGTTCGCCTGATACGCCAGTTGCGCCCCTTTCTAGATCGGGACTCCCTACGCACAGTCACTCAGGCACTCGTCACTTCCCGCCTGGACTACTGCAACGCTCTCTACATGGGGCTCCCCCTGGGGTGCACCCAGAGGCTCCAGCTGGTCCAGAACGCAGCCGCGCGGGGGATTATGGGGGCGACGAGGTGCTCCCATGTGACACCTCTCCTGCGCGAGCTGCACTGGCTCCCGGTGGTCTTCCGGGTGCGCTTCAAGGTGTTGGTGACCACCTTTAAAGCGCTCCATGGCTTAGGGCCGGGATATTTACGAGACCGCCTTCTGCCACCAATAGCCTCTCTCCGGCCAGTACGCTCGCACAGAGTGGGCCTCCTCAGGGTGCCGTCCGCCAGACAATGTCGGCTGGCGACCCCCAGGGGGAGAGCCTTCTCTGGCGGCGCCCACCCTCTGGAACAACCTCCCCCCAGAGATACGTACAATAACAGACCTCCGGATTTTTCGTCGGGCCCTGAAGACCTATTTATTTCAACTAGCTGGGCTGGCTTGAGTTAAATTTTTAAACTGATTTTAAATTGGATTGTTTTAATTTTTGGCCAAAATATTTAATTATTTTAAACTGTTTTTAAATTTTGTATGTCCTGTTTTTTATTCTGGCTGTTCACCGCCCTGAGTCCTATTTGGAGAAGGGCGGTATAGAAATTGAAACAAATAAATAAATAAATAAAATCTAAATTTAAAATTTTAATTCGTCAAATGAAAATTACAAATTCGAACGAGCAAAATGGAAAAACATTAAAAATGTGACAGGACGATAGGCATTTCACTCTACTTCTTTATGGGTGCCCCTTTAGGTAAGGTCCACTGAAGTTAAGTAGAATTAAAACGGTGAAGGTTAGTAGCTGAAACCACTACGTTGGGTGAGATATTCCAGATTTTGACAACTGTCACAAAACTCTTAATTTTTTGCAGTCAGGTTTAAAGCGGTTTTCATTAAGTTTAAAGCGGTTATTTGCACGCGTTGCATTACGATTAAATGCAGGTAAAATGTTACTATTTACAGCCATTTGCAGCATCCCATGGCCATGTTACAGCATCTTACAATGTTTAATGCTGAAAATCGACAATTAGTTCCGGTTTTCAGCAAAACCGGCCCATAATAAACAATGGATTTGCTTAACAACCACAGCACTTGCTTTACAAGTGTGGTGGTCGCTTAACGACCAGCGCAGAAAAGATGATTAAACAGGGTCTCTGCTTTATCCCAATCACGACTTAGGAATGTACTGGGCAGGCTCCATTACAATCGTTTGTTGACTGCCTGTATGCAACCCATCCTGGGAGAAGGAGCCTGGTTGCCATTTTGTTTAGCATTCCCTGAGAACAGGAACCCCTGCTGGGGGTTCACAGGGGTTCGGAGAACCCCCAAATCCCACTCCTGGCTGGCCCCACCCACCCCTCCCCTCCCAGGAGTCCCCACAAGGCCTGTTTTGGATGCAGGTAAGTGCAGGGCATGCGCAGAGGCTCGGGAAGGGCAAAAAATGGGCCTACCAGAAGTTCGGAAAGTCCTTTTCGGCCTCCAGAGGGCCTTCGGAGCCTGAGGAGGCCATTTTTGCCCTCCCGGAGGCTCGGAAAAAACCTCTGGAGCCCGGGGAGGGCAAACATGCCCCCACCCCCGCCATGGTGCAGGAGGCCGACTAAGCCACGCCCACCATGGCCACGCCCACCCAGCAACCGGGCAGAGAATCCCTTGCTAAAATTTTGGAAGGCCACCCCTGCCTAAGAACTCTGCAAGATTAAACCGAAGTGTTTTGTACCCAGTGCCCTGGGAAAGCTGCAGCCTGAAAGTTAGCCCCTCCTCTTGCTTTTGTTATGTAGAGTCAGGCAAAGAATTTGTCACCTTCTGCTGCTTGATGAAATAATTAACCAATGTAGTATCTGTTTCTCCATGCAGAATAAACATGTCAATCTGGATTTATGTAAAAAAAAAAAACATCCCAGTGTAGAATAACCTAACAAATCAGGGAGGAAACTCTGACAACTATCTCTTGAATGCTAGCTTTCTACTTGCAAGGCACTTACATGGAAAAAATACAATCCTGCAGCTACAATAAGAAAAGGAGAACACTGCCTTCCCTGTTATCATTTTGTGCAATTTGGCTCTGGAACGTTATAGTTTGGGCTAGAAACACCCTTCAAATGGATAAATTCCCTTTGGTTATTACGCAGTTACTATGGTTGAGTGCAGCTCAATCAAATTAAATAAATCAGAAGGGATCCTGGAGGTCCTCTAGTCCAGCCTCCTGCTCAAGCAGGAGAACCTATACCAGTGATGGCTAGCCTTTTTGCCGTCACGTGCCAAAAGCGGGGGGAGTGCAGGGGGTCGCATGCCCACATGCCCACACGTGTAATTCAATGCCCCCTCGCGCTCCATTTTGAGCTTCCCGGAAATGGCTCATTTTCCAACTTCCGGTGGGCCTGGAAGGCCTGTTTTTCGCCCTCCCCAGGCTCCAAGAAAGCCTCTGGAGCATGGGGAGGGCAAAAACGGCCTCCCCTGCCCCCCAGAGGCCCTCCGGAGGCTGGAAACGGCTCATTTCCCAACTTCCGGTGGGCCCGGCAGGCTCATTTTTACCCTCTCCAGGCTCCAGAGGCTTTCTTGGAGCCTGGGGAGGGCAAAAATCCCCCCCCCGGGAGGCTGAAAACGCCCTCCCAGAGCCTCCGTGTGAGCCCAAAACGGGCTGCGTGGAAACTCCTGGGAGGGAAGGGACAGCCAAAAATCAGCTGACTGGAGCTGAGCTAGGGCAATGGCTCGTGTGCCTGCAGATATGGCTCCGGGTGCCACCTGTGGCACGCGTGCCATAGGTTCGCCATCACGGATCTATACCATTTCAGACAAGTGACTGTCTAGTCTCTTCTTAAAAACCTCCAGTGATGGAGCACCAGTGGTGGTCTTCAGCCGGTTCTATCCAGTTTGGGCGAACTGGTAGGGGCGACTGTGGCATGCCCCAGGCACCTGCACGGATGTCATAACGTCCCATTTTCCCATGTTTTCGAGGCTCTGCGCATGCGCGGAAGATTTGCGAACCGGTAGGGAAGGTAAGTGAATACCACTCCTGTGGAGCACCCACAACTTCTGGTGACAAGCTGTTCCATTGGTTAATTGTCCTCACTGTTAGGAAGTTTCTCCTTGATCCCAGATTACTTCTCTCCTTGATTCGTTTCCATCCATTGTTTCTTGTCCTGGCCTTTGGTGCTTTGGAGAATAAGTTGATCCCCCTCTTCTTTGTGGCAGCCCCTCAAATAATGGAAGACTAATATTATGTCCTTCTTTTCTCTAGACTTCATATGCAACTGTTCTTCATATGCTTTAGTCTCCAGGCCTTTGATCATCTTAGTTGCTCAAATCAAATCATCCTAGCTCAAAGGATTTATGGTCATGGGGGATTTTAACCTGTCATCAGTCGGCGAGACGTCTGAGGTGGCTCGGGAGTTCATGACTTCCATGACGGCTATGGACCTGACCCAGTTAATTTATGGCTCTACTCACATGGGGGGACACACACTGGACCTGGTTTTTGTCTCTGGACAGTGGTCGAGTGATCTAGAGATAGGGGATATAGCGATTGAACCCTTGTCATGGTCAGATCACTCCCTCCTTCGCCTGGACCTCCGAACCGCCACACCCCGCCGCAGGGAGGCAGAACCAACCAGGTGGTTCCGCCCCAGGCGCCTGATGGATCCTGAAGATTCCAGATGGAGCTTGGGCCATTTCCTGAGGTTCTGGCACACGACTCGGCTGAGGACTTAGTGGCCGCCTGGGATAGGGCGGCGGCTGGGGCTTTGGACCGAGTCGTGCCTTTGCGGCCTCTGACCCGGCGCCGGTCTCACCTGGCTCCTTGGTATACTGAGGAGCTGAGGGAGATGAAGCGCCGGAAAAGACGCCTAGAGAGCAGTTGGAGGGCTAGTCGTTCTGAATCCGACCGAACACTGGTAAGATCTCATATTAAGAATTACCTAGTGGCGATAAGAGTAGAGAAGAGTAACTACTTTTCTGCTCTTATTGCGTCATCAGATAATCGCCCAGCCGCCCTGTTTAGGGTGACCCGCTCCCTGCTCTACCAAGGGGCGCGGGAAGATCCCTTGGAGGGTAGAGCTGAGGATTTTGTACAATATCTGTATGACAAAATCGCTCAGATTCGGGAACAGCTGGACTCTGACTGGGTTGATCCAGGGGAGATGACAAGGGCAGGTCCTGAGAATATTATTTGGGAAGAGTTTGATCCTGTGACTCCCGAAAGCGTGGACAGGATACTGAACAGACTAAATGCGACCATATGTTTATTGGACCCGTGTCCCTCCTGGTTGGTACTGGCCTCCCGCGAGGTGACACGAGGCTGGCTCCAGGAGATTATAAATGCTTCTTTGAGTGAGGGTGTCTTTCCCGCTGCCTTGAAAGAGGCGGTGGTGAGGCCCCTCCTCAAGAAGCCCTCCCTGGACCCAGCTGTGTTAGCAAATTATCGTCCTGTCTCCAACCTTCGCTTCGTTGCGAAGGTTGTTGAGAGTGTGGTTGCACGACAACTGCCTCAGTACCTGGATGAATCGAATTATCTAGATCCATTCCAGTCGGGCTTCAAGCCCGGGTACAGCACAGAGACAGCATTGGTCGCATTGGTTGATGATCTCTGGAGGGCTCAGGACAGGGGTTGCTCCTCTGTCCTGGTCCTATTAGACCTCTCAGCGGCTTTTGATACCATCGATCATGATATCATGCTGCACCGGTTGGAAGGGTTGGGGATGGGGGGCACTGTTTTACAGTGGTTCTCCTCCTTTCTCTCTGACCGGTCGCAGTCTGTGTTGACAGGGGGGCAGAGGTCGACCCCGAGGCCCCTTATATGTGGGGTGCCACAAGGATCGGTCCTCTCGCCCCTTCTGTTCAACATTTATGTGAAGCCGCTGGGTGAGATCATCCGTGGTTTTGGGGTGAAGTACCATCAGTACGCTGATGACACCCAGCTGTACATCTCCACCCCAGACCACCCCAATGATGCCCTCGAGGTAATGTCCCGATGCCTGGAGGCCGTACGGATCTGGATGGGGAGGAATAGACTCAGGCTTAACCCATCCAAGACCGAGTGGCTGTGGTTTCCGTCGTCCCGATATAGTCAGTTGGCACCATCTCTGACTATTGGGGGCGAGTTGTTGGCCCCCACAGATGGGGTTCGCAACTTGGGCATCCTCCTAGACTCGCGGCTGTCTTTAGAATAACATATGACGGCCGTGGCCAGGAGGACTTTTTATCAGGTTCACCTGATTCGCCAGTTGCGTCCCTTTCTGGATCGGGACTTGTTACGCACAGTCACTCATGCCCTTGTCACCTCACGCCTGGATTATTGTAATGCTCTCTACATGGGGCTCCCCTTGAGAAGCACCCGGAGGCTCCAACTGGTCCAGAATGCGGCTGCGCGGGTGGTGACGGGAGCAATGTGGCGCTCTCATGTGACTCCCCTCCTGCGCGAGCTGCACTGGCTCCCGGTGGTCTTCCAGGTGCGCTTCAAGGTTTTGGTTACCACCTTTAGAGCGCTCCATGGCTCAGGACCAGGGTACTTACAAGACCGCCTCCTGCCACCAGTAGCCTCTCACCGACCAGTTCGCTCCCATAGAGAGGGGCTCCTCGGGGTGCCGTCAGCCAAACAATGTCGACTGGCGGCCCCCAGGAGGAGAGCCTTCTCTGTGGGGGCACCTGCCATCTGGAACGAGCTCCCCCCGGAGATACGGAGGATCCAAGACCTACGCATCTTCCGCCGCGCCCTAAAAACGTTTTTATTCCAACAGGCTGGTCTGGCCTAACTCTCCCTTTTAAATTGGCCTTTAATTTGGCTTTAAATTGGGTTTTAAATCTCTTTTAGTTAAATTGGATGTTTTAATCTTTGAACCTAATCCTAAATTATTTAATATTTTTTAATATTTTTTAACTTTTGTATGTCTTTGTATTTATTTATGGCTGTTCACCGCCCTGAGTCCCTCGGTAGTAGGGCAGTATACAAATATGAAAAATAAATAAATAAATAAATAAATAAAAGTCCTAAGTATGTATTTCCAACAGCCATAGAAGATTGGGGACAATCCCTCTCTCAGCCTAACCCACCTGTTGTTGTTCTGGGGAAAATAGGAAGAAGGAGAAGGAAAAAAAAGTGTTTGTGGTCGATGCCTTCAGTTATTTGTAAAAATAATAAAGGCAGGAAAAAGTCCTTTATCTCTGGCTGTCCCCTCGCCCAGTCGGCTGGGTTTATTCTGCTTTCCAACTACATATAAAATACCTTTTTATTCCTTTTTCTAGGGGCACTTTCATTGAATTCCGAAATGGGATGCTGAACGTTTCTCCCGTTGGCAGAAGCTGTAGCCAAGGGGAACGGATGGAGTTTTTTGAGCTCGACAAGGCAGGTGATGGGGTGGCTTTAATCCTTCCGGTTGGTGCCTCCTTAGTGATCTGGGGTGTCTCAGGGAGGGGAGCAGGGGTGGCTTCTGGGGGTTCGGCAGGGTTCGGCCGATCCTCTAGCCAAGGATCGTCAGGGTTCGGCAAACCCCCAAATGCCACCCCTGTCTGGTCACGCCAGCCACGGCCCTCCCCACGCGGCCTGTTCATCATTCCAGATAAGTGCAGGTGACACGCCGGGGGGGGGGGGAATGCGCCTACTGGAAGTCCGGAAACGGGCTTGTTTCCGGCCTCCGAAGGGCTTCTGGACTCTGGGGGAAGCTGTTTTCGCCCTCCTGGGACGAGCCTGGGGAGGGCAAAAAACGCTCCCCCCTACTGCCGTGGTGCAGGCGGCTGACTAGGCCACGCCCACTATGGCCACCCCACCCAGCAACAGGACAGCGAACCCGTTGCTAAAGGATCTGAAGCCCACCCCTGGAGGGGAGGCAGGGAGTCAGCCAGGTTTAGACTTCAATACACCATAGGTGAGCAATTCTTGGATCCAGATAGTCCTTGAGTTACAACCGTAATGGGAGCTGCCCATCACGGTTGGAACTCGTGATGATTGTAAAGCAGGTCGGTGACCGGCCCATTTTACGACATTTTTGTGCCAGTCGTTAAGTGAATCCACAGTTGTTAAGCAAATGCTGCAGTTCTTAATTGAACCAGTGGTTTATTATGGATGCAGTTTTACCAAAAAATAGAAGTTGGGGGGAAAAAATCCTTGTAAAATGAGATCATATAGTTAGTTGCCTGATTGCCAAACACTTGAAGTTCTGTCATGTGACCAATAGGGGGCGAATCTGGGTCATAAGTACCCGCCGATAGGTCCATCAGACTTTCAAACAGTCACTAAGTGAACGGTCATAAATTGAGGACTGCCTGGGTATTTTAAAAGGTGTGATGGGTGGAACAAAATCAGTTATTTCACCACTCGAGCACCTGCCCAAACTCCCAGAAATTGACCAGTCCTTTTTGGGAACTGCGAACACAGGTAGTCCTTGATTTACAACAGTTTGTTTAGTGAACGTTCTAAGTTACAACAACACTTAAAAAAGTAACCCATGACCGTTTTTCACACTTAACAACCGTTGCAGCATTCCCCACGGTCACATGATCAAAATTCTGAGTCATGTTACGTGTCCCGGGATCACGGCATCCCCTTTTGCGACCTTCTGATAATTAGAAGTCCACGGGGAAGCCCGATTCATTTTGCGACCATGTTACTTCATAACTGCAGTGATTCACTTAACAACCATGGCAAGAAAGATCGTAAAGACTCACTTAACAAATGTCTCACTTAGCGATGGAAATTTTACGCTCAATTGTGGTCGTAAGTCAAGGACTCCCTATAGATTGTGGGGCTCATAGTACCATTTGTGAAGCCCGTCTGTGGGGCAGATACATGAAATGGTGGGATTCTGGTGTGGTCAGAAGTAGATTCCTATAAATCTGGTTGAATTATTATTATTATTTTTTTTTTATTGCAAAAGTTTTACAATTACATTTTCACCCCTTTTTCCCCCCCACCTCCCCCCCCAAACTTCCCAACCTCCCTAGCCCTCCCTGACCCTCCCCTCCCCCCAGACTTCCCTATAATATATTCATACTCATAAAAAACCCTTAATATAACACTTATATGTAAACTTGAACCCCTCCCTCCCCTGTGTAATTTTTCTCTTTACCTCATTGCATTAAAATATTTCCACTACATTACATTATTTTCAAATAAAAGCTATTTGATACTTTCTAGTTTGATATTTGTTCTGAACATATTCTATCCACCTTTTCCATTCCCACTCATAAGTCTCTTGTGAACAGTCTTTTAAATATGCTGAAATCTTCGCCATCTCTGCAAAACTGGCCATCTTCAAAGTCCATTCCTCAATAGTGGGCAAAGCTTCATTCTTCCAATATTTACCTATCAACAATCTTGCTGCTGTTATCATATACAATATCAATTTTGTTTCACCCAATGTAAAACCCTTAACTATACCCAATAAAAACAGTTGTGGAGAAAATTGAATTTTTTTCTTCAAAACATTCTGCATGACCCACCAAATTTTTATCCAAAAAGCTTTAACTTTCCTACAGGTCCACCAAACATGATAATACGTAGCATCCAAACATTCACATCTCCAACATTTTGGCTGAACATTAGGGTACATGCATGACAACTTTTTGGGATCTAAATGCCATCTATAAAACATTTTGTAGAAATTTTCCCTCAGATTCTGCGACTGTGTAAATTTAACATTCTGAACCCAAATTTTTTCCCATGTTTCCAGCATCACTGGTTCTTCAAAATTCTGTGCCCACTTAATCATACAGTCTTTAACTAATTCAGTTTCTGAATCTCTTTCTAGCAAAACATTATAAAGCCTTTTGATATGCATTGGACCTTTCTCTCTTATATGTCTAACCAATTCTTCCTCATGCAACATAATACCAGTTTTTTGGTCCTCTTTCCATCTCAATTGTAATTGATTATACTGTAACCAAGTTAAATTAATCCCTTCGTCCAACAGTGTCTGCAATGTCTTCAACTGCCATCTGCCCGCATCTGTAAAAAGAACCTCTTTATATAAAAACCCCCCGAGTGACATTATATTTGTATTCCACAAAGTATGACCAAGATCCAGCCATAGCGGTATTTTATAATCCCATTTGAGTCGGTGCTTCTTCCAAACTCTCATCAAAGAATCTCTAAGTATATGACTTTTAAATACTTTATCTACTTTGTCGTCGTAAAATAAGTAAGCATGCCATCCAAATTCAAGATCAAAACTTTCTGCGTTCAATATTCCAGTCTTTTTCCTTCCAAACCAATCACTTGTTAAGGTTAAAGCTGCTGCATCATAATATAGCTGTAGGTTTGGAAGTTTAAGACCTCCTCTTTCTGGAACATCTTGCATAATTTTCAATTTCACTCTCGGCTTCTTCTCGTTCCAGACAAACTTATTCACTCCAGATTGCCAAACTTTCAATTGTTTATCACTTTTAAGCACCGGAATCATTTGAAACAAAAAAAGAAATCTTGGCAAAATATTCATCTTAACTGCTGCTATTCTTCCAAGTAGAGACAGCTGCAGTTTTTTCCAAGTCTCCATATCTTTCTGCACCTCTCGCCACAACACCTCATAGTTATTTTGAAACAATTTCATATTTGATTCTGCAACCTGAACTCCTAGATATTTTACCTTAAGTACAGTCTCAAAACCTGCCCTCCTTTCAAGCTCATGTTTACGATCTTGTGTCATATTTTTAGCTATCATTTTAGTCTTTTTTGGATTCAATCTAAAACCTGAAACTTTACCATAGTCTTGTATAATGTCCTTCATCAAGATTATTGATTCCATTGGTTGTGATAGAGTAACAACCAGATCATCTGCAAATGCCTTTATTCTGTAATCCTCTTGCCTAATCTTTATACCTCTCAAGATATTAGAGTCCCGTATTGTATTTAGCAAGACTTCTAGTGTTAAAATAAATAAAAGTGGGGACAGCGGACATCCCTGTCTTGTTCCTTTTTCAATTTTAAACTCTGTTGTCAGACTTCCATTAATAATGATCTGTGCCTTTTGCTCTTGATAAATTGCCGAAATCGCCTGTATAAATTGATCCCCAAAGTCCATCTTTTTCAAAGTCTTTAATAGAAAATTCCAATCCACTCTGTCAAAGGCCTTCTCTGCATCCAAGAAGACCAGCACTGCAGGGATCTGTTTATTCTTCTCAAGATATTCCAATAAATCTATTACTTGCCTTACATTGTCCTTCATATATCTGCCCTCGATAAATCCCGCTTGATCATCATGAATCACCTTCTGAATTACTGGCATCAACCTGTTGGCTAGTACTTTCGCAAAAATTTTATAATCTGTATTCAAAAGAGATATTGGTCTATAGTTCTCTGGTTTTTTAGGACCGATTTGTTCTTTTGGTATCAAAGATATATAAGCTGTTGTCCATGATGGGGGTATTTTACCCCCTTGCTGAATATTGCAAAATAAATCTCTAAGTTGTTCCACCATTTCAGCTTGCAAAGTTTTGTAATACACTGCAGTCAAGCCATCCGTGCCAGGAGCTTTGGCTGTTTTTAACTGTTTAATTGCTACTATTATCTCCTCCTCTGTTATGGGATAATTCATTCTTTCCTTTTGTTGATCAGTAATTTTTGTAACTCTTTTATCGTTTAAATATTTTTCTATAAGTCCATTCTGCACCTCCTCTTTGGCATATAGTTTGGTATAATAGTCCACAAAAGCTTCTTTAATTAATTTTTGTTGAAAAATTTCTTTCCCTCCAATATCAATACTATCAATAGTCCGTATACTTTGTTTTTTCCTCAATGTGTAAGCCAACCATCTGCCCGGTTTATTAGCGTTACAAAATGTATTATGCTTTGCATATTGTAAGTTTATTGCAACTTGTTCCGCCATAAGCATTTGAAATTGGTCTTTCAAAAGTTTTATAGCACTACGTATTCTTTCATCTGTTGGATTTTTAATAAGTAACTGTTCTTTTTTCTTTATTTCTATTTCCAATTCAGATCTTTTCTTTTGTCGGAACAGTCTATGTTTAGAGTTCATATAAATAAGTACCCCTCTCATATAAGCTTTACTTGCATCCCACACAATTTCAATTGGGGTACCTTTATTCAAATTTATTTCGAAAAATTCTTTCAAATGCTTTTTAAGTTCTGTTGTATTTTTTTCATATCTAAACAAATTCTCATTTAATCTCCAAGAACGTCTCTCAACCTTGTCCATCTCAATTTCTATCCATACTGGGCTATGGTCAGTCAAAGTTCTTGGAAAAATCTTTGTTCTTTTTGTCTTAACAAGTAAATCATCTGTCAACAAAATAAAGCCAATCCTAGAGAAGGATCTGTGTCTGTCAGAATAAAAAGTATAGTCCAATTCTTTTGAATTATGTATTCTCCAAACATCTTTTAGTTCCATATCTTCTTTCATGTCAAAAAAGGTCTGTGGTAATCTGATTCTAGACTTTGCCAAACTCTTTTTATCTAATTTAGAATCGATTACTCCATTCCAGTCTCCCATAATTAAAATAGATCTGTAATCCCATTGCAATATTTTAGTATGTAACATCTTATAGAAATAGTCCTGTTGTTGATTGGGAGCATAAATCCCAATCAGAAGAATTTGGCCATTTGCGATAGACAATTCAATTGCTACAAACCTACCATCTTCATCTGTTTCTATAACTTTAGCTGTTAACTTTTTATTTACATAAATTACCACTCCATTCTTTTTTTGCGAAGTTGAAGATATAAAATGTGTTCCTAGTTTGGAGTTTATCAAATATTTTTGATCTTGAGTTGTGATATGCGTTTCTTGTAAACAAATTATATCATTATTAAATTGTTTCAAATATGTAAATAATTTCTTCCTTTTCTGTACTGAATTCAACCCATTAACATTCCAGGATAAACACCTAAAGGTCATCAGCCTCTTTCTGGAGCAAAGAGCAAAATAATTGAAGATCATCCGAAATCTTCGATCTCGCTCCTCCCATAACTCCAATCTCTTGTGCAGTACTCTTATCTGCCTCCTTGTCTTGTCTTTCCTGTTGTTGTTGTTGCTTTTGTTTAAGTAACTTAGCTTGAGCTCGAGTTATACGTTGATCCTTAACCTCAATCATCCGAACCGGGTCCAAGATTGGAGAAGATTCCAGCAAGGGCTCATCCAGAAAACCTCCTTCTGCACCTTGCACTTCTTCTAATTCCTGCTTAGACTGTTCTTGCAGTTCTCGTTGAGGTTGCTTCTCTTCACTCTCTTTAATCTCCAAAACTGTAGATGTACGTGGAGATGGTGTTCTTTCCTTAAGAATAGTAGTGTAGAAATGCTGTGCCTTCTCCACGGTATTCAAACGATATCTTTCTCCCTTGTATCTGAAAATTATGCCAACTGGTGCGTCCCACCGGAAAGATATCTGTAAATTTTGCAATTCCTTAACAAGAAAGCCAAATTCTTTTCTAGCTTTCAGCATTTTAGGAGGTAATTCTTTATAAATTCCAATTCGTGAACCCCCCACTTGTACAGAAGTGTAAAAGGATTTTTGCAGGATATCGTTTCTTATTTCTCTATCTGTAAAATATATGACTACATCTCTAGGTAATTGTCTTTGTCTGGCCACCCAAGAGTTCACTCTGTAAATTTTGTCTATTTTGTGAAAAACCACATCTGGATTAACTTGTAAAATCTTAGCCAGGGCCTCAGAACAAACTTGTCTCAAATCCTGTCTTTCCTCCTCTCGAATTCCTCGAAGCCGTATAGCAAACTCCATTGCCCTGAATTGTATCATGACAATCTCGTCTTCAACTCTCTGCATTTTATTGTCAACATCAGCAATTTTATAATCATTGTCTTTCATCTTAACATTAAATCTGGTTGAATTATTATACCTAAGTAACTACCGTATTTTTTGGAGTATAAGACACACCTTTTTCCCCCAAAAAAGAAGGTGAAAATCTGGGTGCATCTTATACGCCAAATGTAGCCCCGCCCAGCCTCTCAAATGGAGGTTTCAGAGGCTGAAAAAAGCCTCTGAAAGGAAGTTTCAGAAAAAACAGAGCTTCAAAAAAAAAGCCTCTGAAACAAACAGGGGCTTTTTTTTTTCTGAAGCTCTGTTTCGGAGGCTTTCAGAGACAGAAAAAAAGTTCTTTTCTGAAACAAGAGTTTCAGAAGTTTCAGAGGGTGAAAAAAAATTGAGGCACAGAACTCACCACCAACGAACCTGTTGCTAAAATTCACCCCTGGAAACAGCTGATTGGGGGTATTCCAGGAGGCTGATCCACCTGCCAATCAGCTTTTTTCTTATTTTCCTCCCCAAAAACTAAGGTGTGTCTTATACTCCGAAAAATACGGTACATATGTGCTAGCTCTTTATTAGTTGTGTTCATGATTCAGGGCATAATTGTCAGTCCCACCAACTGATCCACCAGACCAGACTAGGAAATCAAGTCCACAAGGAGGCTAAAATTATATTTATTGAGGTTGGCTGAAATAACATTATCTTGCCAGTCCGTGTTGCCTTGCCGCCTCCTTTTATAATTCAGTCCTGTGTGTTTCGAACTCAGCCCCTTGAAGATGGGTGGACTTCACTTCCCAGAATTCCTCAGCCAGTCATTCTGGGAGTTGAAGTCCATCCATCTTTTAAATGGCTGAGGTTAAGAAACACCATGAACTAGAAAGGCATCTGTCTGAGCCCCCAAATGTTATCTCATTGTTTAAAAAATGTTTTTACCCTTTTACCTTAGTAAAGAGTTCTTGCATATTTCCATCATGGTTTACTCTCTACAATGACATAGAAAGTCGTCTTGGTCTCAATTATTTTGTGATTGTGGCACCAGGCTATTTTTTTTTTTAATTTGATTTATATGCCGCCCTTCTCCGGAGACTCAGGGCGGCTTACAGTCCGCTAAGCAATAGCCTTCATCCTTTTGTATATTTATACAAAGTCTGCTTATTGCCCCCACAACTGGGTCCTCAATTTACCTACCTTAGAAAGGATGGAAGGCTGAGTCAACCTTGAGCCTGGGGAGATTCGAACCTGCAATAATTGCAGGCAGCTGGTCTTAATAACAGGGTGCTTTAGACCACTGTACTACCAAGGCTCCTTGGTAGTACAGTGAAAAAAAATCATCTTTTTTTCCTAAGCTGATCAATTTTTTTTTATTTTTTATTTCTTGAACAGAGGGAACAGATCCGGGACAGATTTGTTGCTGATTTACGACGTGACTTTGCAGGAAAAGGCCTTACGTTTTCCATAGGTACCACTTTTTAAAGAACGGAAATAGCTGCATTCAGAAAGTATCCTAATTGTCTACATATCCAGAAAATCACATTAAGGGAGGACCCTCTTCTGACCATGGGGGTGTGCAACGGTCATAAGTGCAAGGACCAGTCATAAGTCACTTTTTTCAGTGCAGTTGTAACTTCGAATAGTCACTAAACAAATTATTATAAGTGGAGGACTACCTGTAATCTACAGCATAACTGACTGGAGATGTCCCACCTATGGGTTTCTTCTTGGAGTTTTGGAAATCCTTAAATTTCCCCCTTTAGAGCTAATATTGCCCTGTTGGGGAGACATTTGACCCAGGAATGTTAGTCACCACCTCTGGCCAGGACTGAACATAGTTCCTGCGTTCTGTGTCTTCTGATGTTTGTTCCATTCGAAGCTCCCCTTTGCTCAAATCAGCTCCGTCACTTCTGCCGCTCAGCCTGCTCATCCTCTTCTCTCTTTGATCTCTGCAGGAGGGCAGATCAGCTTTGACGTCTTCCCCAACGGTTGGGACAAGCGGTACTGCTTGGGAATTGTTGCCCAGGACAACTTCGAAAAGATCTATTTCTTTGGAGATAAGACCATGCCGGTGAGTAGGTGGCCAGGAGAAGCTGGTCAGATCCAGCTACTACTTTGAGACAATTCTCTGTCATCCAGGTCATGATTGTCCCAAAGGTTTTTTTCAGGAAGCAACCGGACTTCCTTGTTTTTTTCTTTTGAAGACATTTTGCTTCTCATCCAAAAGGCTTCTTCAGTTTTGACAGGATAGTGGGGAAGGAATCTGCAAGGAATACAAATCCTTCCATTCCCCACTATCCTGTGAATAGAAGCTCCCACAACTTCTGAAGGCAACTTCTGTTCCATGGGTTGATTGCTCTCTCACTGTCAGAAAATGTCTCCTTATTTCCAGGTTGAATCTCTCCTTGTTCAGTTCCCATCCATTATTCCTTGTCTGGCCTTCAGGGGCTTTGGAAAATAGCTTGACCCCTCCTCTCTGGGGCAGCCCCTCAAATATTGGAAGACTGCTATCATGTCTCCCCTGGTCCTTCTCTTCACTAGACTAGCCAGGCCCAGTTCCTGCAACCGTTCATGGTATGTTTTAACCTCCAGTCCCATCACCCTGATTGCTCTGCTCTGCACTCTTTCCAGAGTTTTTTTAGAGAAGAGAATTTTTAGCAGGAATAATTTTTTGAGCTACTTGTTCAAGGACAGCAAAGAGGTGCGTTTGCTGAGCAAAGTGGGCCGAGAGACTTCTTCTTTTCATTCCTTGGGATCAATTTCTTCTTTCTGTTTGTCTCCTTTGCAGGGTGGAAACGACTACGAAATTTACACGGACCCCAGAACCCTCGGGCACAGCGTCTCTTCGCCCGAGCAGACGAGGGAGATATGCAAAGCCTTGTTTTTCAAATAGATTGCGGGCTGCTTTTGCACCGAAGGGACGCAAGCCGGGTTCAGTACCACGATTGGACTCCAAATCCTGGAAATCGGGGGAAAGGGTTAGGGTAGTGTCCGAACTGTGGGGGGAGGGGGGCAGGGGTGGGCTTCAAAAATTTTAGCAAGGGGTTCTCTGCCTGATTGCTGGGTGGGTGTGGCCTGCCCCATGGAGGTGGGGGCGTTTTGCCCTCCCCAGGCTCCAGAGGCCCACTACAGGCCAAAAACGGGCAGGCCCGTTTTTCATCCTCCCCAAGCCTCCGCACGCATCCTGCACTTACCTGCATCCAAAACGGGCTGCGTGGGGACTCCTGGGAGGGGAGGGGTGGGTGGGGCCAGCCAGGAGTGGGATTTTGGGGTTCTCCAAACTGCACAGAATCTTAGCTAGAGGTTCTCCTGAACCCCTGCGAACCCCCAGCAGCCCACCCTTGGAGTAGGGGGGGAAAGGAGCTCCAAGTATCCCATCCGTCCACTCAGCTGTTCTGAACTCACATATTGCACTATGCTACGCTTTCTTTCCCTCTGATTAAGGAAGGAACGGCATTGGCTTCGCACCAGGGAACGAGCCCTAATCCATGGTTCACAAACCATCTTTGCACAGACTTGGTTCCCCACAATAAAATGGCCAGTTTGATGGCTTGGTGCGGTTTGTGGGTCAGTTCCGTTTTGAGAAGGAAACAGCCATTTTCCAAGTGGAAAGCAGGGGAGGGGAGGTCTTAAGAGTAAATCTTGCTTGGGAGCCTCCTAACTTTGGGGGACGAGTCCTAACCGTGGAGACCCTTTCTTAGCATGGAAGCACCTGCGGGATTTGCTTTGTTTCCCAAGGCCCCTCTCCAGGGGTGGGCTTCAAAAATTTTAGCAAGGGGTTCTCTGCCCGGTTGCTGGGTGGGCATGGCCATAGTAGGCATGGCCTAGTCAGCCTCCTGCACCACAGCAGGGGAGGGCTTTTTGCCCTCCCCGGGCTCCGGAGACTTTTGTTGAGCCTCCAGGAGGGTGAAAATGGCCTCTCCAGGCTCTGGAGGCCCTCTGGAGGCTGGAAACGGGCTCATTTCTGGCCTTCCCAAACTTCCGGCAGACCTGTTTTGTGCTCTCCCTGAGCCTCCACGCGCGCCCTGCACTTACCTGCATCCAAAATGGGCTGCATGGGGACTCCTGAGAGGGGTGGGGCAGGAAGGGGGCCAGCCAGGAGTAGGATTTGGGGGTTCTCCAAACTGCACAGAATCTTAGCTAGAGGTTCTCCCGAACCCCCAGCAGCCCACCCCTGCCCCTCTCTGATGCCCCTCGTCCCCCCCAACAATTTGTGGGAACAGCTCAGGAGACCTGAACAGCTTCACATCTACCAAGGTATTTCACAAATCATCTATGGGGTAAGAAATACTTCACTGGCCAAAAATACGCAATCCAGGCTGTTCTGTGTTTTTAGTGCCAAGTAATTCTTAAAACTCAGCTGTTGGGTGATTCAGTTTTTCTGCTACAGAACAAGGATATTCATGTTCCAATGATGTTTGGAGATTTTTCTGAAGGATGCTGGCTGACCCCATGCTTATGCCCTCCGTTCTTACGCCATGCCTGCCCTGCAATCTGGCCCTTCCCACTCTTTGTAGTGCCTTTTTTGGGGAAAGATAGTGCAAAACATCTGGAGAACTTGGGAAGCTGGGTTGAGAGAAATGTCCTGACTTTTCCCCGAGTCCACCTTTGTTCTGGGCCCTTCTTGAATCTGAGACAGAATTTGTTGTTTCCCTTTTATGTTTGGAATTTAATGCACTGGAGAAAGATTGGAGGGTTTTCAAGTCTAAAAAAAATCAGCCGGGTTGATCTGCAATGAGATTTCTGGAAACTGTACTGTACTGTATACCTGGATGAATCTAGATCCTCTCTCATTAAAATCTCTGTGAATCGTTTGCATTTTCTGTCCCGTGTTTGATCTCTTTCCACCCCTGGATCCAGAAACAGATGTTGCCGTTCCTGAGGTTTTGTGATGACTGAAACCATCAGGATCCTCAAAAACTCTTGAACTTGACTTTAACAATTATGACCGACATTATTCTGCCTTTTGAGAGGTTTGAAGTCTGCCTTTTAAACAAGCTGGAAGGAGAGAAACTTTTATGCGTATCTGGCTTTAAAATTAAGATCCTACTTAATTAATCTAACTGACACTTTGAAAGAAGGAGAATCAAATTTATCACACACAAAACATTGATGGTTCCTGAATAAACCACGGGAAGATGGATTTGTTCCCTTATTCATTGGGAGCAAACCAGGTTTTGGTTTCTTCAGACTTCAGTAATATCGGTTTAGTTCAGGATCTCAAGGGAAACTAAATTGGTGCTCCTTCTTTCCAAGTCACAAAATATTTGCTTTATGCATGAAGCAAAAGACCATTTTTTTAAAACCGTGTTGGACCCCAATTTTGAGTCACGTGTATGCCAGGAAAAATCATTAACTTTGCACCATTGTGCTGCCATCATTTTCATATTTTTAGGCAGTCTCTCTACTTTTCTACAGAAACATAAACATGATCTTATTAGGAATTATTTATAACAGGGGTCTCCAATCCCCGAGCTGTAGATCGGTACCGGTCCATGGCTTGATAGGAACTGGGCCGCACAAGCCAGTGAAGATTCATCTGCGCATTTGCGGGATCTAAATTGCACATGAAACCATTCCACACCCACACCCACATACTCTGGTCTGCGGAAAAATCTGTCTTCTACAAAACAGGTCGGAAAAGGTTAGGAAGCGCTGATTTACAACACATATCCAGATTTTATCAATTTAAAGTTGGAGTTTTAGGATTTTTGCATCCTGCGGCACATTTATGCCTCAGGAAGCACATACTGTGAGCATGATTTATTGTAATCATAGCCAGGGGCGGGCTTCAAAAATTTTAGCTAGGGGATCTCTGCCCAGTTGCTGGGTGGGCATGGCCATGGTGGGCGTGGCTTAATCAGCCTCCTGCACCATGGCGGTGGGGGGGAGCTTTTTGCCCTCCCGGGGCTCCGGAGGCTTTCCTTGAGCATCCAGGAGGGTGAAAACAGCCTCCCCAGGCTCTGGAGGCCAGAAATGGCCTGTTTCCGGCCTTCCCAAACTTCCGGTTGGCCCTTTTTTTGCCCTCCCTGAGCCTCCACGCATGCCCTGCACATACCTGCATCCAAAACAAGCCGCGTGGGGACTCCTGGGAGGGGCAGGATGGGGTGGGACAGGGCCAGCCAGGAACGGGATTTGGGGGTTCTCCGAACTGCACAGAATCTTAGCTAGAGGTTCTCCTGAACCGCTGTGAACTCCCAGCAGCCCACCCCTGATCATAGCTTTGTAATTAAGATACAGGAATACCTGGTAAACCTGTAATTTAACTTTTCAATTTTCACCTGAAATATTTAACTGTTGTAGGAGGCAAGCCCACGTTAGTAGCAAAAGCCAGGAGTCGCTGATCACCTTTTTCTTAAACTGGCACCTTTAAAATGGGTAGACTTCAACTCCCAGAATTTTGGCAGAATTGGAAGTTCACCGTCTTAAAGATGTCAAGCTCGAGAAACAGCTTTAGAACAAACACACTTTATGAAGAGCAAAAGTGTTGGTGAACGTGAGCATTTTTTAAAAAAGTACATAGATGTCAAAATGGTATATTTCCCATATTTGTGACTCCTTGCAGAAAATTCCTTACTGAAATCTAAGGAACCAGGGAGTAGAGAGAGGTTGGGGAATAGGCGGGGTGGGCTTCTGTATCCTTCCCATTTCCAGGAGAGTGTAATTAATCTCAATTAGACAAAGCAGAGGAATGTAGCAAAAAGGTCCCCAGTTCAGGAAGAAGGAAGTAGACTTGGACTGAGCTTCAATAGAAGTCCAGAAATACCATAACTAATATATTTCAGTCTTGCATAAGTGGGAAGATGTCAACTTCCACAGTTGTTTTCTTAAAACCAGCCAGCAACTCCATGGAATGTATTTCCTGTCAATTAAAGGAGGAGAAAGGCAAAAGAGGAATAAATAGCACAAGAGTTACCAGAAATATGGAATTGTTCTTCCACTAATTAATCTCTGAAGTTGCAGAGATGTTAAAGAGGACTTTTTTTTTAAAAAAAAAAAAACCTTTTCAATTACAGGTAGTCCTCGACATACGACAATTGAGCCCAAATTTTCCATGCTAAGGAGGACAGTTGTTAAGTGAGTTTTGCCCCATTTTATGACCGTTATTGCCACAGTATTTAAGTGAATCACTTGCAGTTGTTAAGTTAGCAACATGATTGTTAAGTGAATCTGGCTTCCGCATTGACATTGTTTGTCAGATGGTCACAAAAGGGGATCACATGACCCCGGAACACACAAACTGTCATAAATATGAGCCAAGACACCTTCACCGTCATAAATATGAGCTCGTTACCAAGCTTCCAGATTTTGAACACTTGACTCAAAGGATGCTACAAGGCAGGGGTGGGCTTCAAAAGTTTTAGCAAGGGGTTCTCTGCCCGGTTGCTGGGTGGGCATGGCCATGGTGGGCGTGGCCTAGTCGGCCTCCTACATCATGGCGGGGAAGGCATTTTTGCCCTCCCCGGGTTCTAGGGGTTTTCCTCAAGCCTCCGGGAGGGCGAAAATCGCCTTCCCAGGCTCTGGAGGCCCTCTGAGGCTTCCTGAACATCTGGTAGGCCCGTTTTTCACCCTCCTCGAGCCTCCGCGCATGCCCTGCACTTACCTGCATCCAAAATGGGGCGCATGGGGACTCCTGGGAGGGGAGGGGTAGGGTGGGGCCAGTCAGGAATGGGATTTGGGGGTTCTCTCGCACAGAACTGCACAGAATCTTAGCTAAAGGTTCTCCTGAACCCCTGCGAACCCCAGCAGCCCACCCCTGCTACAAGGGTCCTAAAATGTGAAAAACAGTCAGAAATTGCTTTTTTCAGTGCCGTTGTTACTTCAAATGGCCAGAAAACGAATGGTTGTAAGACATACCAGCTTGATGGCTTCAGGACTGAGGTGCAAAATCATTTCCCATTTGTGAATCTACTGGAATCTTACAAGATTTAAGCGTTTAGCATTTCCCAGGTGCTGCCGTTTGCTATTTCTATTCTTTTCTTCCTGGTCTGGCACATTCTTTTAATCTTCCTGTGTCATCTTTTTTGCAATTAGGTGGCATGTATAGGCCAAGTTGGCTGAGATTTTAAAAACTTGGAGGCTTCAGCAATATTTGCTGATGACCAAATGAGCTATTTATTGCCAAATTTAAAATTGATGTAGAAAGGGGTCTGGTTTATTTTAGCCCAAGACTTTGCTAAAATTCTTCCCCCTGGTTTCAGCCTCACCTCTGCCTGTTAATTTTGGACATTGATTTCCCACTGGCCAGTTGTGAGGCTAAATTAGGAAGATACCAGACCCCAAGAGGCATTTAAAACCCAGTCTGAAGAGTTTTAAAATCAGACGTGGTTCATTCATGGTTTTATTTCTTTACTTGTTCTGTCTGCCAGCACCAACAAGGCACCAATTGTAAACATTGTAAAAAAGAAAAAAAAAATCCCAGGGATAACATGTCCCTCTTTGGAGGTATGATGAGCCAGAAAATATTTTTATTTCCTCTTTTTTTCAGGCTGCCACAGATAATAAATGAGGGAGACAAGAAACAATGGATGGAAACTAATCAAGGAGAACAGTAACAAAGGAGAAATTTCCTGATAGTGGATAGTTGCCTTCTGAAGCTCCATCACTGGAGGTTTTTAAGAAGAGACTGGATGGCCACTTGTCTGGAATGGTATAGGGTCTCCTGCTTCAACAGGGGGGTTGGACTAGAAGACCTCCAAGGTCCCTTCCAACTCTGTTATTCTGTTATCCCTAGCAGTTTGGTGCCCCAAGAAGGAATTTGGGAGCTGCATTCTCAAAGGGCCTGGTGGCTCAGCAGACCGATAGCATTGTGATTAACACCAGCTGTCTGCAATTACTGTAATCTCACTGTAATCTTCGAATCTCTCCAAGGCTCAAGGTTGACTCAGCCTTCCATCCTTTCTAAGGTAGGTGAAATGAGGACCCAGATTGTGGGGGCAATAAGCTGACTTTGTATAAATATACAAAAGTAAGAAGGCTATTGCTTAACGCATTGTAAGCCGCCCTGAGTCTCCGGAGAAGGGCGGCATATAAATCAAATTTTTAAAAAAAGGACTTGTGATGAAAATGCAACTTTTTGCGGTTACAGAATAGGAGATTCAACTTCTTATTGACACCTGAAAAGTTTTATTTCTTGGAATACCTAAGACCTTAATAAGAATAATAAACACGCCAGACTCAACAATTATCAGTAAGAAAGCTAAAATGTCTGGATCGTAGATGTGGTAGTGCGTCAAGATAAAAGGAAGAGAAAAAACTAGAGAAAATGACAAAATACAAAATCCTGCAAATAGAAATAGAATGACTGTGGCACAAGAAAGCACAGGTAGTACCAATAGTCACGGGTGCCTTGAGTGCAATCCCAAAAACATCTGGGGTATCACTTAAACACCATTAGCATTGAAAAAATCCACATCAGTCAATTGAAAAAGTACATTTCGCTTGGAACAGCTTACATCTTGCGACAATATCTGTAATACCATCAAACAACAAGATCTACCTATCCCAGATTTTGGGAAAGACCCGATAGGTGAAGATGCCAAATCCAGTCTAAACATCTGGCTGACTGTGTGACCACCCATAGTAATAATTTATTCAATTTCTCACTGATTCTGGGCAGCTTGCTGGGTTGCAGTAGCAATATACAGTACATCTATGCATGAAAATAAACAAGAGCACAGCTACCAGAGAGATGCAAAGGCAGGCAGGAATGATAAGATTAGTAAATTATTAAAAACAACTGGATACAATCTCCATGGGAAAGAAAACAACAAGCCTTGGAGCTTATGGTTTGGCTCTGCAAGATTCAGGCTTCCGGATCTGGATGAGCAGCAGGAGGTAGCCAGGATACTGAATTCATAAAGTGCTTTTTACTTTGATTTTCATAGTCCCTCCAGGGCTTTCAGACTTTCATTAATTAATTGATTCAATTTAAAGATCTCTCCCTCGCCCTCTCTCTTATACTATACATACAAATAAAAATTAATCTGGCTTTGGGTGGTGCCATTTTAAGCAGTGTTTTTAATGCAAGCTACCCTGGAAAATTAACTGAACAGAACCTGAATCACCCAGCAAAAATTCAGGAATAACAAAATGAAGAACAAAGCTACCCATTCAGGTGTGGGTTCCTTTGGTCACCAAATTGCAAACCTGAGAGCACCTCTGTGTGTAAACATGTGCCTGATCCGTGCAAAGACCACTCTGCCCACTCTGCCAAGGAGCAGGCAGCATGCTTGGCATCCATGGGTTTTGATTGCTGATTGAACTTGCAATGATCATCTGCAATGAAAGCCATGCCCAAATCCACCGGAGCAATTTATCAATCCTGTTGTGCTTTGCAAAAGAGGCTTCTATTTTCTACCTTCTCAAGAGTGCTTGAGAATTTCTCTTGGCAGCATTTTTTTTTTTAACCAGACTTTGTTGGGAGATGCTGAGGGTGTAACTCTTGTGTTTCCTGTGACGCAACTTTGCATTCCTTCTGGGTAACACCACACTTCCTAATCTGGAAAAAGAAACACGACTTTTAATACCTTTCCTTGAGGTTCAATTCAAGGGCTAAGTTCAAGGAAGGCTGGAAAGAGGATGAGGCCATCAGAAAACAGACAAAGGTAATCCTTGACTGATGACAGAATAAGATTTGGAAGGGACCTTGGGGGTCTTCTAGTCCAGCCCTCTGCCCAAGCAGGAGACCCCATACCATTCCAGACAAGTGGCTGAACAGTCTCTTCTTAAAAATGTCCAGTGATGAAGCACCTACAACTTCTGAAGGCAACTTCTGTTGCCTTGTTTTCCCTGTTAAGAAGTTTCTCCTTAGTTTTAGGTTGCTTCTCTCTTTGATTAGTTTCCAACCAGTTTCTTGTCCTGCCTTGTGGTGCTTTGGAGAATAGGTTGACCCTCTCCTCTTTGTGGCAGCCCCTCAAATACTCGAATACTGCTATCTCTCCCCCAGTCCTTATTTTCATTAGACTAGACATACCCAGTTCCTGCAACCGTTCTTCATGTTTCAGCCTCCAGCCCTCTAATCATTTTTGTTGCTCTTTTCCACACTTTTTCCAGGGTCTCCACACCTTTTTTATATTGCGGCAACCAAAACTGGATGCAATATAACCACAATTGAAACCAGACTTTCCATCGCTAAACAAGGAAATGAGGGAGTTAAGTGAGTTACACTGCAGCTTAAATGAGCTGCACCTAATTTTAAGGGAGATTTTTTTGCCATGGTTTTTAAGTGCCATGGTTTTTAGAGCCTGGGTTGACTCTAAACTGATTTGTATCCTTTTAAATTCTTAAATCTTCAATTTGAATTGGTATTCCCACATTTAACCTTATTTATTGGATATCCTGTTTTAATTTGCCTTTTAATTTTTGTATTCTCTGTTTTATTATTGTTGTGAGCCGCTCTGAGTCCTTCGGGAGAAGGGCGGCATATAAATCCAATAAATCCAATAAATCCGATAGATAGATAAACAAACAAACAAACAAACAAACAAACAAACAAACACTCAGTAAGTGACTCATATGGCCATTAAGCGAATCTATTTCTCTCACTAATTCTTCTTGTCTGATGCCAGCAAGGAAGGTCACAAATGATGATCACATGACCCCGGGATCCTACAACCGTTGTAAATACAGATAGTCCTCAACCTACGACCACAATTGAGCCCAACATTTCTGTTGTTAAGCGAGACATTTGTTCAGTGAGTTTTGCCCCAATTTACAACCTTTCTGGCCAGTGTTGTTAAGTGAATCACTACAGGTGTTAAGTCAGTTACACGGTTGTTAAGTGAATCTGGCTTCCCCACTGAATTTGTTTGTCAGAAGGTCGCAAAAGGGGGATGACATGACCGCAGGACACTGCAACCGTCATATATATGAATCAGTCGCCAAGCATCTGAATTTTGATCATGTGACCAAGGGGAATGCTGCAATGGTCCTAAGTGTGAAAAACGGTCATAAGTCACTCTTTTCAGTGCCATTGTAATTCCAAACTGTCACTAAACGAACTGCTGTAAGTCAAGGAGTACCTGTACATGCTGGTTGCCCAAAGCCCAAACTTTGATCCCATGACTCGGTATACTGCGATGGACATAAGTGTGGGGACTGGTCATCTTTTTCAGCGCCCCTGTAATTTTGAAAGGTCAGGGTTTGAAACAAACAGTTGTAAGTCAAGGAGCACTTGTACCCACATCCCTCCCAAACATTTTGATTCACTCCATCCAGGCATTGCCCATTTTGCCCCTTAACAGGCCCAAATGTTCTTTAACTTTGAAAGAATATCTGACAGGAATTTTTTTCTCCATCAAACTGAGAACAGGTAGGAGAAAATCAAGAGATAATTTTGCAGCACAGCACGGAATGGAATGTGTTTTGTTTAAGAAATAGCATGGAAGATTTCCTCAAACTGCAAGTATTTTATTTGTAATATTTTATTTGTCATTTGGTCAGTGACTGTTAATACTTCCACACAATTCCCCCCCCAAAGAGAACTCATTCCAAACATCTCATTTCCCTCCAGTCTCTCCTAAAAGTTAAATACTCTTCAGGACATTTTTTTTTTTTTGCTGGACAAAGAGCAAAAAGCATTTTGAAACAACCAATAAACTGCAAACTACAAACCTCAAACCTTTAAATATGTGCATGCACACAACAGTTGCGATAGCAGAGATTGTCAGCTGAAGAAGCCAACGATGATTTCAAAGTTTGAATTAGGGGTGTGTGTCTGTGTGTGAGGTTAGGGTACATGTAGTAAGTCACTGCCAGAAAAGCTGATGTGTATATTTTTGAGAAAAATAAAAATAAAAGCAACTAACACACAAATATTCAACCAAAACACTATGTGGAAAAAAAAAAGTTTCTATGTGAAAAGGCAGCTTTTTGTTGCTTTTTTTAGCTGCTCTAAAACATTCAAGAAGAATGTCAAATTATAGGAACACAAATCCTCTGTAGGTATTTCCTCAAGCTATTTATCCTTTGGCTTCCCTAATCCAAAAAGAAAACAAAACAACCAGCAAAATCAATAATTTTCTGCTATCAAGCAAAGGAACATTGTTTTGCTCCTAAATTGTTTGCCCCTAAATACTACCACCAAAGCGGAAAACCTCTTTAACTCAGCAGCTGCTGCCTTCTTCAACCTGATCTATTCAGATGTGTTAGGACTCCAACCACTATGCTGCACAGCCAGCGTAGCCTTCCAAGTGGGGAGTACAAATTCTGAAAGGTATCAGATTGAGGAAGGAGACGGACCACCCAGAGAATCCCATCTTTTGAGCAGATGGATCGGTTCCCATTTCTCCTCTTCTGATGAGAACTTTGGACTATCTTTGGACTATCTTTGGACTATCCTACTCAATGAGAAAAAAAAAAACATTCAAATTGTAAAGCAAAAGCTAAACATTTGCTTCCCTGCCAGCCCGAACACTACAATTTTTCCACTTATTAATTTGTATACTTTGAAAATCATGGCGCTATTTTTTTATTTTTATTAAAAAAGGGTTTAATCTGGCCACCTTTGGAACCCTGTTTTCAATTACACAATCTGCAGAAAACTCATCAGGCTTGGCTACTCTAAGTTGTTGAACACGATCCAATAGTCCTCTTCAGTCAACATGGCTTCCGAACTCCCTCTAGGAGTTGACCACGTGTCCCGACCACGTCTCATGTTTCGTGCCCGGAGCTAGGTGAGTGATGTTGACCTCTACAGCTTGAAGTTTCTCGTTCTTTGGAGGAATGCTGCACACCTTGTAGGTGACCTCATCACCAGCTACCGGAACATACTCTCCTTCAATACTGTAAGATAAATAAAGAAGATCGTAACTGCTTTAATGGAAGGGAATCGGCTGTCCCAATCCAACACCTCCAACAGGTCTATGGAGATTCTCAGTCATGGTTGTCCCAAAGGTGCTTTTTCAAGAGGCAACCAGACTGCGTTTTTCCTTGAAAATATTTCCCTTCTAATTTAAGAAGCTTCTTCAGCTTCTGAATGAATGGTGGATAATTCCACCAGAACTGAAAAACTGAAGAACTAAGCTATGGTTTGTTTTATTGAACAAGCCACTATTAGTCTATGGAGATTCTCAGTCATACAGGTCCTGGTTGTTCCAAAGATGCCTTTCCAAGAGGCAACTGGACTTTCTTTGTTTTTCCTTGGAGACATTTTGCTTCTCATCCAAGAAGCTTCTTCAGCTTCTCATCCAAGAAGCTTCTTCAGCTTCTGAATGAAGAAGCTTCTTCAATGAGAAGCAAAATGTCTTCAAGAAAAAACAAAATAAGTCCAGTTACCTCTTGAAAAAGCACCTTTGGGTCCACCAGGCTTAGTTTCTTCTCATCCACCATCTAAATCCACACTATGTCCCAGAAAACTAAGATCAATCTTCTGGTCCAATATGAACACCAGAATATGAAAAGAGCTTTGTAGCTGGATTAAGGCCACGAGCCCAACTTCTCCAGGGATAGGCAATTTGGTGACCACAGAAGTTTTGGATTTTCCCAGCAAGCCCAGCCAGCATAGCCAATGACTATGAGGTCATGTGGAAGAGTCAAACTTCTGGAGGATTCAAAATAGCCTATGCCTCGTCCATCCCAATTCTTTCCCTTGAAGTGGTCAACCAGGGTTATTCAGAAACCTCACAAACATTGATAGAAATACAGTTATATTATTTTTCCCCACTGTCGCCCTGTATTAGCAATGCAGCAGACTATTGATATTTCAAGGAGCATAGTGACATAATTTGATTTCCCCTTCATACAGTGAAGTTTACCGTGTTTCCCTGAAAATAAGGCATCCCGATAATAAGCCCAATCGGGCTTTTGAGCGCATGTGGTAAAATACCCCCCCCCAAAAAATAAGCCCTCCCTGAAAATATTTAAATGCATCCGCAGCCGGTCCCCGCCATTTCCTCTGGTTAGGGTTAGGGAGACAGAGCTGGAAATCAGGTAAGATGGCAAGAGGAGCCCCGTCTTGCTCCACGCGCCCCAAAATAATAAGACCTCCCCAAAAATAAGGCCAAGTTCTTATTTCGGGGTTCAAAAAAATATATGACAGGGTCTTATTTTCGGGGAAACATGGGTAGAAGTTTAGAGCTCATTTTGAGCTACTCTGCTGGCTTTTTATTTTTGCTTGCTGAATAAAAGAGACACCCCCCCTCCTTTAGAGAAGGGGAGGGGGGCATCTTCACGTAGTTTCACAGCTTTTCTCACTGAGAAAGCCTCACACTTGTGATTCCCACTCCAGAGACGCGCCAGCCCGTCAAAGATCAGATCTTAGAGTCTGCTGATCGGACCTCGGCCCATGGAGTCCTGGGGCCAGGTTTTGATTTTTAAAAAATTGTGGGGTTGTTTTTATTAGCGGGAGCTTCTCCAAGGAACCTATTAGCATTAGGTGTTGTGGAAACGGATCGTCCATGGGGCGTTTCTCCTTCATTTTTAAGGAGTTCCTGGCAGCTTGTAAGAGGTTTGAGTATCCCCTTGCTTGGCACGCGGACTTGTTATGTGATGCTTTTCAATGGTTTGCTTCGGCTAATGATCCAGTTCAACATCCCTTTATTTACTGGGGTGTTTATTGTCTCTGGAGCCAAAAGAAGTAACGGCCTGGGCACCCGACTGCTGCCTTTGGCAAAACATACCCTCCAAGACTGGCACTTAAAGCCTCCTGCATGCTAATAAGGAGCAGCCGCCATGCCATGCCTCCTTCCTAGCCATTTCTTGACCTCTTGCAAAACCGTCTAGCGTGGTGTCCGTCACTTGCTGACAAGACATTCCGCTCTTGGCTCCGACCCTTGTACAAAAACAACCTCCTTTTATGGGGCCCCAGCATTATTTTCAGCGGCTGAGCCCGTTGTTCTAACCCCAGGAGAGGGAAATGCATTTCTATCCACGTGTGCGCACAAATTTATTTATCTCTGACTCCCTCGTGCTTTTGATCTAAATTACAAAGCACCAGGCCTTTATTGTTATTGTTATTATTATTTTAAACGACAGAGAATCTGCTCTCAACCTGCTTATTATTTTGAATGCTTCTATTCCTTCCCTTCCCTCTTTTCTCCTTGTTTTGCAGGACGGAAGAACCCAAACTACCTGTTGTGTTCCTTCTGTGGGACAAATGATAGCTTTCGAGAAGGGCAGTTTATTTTCCTTCCTAGCTTTCCCTTGGCTGACCTTTGCACTGACCTCTGCAATGGGATTTCCAGATCGAATCCTGATGGTTCCCAACCCCTCAGTTACCATCCATGAAATGAAAACATAACTGAGTTTGAAGCCCACCAACCAAGCGCCTTGGTACTACAGTGGTTTAAAGCACCCTGTCATTAACACAGCTGCCTGCAATTTACTACTGGTTCGAATCTCTCCAAGGCTCAAGGTTGACTCAGCCTTCCATCCTTTCTAAGGTAGGTGAAATGAGGACCCAGTTTGTGGGGGCAATAAGCTGACTTTGTATAAAATATACAAAAGTATGAAAGCTATTGCTTAGCACACTGTAAGCCGCCCTGAGTCTCCGGAGAAGGACGGCATATAAATCAAATTAAAAAAAAACAAAAAAAAACCCTCCCCCCCTTGGGTACCATTGCTCATTTCCAACTATGTTTCCCTACAGATAGTCCTCGATGTATGACCACACCCATCATTAAGTGATATGGTCATTAAGTAAGTCATACCCAACTTTGCAAGCTTTTTTAAAAGAAAGTATTGTGGACCGCCAGCGGCCTGCGCGGATTGTTGCTGATCCCGACGACGAGGAGGCTGGTGTGGTGCTGCGCCAGGAGCCTGTGCAGCTGGCGCTCGAGTCGGACAGCGAGGAGGCTGAAGAAGATGTGGTGCCAGAGGCAGGGATTCAGTCAGGGCCTTCAGAACCTCCAGAGGCTCCTTTAAGTGAAGAGGATGAAGAGGAGGAGCCTCTTCTCAATGCACGAGCATGCAGAGCTGGTTATAAGTGTGAAAAATGGTCTAAAGTCACTTTTTTCAGTGATGTTGCAACTTCGAATGTTCACTAAATGAACTGTTGTAAGTCAAGGACTACCTGTAGGTACCATTTTGGTGGGAAGGTAACAGAGCTCTGTGACGTCATGCTGCGGAAATGTCTGACCGCATAAATGTCTCTGGACAGCACTGGCTCAGTGGCTTTGAAACGGAAACGAGCATCAGCCCCAGTGGTGGGATTCAGCCAGTTCGCACCACTTAGGGAGAACCGGTTGTTAACTTTCTGAGCAGTTTGGCAAACTGGTTATTGGAGGAAATCATTAGGGCAGAGAACCAGTTGTTAAATTACTTGAATCCCACCACTGATCGGCCCCCATAGTCGGCAACGAGTAGCAGAATAAAATCTGCAGGAACTCCCTTTACTTTGCAAGTCTACTTGCATTTTGAATTCTGCAACACCTAGAAAGCAAGAGAACTAGCACCTTTTGTTTCCAAAAGGAGGTTTGCTTACTCAGAAATATGGACGAAGATCTCCGGGCCTCCATCACCAGGTGTGATGAAGCCATGGCCCTTGGATCGGCAGAAGCATTTACACACCCCACTATAGGTGGGCCCTTCAGCGGCTCGTGTCGTCCTACGGAAAAAGACAGACTTGTTCAGGAAATTGGAAAAAAGCAATCAACTTGTTTTTTTTAAATTAAATTTTTTTTTTATTTTTTAAACAAACAAACATTTAATATATCAGTCATTCTTTCCGTGTGACATCTTGGTGTGTCTCCAATCGTTCTTCTTTTTGTTATTTCTTCTGTCTTCGTTCTCATCCAATCAATTACAACAATTCATCACTAACAAAATATTCTGATTATGGCATTTTTATACATAACTATTAATTGACTTATTTGTATCTCTTTTCTAACCAATAGTAGAGTTGATTCCATATCTTAAAGTATTCTGAATCTTCTCTTTCTTTAATCATCATAGTCAATATATTCATTTCTGCACAATCTAAAATTTTTTTAATTACTTCTCCTTCCAAAGGTATTTTCTCTGCTTTCCAATGTTGTGCATAAACAATCCTTGCAGCTGTTATTACATGTATAACAATAATAAAAAAAGAGCAATCAACTTGTGTTGGGGAGACCATGTTTTGCTTAAAGGAAGTTCTAACACCCTCGTTTTGTTCTAAGCTGGCAAGACTTCCTACTGATTTGGGGTCTTTTGCTCTCCAAAGTTTAGCTTTAGTTTTATATAAAAGCCATTCCCATTCAGTGGGTTTTACAAGGGCAGGAGCTGGCTTCCCAAATATCACAAGAACTGTTTTTAAAAGCCAAGGATTTCGTCCTTGGGCTGGAAAAGGAGTATAAGTAAGACCTGCTGGATCTCAGAAACCCTGAAGATCAGAGACAGGAATGGAGACAATGATTAGAAGGTTATATGTTTGAACCTGTATGTTGATATGGCCTACAGGCAGATAGATAGATAGATAGATAGATAGATAGATAGATAGATAGATAGATAGATAGATAGATAGATAGATAGATAGTTGATAGATTGATATAGATAGATGATATACTTTTTTAAAAAAATTAGATTTATATGCCGTCCTTCTCCGGAGACTCAGGGTGGCTTACAATGCGTTAAGCAATAGCCTTCATACTTTTGTATATTTTATACAAAGTCAGCTTATTGCCCCCACAAACTGGGTCCTCAATTTACCTACCTTAGAAAGGATGGAAGGCTGAGATGATAGATAGATGATATAGATGATAATTATAGATAGATAGTTGATAGATGATAGATAGATGATAGATGATAGGTAGATGATATAGGTAGATGATTGGCAGATAGATGATAGATAGATAGATGATAGTTAGATAGATAGATAATGATAGATAGACAGGCAAGACAGACAGACAGATATACAGATGTACAGAGATAGATATCAAGTTCTGCAGGATTTAGCCAAGGACAGAATTCTACCAAAGGAGGAAGAATTCTAAAAATGGGTTGCAGAAGTCAGATTTTGTATACTGAACAATGCAGAAACATGTTCCAGATAAGTTTAGACTGAAAAAAGATTAGGGGTTTTGGGTTTTAAAGGCAGAAACATGTACTTTTATAAGAGGGTTTGCATGGATGGCAATTATAGAAGAGCAAGGATGTTTTCAATCACAAAACCAATTCATAAAGTCTCATGATAGGGCAGATAGATGTAGACCTTAACCTTTGACTGTAACTGGGCCTGGCAATTACAGTTGTCAGTCCTGTTGGTCATTTTGTGACCGTTTTTGTGGCGGTCATTAACTGAACACCATGTTTGTTAAGTGAACTGAGTGTCTGCTATGTGCTGGTTTTTAATGGAAACCAGAGATAAAGAGGTATGGCAGGTTTTAAATTGTGGATTTTTAACAGTGAGTTTTTATGCTGTTCACCACCCGGAGTTACTGCCCATGAGTTGGACAGCTTTAATAAATAAGTAAATAAATAAATAAAGCATAAAGTATTGAGCATAAACACAGTACAGCAATGTGAAGAAAGGCCTGCAAACGTTACTGCAATCTTTTTTTAAAAAAAAATCTCTAATTAAATGTACAGCTACACCAAGCATTAAGATAAGAAAACGAGAAAGGAGGAAAAAACCCCAGAATCAATTGTCCATTCCATCCTTGTTCACTAACATCTGGCTTTGATGCCCACCAAATTCCATGTTCTTTCTGAAATGTCTCAAACGTGGACCGGAAATTCTGGTCCACCTAACTCAATGCAGCTTGAAAAGAAAAAAAAAATCAGAATCTGGAAGGCAACCGTTGACTCATCATTCAGAATTAACAGAATAAGAGAGCTAGAGGCCTTCTAGTCCAACCCTCTGCTCAAGCAGGAGACTATATACCAGTGATGGCTTTTTGCCATCACGTGCCAAAAGCAGAGGTCACGTGGGGGAGTTGCGCACATGCGTGCCCATATCCGTAATTCAATGTGCCCCCCCACAAATGCACGCACGACCCCCCGTGCTCCCCCCGCTTTTGGCATGTGATGGCACGGTGGGCCTGATAGGCCCATTTTTGCCCTCTCCTGGCTTCAGAGCCTTTCTTGGAGCCTGGGGAGGGAGAAAACAGCCTTCCCCATCCCCCGGAGGCCTTCCGGAGGCTGGAAACAGCCCACTTCCTGACTTCCGGTGGGCCCGGAAGGCCCAAAAATCAGCTGGCCGGTGCACATACGCGTGCTGGAGCTGAACTTAAAAGAGCCTTGGTGGTGCAGCGGACTAAGTGCTCTTATGTAGCACTTAGCTGCCAGCTGCCTGCAATTAGTGCAAGTTCAAATCTCACCAGGCTCAAGGTTGACTCAGCCTTCCATCCTTCCAAGGTAGGTAAATTGAGGACCCGGATTGTGGGGGCAATAAGCTGACTTTGTAGAAACACCGCTTATGGCGGGGGCAAAAGCCCTACTAAGCAGGTATATACAAAAGAATGAAGGCTATTGCTATAAGTGCATTGTAAGCCGCCCTGAGTCTTTGGAGGAGGGCGTCATATAAATTGAACTAATAAATAATAAATAAATAATAAACTAGGGCAACGCTCGCGTGCCCACAGATATGGGTGCCATAGGTTTGCCATCACGGCTGTATGCCATTTCAGACAACTGGCTGTCCAAAGTCTTCTTAAAAACTTCCAGTGATGGAGCGCCCACAACTTCTGGAAGCAAGTCATTCCACTGATTAAGGGGGAAACCAGGGAGAACTTTGAGTGATGAACTCTTGCTCATACTTGTGGCTACACCTGGCTGAGAGTTCTGAGGTTCTCTCTCACCTTGACTTACTGGACCGAAGTGGTTCTGATGCCATGGAGATGCCAGGGTGGTTGCACACCCTTCCTACCAACCAGGAATGGGAGAAGCTGGGTACAGCTTGAATCCCATGTCCTCTCCTTCCCCTCCTGCTCACCACCTCCCTCCCTCCCTTGCACAACTTTTGAGCTTCTGGCCTGGATGCAATTGTGACACCACCACCTGTGGCTGAGTCATGTGTGCTTCTCACTTGGTCTGATGTCACAGTTACTGGTGGGTGCAAATCCCTTTCGGAGCACTTAGCAAATGACTCATAACTACGGTAGGTTGGTCATAAGATGATGCCTTCGTTTGGACCAATCAAAATGGTGCAAAAGGGATTACAATCTTGTTTCTCCATCCTTGGCCACTGTAAGATGGGGGAACTTCAACTCCCAGAATTCCCCAGGCAGCAGTTGCCTTCTGATTCCTTCTCTTCCAGTGCATTGAGTTAAGTCAGTGTTTCTCAACCTTGGCAACTTGAAGGTGAGTAGACTTCAACTCCCAGAATTCCCCAGCCAGCATAGCTGGCTGGGGAATTCTGGGAGTTGAAGTCTACTCACCTTCAAGTTGCCAAGGTTGAGAAACACTGAGTTAAGTGGACCAGAATGTTGGAGACATTTCAGGAAGAACATGGCACTCGGTGGGCATCACAGCCAGAAATTATTGACACCTCATCCTATCTATTTTCCACTGAGCCCTCAAATTCTCTGTCAGTTTTAACCAAACCCATTCTGCAATGTCATATCCCCAATGCCCCACCCTGCAGGACATCAGCCAGACACAAGATGGAAACACACCCGGCTGAAAAAGCATGCCCCTCCCACCCAAAACTAAGTAGGCGTTATGAATTCATTTTCAAATGCCTAAAATAATACAAAAGTGGACAGCTTATCATTACACAAGAAAATGCCTAAAACGAACTTCAAAAGCTGTCATTACAACTACTTCCCAGGTTCACCCAATTTTGTAAGTCTTTAAAAAGAAAAATTAACCTTTCAACATTAAGCAAGCTTGTTCGTGAATCTTTTCCAAACTGAGAGATAATGTGACGTATTTTTGGGGGGGATTAACCAAACATTATAAAGTTCTCAAAAATAGCAAGATCACCCCTCACTGAAGATCAATCCTTTATATTTGGAATTACAGTATTTTTCCATCTCTTAAAAGATTGTTCTTTTTGCAATATGAAAAATTCATCTTTATTGTGAACGTGTTAAATTCAAGCTGTCGGTATTCAGGACAATAGATCTCTCTTTAAAAACCAGGGTTTTTTCCCCCCAATATTTTTGGCAAGATATTGAATAATAATACAGGAAGTCCTCGACTTATGACAATTGAGCCCAAAATTTCTGTTGTTAAGTGAGATAGTTGTTCAGTGAATGTTGCTAACGTTCTTGTCATAATTAACTGAATCACCACTGTTGTTCAGTTAGTGACAGTTGTTAAGTGAATCTGGCTTCCCCGTCGCAAAAGGGGATCACATGACCCTGGGACACGTCATAAATATGAATCAGTTGCCAAGCATCCAAATTTTGATCATATAACCATGGGGATGCGCCAATGGTCATAAGTATGAAAAATGGTCAGAAGTCACTTTTTTCAGTGCTGTTATAACTCGGAATGGTCACTAAATGAACTGTTGTAAGTGGAGGACTACCTGTACTCCAAAAGGGGTCTAAGAAAGAACACGACCACAACAGTTGAGTTAAAAACCTGTCCAATTTCTTGCAACGCCATTCTTTGTGAAAGGTTCTAGATCAGTGAGAGCGAACCTTTTAGAGATCGAGTGCCCAAACTGCAACTGAAAACCCATGTATTTATCGCAAAGTGCCAACACGGCAATTTAATCTGAATAATGAGGTTTTACTACCTAAAAATAATGATAAACAAGGCAGAGTTCAGCTAAATTTCTAAGAAAAATGTGATAAATGCACTTTTATGCCCCTTCATTTTCTTTCTGCTTTTGAAATATTACGTTTAGCAACAATAAAAAAGAAAAACTTTTGTAATATTATTTCTCTTTCCCTCCCTCTCTCTTTCTCTTTCCCTCCCTCCCTCTCTCTTTCCCCCTCTCTTTCTCTCTCTCTCTCTTTCCCTCCCTTTCCGAGTAGCTGAGTTCCAATTAGTTGCAAAAAGTCCTTCGGGAGAAGTTCTTCGGGATAATCACCAACCTTTATCTCCCTTGACAGTCTGCCAAAGACCTACTTGGCAAAGCCACACGGATTCCAGAATCAAACAGAGATGCTGACTGGGAACAGAATTAACAACGTTGCTTTCCTACAAAGAGCCCAAAAGCCTTTGCTCCTCTTTTAAGCCTTATGGGGAGGCACCTCTCATCTCCAGGCCTTACTCCCGAGTCGTCCCTTTTGCTTTAACTGTTCATGCCTTCTGGCAGCTCTGCGCATGCGCGCACTAGGAACAGGCTCCTCCTGTTCCTCTGCCTCTCTGCTGTCCGACTCTGGAGGCTCCGGAGTCCACGCATCACTTCCAGATGGCCCTGGCCCCATCTCTGCCTCCGACGCAGAGCCCTCATCCGGGCCTTCCCCTGACTCCAGGACTGGCCCATGTTCCTCCCCAGCTTCCTCACTGTCCGACTCCGCTGCCAGCTCCACTGGCTGCTGGCGGACCACAACTATTTCTCAATGGGGAAGGACTCCTCTAGACACCTCATTGCTCCCCACCCACGGTCTCACCTCCTCGCCTCCATACTCACGCTGAAAACGTGCGGTTCCTCCGAGTCGGAAGTGGGCTTGGGATCAGATAACCTCTCATGGGGGAAGGAGAACGGTCTCTGGCCCGGCGGCCTTCTGGCAGATGGAGAGCCCTGGGAGGTGGAGACCGTTGGTGGGCTGAAGTTGACTCCGAAGACATTTTGGACACAGCCGGTGGGAAGCTGAAAAGAAAGAAGAAAACACTTTAGGCCACCTGGATTGGATCCATTCCATTAAACTTGGTTCTCTTGTTGAGGTTTGCTTGGTCCCAAGCAGGATTCTGCACCAGATAGGAACACCAGAAAGGAGCTACACATTCATTTCCTCGGCAGTTGCAAAAGTTGACAAGCCAAATATGGAATTTTTGGTCACAGAAAGGCAAGATACCCTTCAGCTGCTGAAGCCAGGAAAGAAACCAGAGTTTCTCTAAAGAAAATCATACTTTTCCTTAGGCTCCCTAGTAAAAAATTCCTCTGCAAAATTCATGGGCAGCCCTTGGTAACTCCACTTTTTTTTTTTTTTAATTTGATTTATATGCCGCCCTTCTCCGGAGACTCAGGGCGGCTTACAATGCATTAAGCATTGTAATTGCAGACAGCTGGCGTTAACCACAATGCTATCAGTCTGCTGAGCCACCAGGCCACTTCTGGGGACCCCCACGCAACCTGCTGCTTCTGAAGGAACCTGCCTTACTCTGAAGGAGGAAATCCAATTTTCACCGGTTAAATGAAGGCTTCACCATGGAGCTCTCGCCTCACAATCAGGAAGCTATGAGTTCGATTCTAGGTAGAGGCAGATATTTCTCTCTCTGGGCACAATGAGAATGTATCTGCTGAACAAAGCTCCTCATTGGCGACAGGAAAAGCGTCCGGCCAGTAAACACTCAGCTCCATTCAGTTGCCCAGACTCCATCCCGCACAGGATTATGGGGTCATTAAAAGAAGATGATGAAATGAAGGCTTCACCATCCAGAAGTGTTAACGAAAACAAAAGAAGCTTTCAGCTCAAGAGGCACAATTGGCACCCATCAATTCGATTCAATTTATGGTTGTAGACCAGTTCAGATAATAAACAAAATAAAATTTAAGACAGAATTCATTTGTAAAACAATCTAACTGACATCTATAAGTCATTTCATTTCATATTTATGACAGTCGTAGTGTCCTGGAGTCACGTGGTCCCCTTTTTACGACCTTCTGACAAGCAAAGTCAACGGGGAACCCAGATTCACTTAATAACCGTGTTACTAACTTAACAACTGCAGTGATTCACTTAATAACTGTAGCAAGAAAAGTCATAAAATGGGGCAAAACTCAACAACTGGCTTGCTTACCAATGACAAATTTGGGCTCAATTGTGGCTGTAAGTTGAGAACTCCTGTAGTTATGCAAGCCATTTCTGCAAAAATTGATATACAGAGGTAAGACTCTTACCAGGATAATTAATTTATTTTTGGGGGGGGGGGAACCTGTTTAAAACTGAACATGAGTCAAGACGATCAGATAATGTCAAATCCACACAAAAGAAAAGTGTTCCGCCTTCTCCATTCTTCCCATTATGTGTACAGAAACCCATTACTGACGTCATGTTTTCCATGGCATCTCAGTAAGTCAAAAGAAGAAAGGAAGGAGAGACATGTGGCAATGCAGGAATTTTCCACTCTATTTTCAAGAGTGAAAATACGTTTAAGAGATTTAACAGATTAAGAGAGTTGGAAGGGACCTTGTAGGCCATCTAATCCAACCTCCCACCCAAGCAGGAGACCCTACACCATCCTCAACGAATGGCAGTCCAATCTCCCCTTAAAAGCCTCCAGTGATGAAGCACCCACGATTTCCAAAGGCAACTTCTGTTCCATTGGTTGATCACTCTCTCACTCTCAGAAAATTTCTCCTTATTTCCAGGTTGAATCTCTCCTTGTTCAGTTTCCATCCATGATTCCTTGTCTGGCCTTCAGGTGCTCTGGAGAATAGCTTGACCCCCTCCTCTCTGTGGCAGCCCCTCAAATATTGGAAGACTGCTATCCTGTCTCCCCTGGTCCTTCTCTTCACTAGACTAGCCAGGCCCAGTTCCTGCAACCGTTCTTCATATGCTTTAGCCTCCAGTCCTGTCTCTAGTTCTCAACTTACAATCACAATAGAGCCAAAAACTTATGCTGCTAAGTGAGACATTTGTTAAGTGAGTTCTGCTCCATTTTGCGACCTTTCTTGCCACCGTTGTTAAGTGAATCATTGCAGTTAAGTTAGTAATATGGTTGTTAAATGAATCTGGCTTCCCCATTGACTCTGCTTCTCCGAAGGTGGCAAAATGGGATCACGTGACCCTGGGACACAGCGACTGTCATAAGTCTGAGTCAGTTGTTCAGTGTCGGAATTTTGACCGTGGGGATGCTGTAATGGTAATAAGTGTGAAAAACGATAACTTTTTTCAATCCTGTTGTAACTTTGAATGGTCACTAAATGAACTGTTGTAAGTGGAGGACTACCTGTATTGGATCTCTTTAGGATAGGGCCCTCAAGCCTTCTGGAACTTTGCAGATGTAGCAAATGGCAGCCTGCATAATAAGAGAGGCCTGCTTTCCCTGGAGTGCATTCGGCCTGCAAAATCAAATTAACCCTATATCCGTAATGGCGAACCTATGGCACGCAGAGTCATATCGGTTGGCACGCGAGGTCCCACCAGAAGTTGGCAAAAAGGCTGTTTCCAGCCTCTGGAGGGCCTCCGGGGGGGTAAGGAAGGCCATTTTTGTCCTCTCTAGGAGTCTGGGAGAGCATAAAACGGGCCTACCGGGCCCACCGGTCCATCGCATGCCAAAAGCGAGGGGAGCGGGGGGGTTATGCGTGAATGCACAAGGGGCGGGGCGCATAGAATTTGGGTGTGGGCACACACGTGCATGACCCCCCCAAGCTCCCTCTGCTTTTGGCACATGATGGCAAAAAGGTTAGCCATCACTGCCCTATATCATTTGTGGTGTAGGGTTTCCTGCCTAAGCAGGGGGTTGGACTAGAAGACCTCCAAGGTTCCTTCCAACTCTGTTATTCTATTCTATTCTATTCTATTCTATTCTATTCTATTCTATTCTATTCTATTCTATTCTACTCTACTCTACTCTACTCTACTCTACTCTACTCTACTCTACTCTACTCTACTTGCATTGCTTGCCAAGTTTCCACCCTATCTCCTTTAAATAGTATGAAGGCTATTGCTTAACGCATTGTAAGCCGCCCTGAGTCTCCGGAGAAGGGCGGCATATAAATAAAAATAAAAATAAAAATAAAAATAAAGTTTCTGTTGCCGTATCTCTTGAAACAGCCAAACAAACCGTCATAACAGACGGGGATCATTTCAAACTGAAGGTGAACGCTGCCTTATTTTGGAACACAAATTGTGGTAATGTGTGTTTTAGGCCAACATTTTGTTTGCCTAAAACACACACTGCAAACAGACAGACGACACATATGCGTCGCTTGCAAGTAAAACATTTACAGAAGAAAAAAACAATCCTAACCCTGTTTCTTCTCCCTGTTGGGCTAGCTTTCTACCTGCAGGGAGATGAACCTCAGTCTGCTATTAGTGCTAGCAGGACCATAAAGAGGAGGACTTTGAAGGGAAAAGCCAACCTGATTAGATTCCAGTCACCTAATTCAGGAAGCAGCCTGGCTGTTAGGCAAATCTGCAGCCACCGTTCTTATAAACCTTGTGGTGAGAAAATGAGAAAATATTACACCACAGGCGGAAGAGGTGTGCCAGGAAGCAAACATACAATAATACTGGGTCTGTAGCAGAGGCCATGCCTGGAAAAAAAAAATCAGCCTATTAAAACAGGAAACTTTGCGCGTGTTTTATTTAAAAAGAAAAAACAAGCAGAATTTGTGGAAGAGATGTGCATAGGTCCAAAACGATATATGCGCCCATTTTAAGCAGCGAGCTTCTCTCCGATTCTAGATTTTATGGACACCTTTTAAGCCAGGAGGAGTATTAGAATCATAGATCTGGAAGTTCCTTGGAGGTCTTCTACTGCTACCCCCCTGCTCAAAGGCAGGAGTCCTTACACCAGTGTTTCTCAACCTTGGAAGCTTGAAGATGGGTGGACTTCAACTCCCAGATTCTGGGAGTTGAAGTCCACCCATCTTCAAGCTACCAAGGTTGAAAAACACTGCCTTACACTATCCCAGAAAAGTGCTTGTCCAGTCTCTTCTTGAAAACCTCAAGTGATGGAGCACCCATCGTTTGCTGAGACTCTAAAAAGAGTGCAGAGAAGAGCAACCAGGATGATTAGGGGACTGAGACTAAAACATACGATGAACGGTTGCAGGAACTGGGCATGGCTAGTCTAATGAAGAGAAGGACCAGGGGAGACAGGATAGTAATGTTCCAATATCTGAGGGGCTGCCACAGAGAAGAGGGGGTCAAGCTATTCTCCAAATACAAGAAAAAGAAAGAAAGAAAGAAAGAAAGAAAGAAAGAAAGAAAGAAAGAAAGAAAGAAAGAAAGAAAGAAAGAAAGAAAGAAAGAAAGAAACAGGAGTGAAATGCTCCCGGTTTGGACCGCATCGCTTGATCCAGTAGCGATGGCCGCGGGTGGTTTGGAGAACCGGTACCAAAAATCCCTGCCCACCCCCATGCCCAGCTGAGCCGCACAATCATCAGAGGTTTTTCTTTTCTTTTCTTTTTTTTTCTACGACCTCTTTGGCCGAAAAAATGCTTTTTAAAGTAAAAAAAAAAAGCTTCTGATGATCGCGCGGCTCAGCTGGGATCATCAGAGGCTTTTAAAAGCATTTTTTTACAACCTCTTCAGCCGAAGAGGTTGTAGAAAAAATGGTTTTAAAAGTAAAAAAAAAAAGAGAAAAAGTTGGCCACACCCACCCAGTCACATTACCCCCACCACCACCAAGCCGCACCCACAGAACCGGTAGTAACAGATTTTACATTTCACTTCTGGGTGAAGCTATTTTCCAAAGCACCAAAAAGAAAGATGAGAAACAGTGGATGGAAACTAACCTACGAAAGAAGCAACCTCGAACTAAGGAGAAATTTCCTAATGGTGGAACAATCAACCAGTGCCTTCAGAAGTTGTGGGTGCTCCATCACTGGGGGTTTTCAAAAAAGAGATTGGACAGTCATTTGTCTAAAATGACATATGGTCTCCTGCTCGAGCAGAGGGCTGGACTAGAAGACCTCCG